TCGGCGGCCGGACACACCGAATTTTCGGCGCGGGCTAGTCCGGCCGTACCGCGGCCCGCCAAAGAGACTCCGCATTACGACCCGACTTCTCGTGCATTTCCTATGTGTCATCTTTGCATGGACGGAAAATTTCATATGTATGTCTAACCAGCGTCCTGAACAATTATAGCTGCACATGAGGACACACGTATATGATACGCGCGCCGGGACACGCTGTGCACGCTGCACATTCGGAGGCATACGAAAGCTACTTCGTTAAAAAGGTCGGCGGGGCAGAAATTCCACCTATAGCGTGAGAAACAAATGCATGGCAAATTATGGAACCACTCGCAGGATATTGCCGTAGCTACAGCCTCCTGCACCCCCGGCAGCGGGACAGACCGTGTCCTCCACATATAGAATCAAAGGAATCCTGATTGTGTTTGTTTCTTGCATCCTCGGGGCATCCTCGGAACTCAGGCAAAACATGCCGAATGAAGGGTCAAATGTTCGTCTATCACAATGCAGCCACGGCCTGTGTCCGGAAGAAAAGACATTTGGTCAACCTGCCACAGGGGTTTGCCATCCTCATGTAGCCTTCCGTCCCGCCTTTTCTTCGATACCTGCAGAGGACCAATATTGTTCGTGGATGTCTAATAAAACGGAAATTTCACTGATACGCAGCACTTGTGCCCAGGACTCGCGAGCTAAGGTACGCCCAAAAGCAGAAATCAGAGCTCTGGGTACCTGCGAACAAACGGGCCCTCCTCGATTGAGGGCTTGCCCTCGTCATAAAGTCGCGCACAGAGTACTGAAATCTGGCTTGAAGCGATCTTACGAGCAAACTCTAATGAAAAGGAGCTCCGACTTCCTACCTGACTTGGCAAAGCGTTGCCGCAGGACTTTCAACACGTCCTCGAACTTGACCCCCTGTGACGTCAGCAGCACCATGCTGTGGTACAGCACGTCCGCCATCTCGGAGGCCGTCCGGTCGGGGCCCTCGCTGTCCTCGACGCTTCTGCAAGAGAAGGGAACGGAGCGGCTGTACAACGGAACGGAACGATGTACGGCCCAGAAGCCAAGGGCTTTGCAAACCTCAGACGTCTAGACCCTCGTACGGAAAGAAACAGCTATTGAGCGAAAAGGAAGCCCTTCTTGACACGAAGGGAGTCGAGCTACCAAGTTCCTCAGAAAAAGGGAAAATGGGAGGAAAACGAGAATAGACTCACATGTCGATTATCACCTCTTTCCGTGACAAGTTCAGACCCCTTTTTCGACACTTTCCGAATGGACCTGAAGTCACTCAAATTGTGCTCCAACAAGTACGAGCTACGGAGGCTTGCTGACCTTGAGAGAAGGGACTGAGAGTTCCTTCACAAGCCCGAAATGACCGAGACAAGAGTCGGGCCAAAGTTACCCTTCTGTTGGGCTCTTGTTTCGTAACGAACTTAAGATCAGCAGCCAGCCTCGAAGCGAGAGCCGGTGAAGAAGAAACACAAACTGCATACGTGTTTCTTTACTTCCGGCTCGCGGTTTGTGGCTGACTGCTGGTTGCACCCTAGGTAGACTATGTGTCCCCTTACCTGCACAACTCATCCGCCTCTTCCAGGATCTTGGACCGGAGCAGCTCGGGGCTTTCCAGCAGTCTGCGCGTCCAGGATGGCTTCTTGCCCAGGGGAGGTCCCCGGGTCGCTGCATCCGCTCGAGACTCGGCTAATCGCTGCTCGATGGTCGACTCAAGGGAGTAGAGAGTGGTCAGGGCGGTCGGGGGGTGCTCCTGCCGAAAGGGAGGGAAGCATTTAGAAGAATGGAGCTGTTACGCCTTGTTTAACGTAGCAAGAAGTGTCGAGGAAAACCATCGGCTCAAACCTCGGCTGATCGCTGCTCAATGGTTGACTTGAGGACGTAGAGAGCGGCCGAGGGGTGTTCTTGCGGAAAGAAAATAAACTTGTGAGAAGAATGTTGGACGCCTTGTTTTAATCGAGCAGGAAATGTCGAGGAGAAGAACACCGTCCGCTCAGAACTCGGCTAATCATTGCTCAATAGTCGACTCAAGGGAGTAGAGAGTGGTCAAGGCTGCCGGGGGTTATTCCTGCGGAGGAGGCGGAAAGTGATGAGGAGGATGGAGTAACTGTTTACGCCTTGTTTTTATAGAGCAAGAAGTCTCGGGGAGAAGGAAACCATCCGCTCAGAACTCGGCTGATCGCTGCTATATGATGGACTCAAGGGAGTAGAGAGTGGTGAAAGCTGCTGGGAAGTCTTCCTGCGGAATGGGAGGAACCTTAGTGAGAAGAATGGAGTATGCGGTGTAATGTTGTGGCAAGAAGTGTTGACGAAGGGGGAGAAAGTCATCCGCTCGGAAAGCGGCTGATCGCTGGTTAGCTTCGACTCGAGGGAGTAGAGAGTGGTCAAAGCTGCTGGGTTCCTGCCGGAAGCAAGGAAACGTAGTGAGAGACATGGAGTACGCGGCGTGATAACGTGGCAGGAAGTGTATTGAAGAGAACAAAAGGCATCCGCTCGGGACGAGGCTGATCGGGCGAGATGGTCGACTCAAGGGAGTGGAGACTGGTCAGAACTGTGGGGTGAAGGAAATGCACGTAGTGAAAAACGTATGATGTATGATAACGCGACACACTGTCAAGAAGGAGAATGTTAGTCCGCTCTGGACTCGGCCAACCGCTGCTCGATGGTCGCCTCGAGGGGAGTAGACAGTGGTCAGAACGGTGGGGGGATGCTGCTGCGGACGGAGAAGAAACTGATGAGAGAGAAGTATGCGAAGCGGACCTGGCTAGAAGTGTAGAGAACGTGACCATCACGATGAGAGTCGAACAGAACGAGGAAGGGAATGAAGTAAGAAGCCATTTGTGTGAGATTGTCCAAGTAAGGGACGATCTGCTCGAAACAAAGAAGAACAAGAGCCATCTGAGGACATACTCTGACGTTCTCAGGCGGGATGTGCCCTCGACTAAGCATCTTCTGATAACGCTGAGCGGAGCATTTGCCGAACTAGTCTCGAGTTGCACTAATCAAGTTGTAGTACTGACGAAGAAACTTCTTCTGGACTGGCTCGAGAGGACCTTTGGGTACTTCAAGAATTTGGAAGGCCGCTTGTGGCAGAACGAGCTTCGGGTATCGAGCAAGAATCTGGAGGTTGGCAGCCAAATGCGCATCGTTGACCAAGAGCAAACTTGATCACTAACGGCCGTTCAAAACCTAAGATCCACGGGCATCAGAGTCAACGTCCCGGACACGCATCAAGCACTGAAGAGAGTTTTGTTTGACCCGACTTTCCGAGACAGGAGTAAAATGGTAGCTTCATAAAAAGCCGCAGGGACTGTCAGACGATTCATTGATCCATGTTAAAACCTCCAGCGATCTGGCATCTATCAACGAGGTTGCAACTGCCTTATGGCATCAATTTTCCCTCAGACAACCGGCTCAGCAGATTGATTCATTAAGTATCAGCACAAATGCAGGCGCTCACCTCGGAATGCGTCGCAGCACCATTCTCTCCCAGTTCCTCCAGTCTCGTGAAGTAGCACGTCTCCGCCCCAGTGTGACAAGTGGGCCCATCCGGCTTCCCGAAGTAAATCACCGAATCCTTGTCGCAGTCGATGTAGACATCGGTAACGTCGATGAAGTTTGACGACGTCTCGCCCTTCGTCCAGAGCTGCTTTCGGCTGCGGCTGAAGAAGGTGGCGCGCTTGGAGGCGAGCGTGGCGGATATGGCGTCGCGGTTGGAGAAGCCCTGGAGCAAATTGTCGGTGAATACCATTGATATAGATCAAGCGGAGCTGCACAACAATTTCTGTTGAAAATCATTCTTTTGGCTTCCCTAACGGTCTCTTTGGTGAGGCCAGATTGTCCAGGCTCTGAATTGGAATGTATCAATCGCCTTGGATATGCATCCCACGAAGTAACAGAGAAGCAAACTCTGTGTCGCTTGCTGAACGCATGCTTCGTACTACAGGCAGCAGAACACTCGTTCACAGCATTGCAGCCTAGCTGTCAGCATGTGTTCCAGAAGTAGAAAGATTGTCTTGGCAGACTGGTAGAACCGCCGTGTTCGGAAAGGAAGTTTCCAGCTTGTGTGAAACGCATCTTTTGAACCATCAAGCAAGTATTCAGTGTCTGCATCTGCATCTGGGAACGGCGTATTTGAACTTCTTTCCAATCTGGCACCTTCCTTGACCATTCAGTTCTGGCAATCAACGGTCCCTGCTGTCGTGTAGGAACATCAGAACCTTCGAGTCGCACCGACCGAGCAGTACAGGGTGAAGGTGAGAGACAGAAACAGTAGCTGGTTGATTCAAAAAATTTACTGATCTTATAAGGGCTGGAAAGCCTTTGAGGGCCTTACTTGCATCAAGATAGCGCCAGTGTCCACATCTTGAGCAATAGCCACCACTAGCCCATTGGCGTCCCACTTCAACTTGTCAAGCAGCGCCTCCACCTGTGCACCAGAAAGCTTTCAGTTGGTTTTCGAAATACGAATGTTCGGAAGTGGCTGCTTCAGTCCACGCACAAAGCACAGAGCATTGGAAACAGGTGTGGTGCTTTGAAACACTTGCATTCTGGTAATTCAGCAGCCTTTCCAGATCGGTAGAGTACTTTAAGCAGACGAAAGAAAGTAATCAATCCCAGTGCAAGCCTGTCTTCTAAGTCCACAGTGGACGGTGGATTTCTTGTAAGGGTGGAGAGAAGTAAATTAACAAGCTGGACATAGATGGAACCACCACCAATTTCAATCCACTTCGCAAGCCAGATTTCTGCCCAGCATGCATGCTATTGCTTCCAACTCGATGGCTGGTGGTCGGCCAAGAACCCCCACACATTTGCACCCCCTTCTTTCTAATGAACATCCACCAACATTGAAGCATCAGGTGAGACAGGACCGCTGCACCACCTCGGGCGTCGACTTTGGTTGCGCCCTCCCAGCAGGGACGCTATCAACTGTCGCCTGCACCCGCACACTTTGCCTCCCCTGCAGCATTGCATCTGGTCGACTAGGAGACAGAATGGGAGGTGAAAGATGCAATTGCCGGCCCAGGGATGGATGCACAAGAAGATGGATCAGCCCAGCATTGGATTGATGGCTGAAGCCAGTGTGTGCGCCGATACCGGTTGGCGCTGCATGAAGTCGGTGTACAGCGGTGGTGGCCATTCTGAGGAGAGCTGGAAATGGGCTGAAGCTGGCAGTGAAGGCGTTTTGTCCCACGGAGCGAGAGCAGCTACACTTGTGCTGAAAAAGTTCCAATGAGGGGCAGTTGGGCAAGAGGCACAAAGCAGCCGAACTTTTCTTCGGAAAAACGGATGCGGACATCGTACGAATCAATCACCGGGTACCTTTTACAGCTACCGGGGAGCTGTTTCAACACTGAAACCCTAAGAATATGCCTTAGCCGTTAGTGTTAACCCTAATCGTAGTGCAGTCACAGTTAGCGTGCGCGACCCTAACAAACCGTCACAGGCTTGCAACATAACCCTAATGTCACAGGCGATGCCCGGTTGCTCGTTGGCTGTTCAAAGGTCCGAACCCTGTTAACCTGCGCAGCGTCCGCAACTTTTTTCCGAAGAAAAGTTCGGCTGCTTTGTCCGTTTTGCGGCAGTTGGGCCGCAGGCCGCAGGTCGCAGGATGCATGGGCGCTCAGATGCAACGAGCGCGCGCGCGTTTAACCCAGGAGTGAGTGACTGCGTCGGAGTCGGAGCCTAACCACCGCGCGGCCGGCGCCGCCGGCCCGGCGGCCGCGCCCGGCCCCCTCCTATAGTCCAAACCCTTGCCAAACCCGTCCGAGTCAGTGGCGTATCCAGCCGCGTCGCAAACTTTGAAACGATGACCGCGGCCCGTAATCTGCATGAAATCAGGGAGTCCATCCATCGATCCCAAGTCCTCTTGGCGCGCAGCCGTCTTTATTGAGATGAGTCTTCAGATGTCACACCGCTTTGTTGCACATTCACTCTTGAGCAAGATTGACCCCAAGCGATTCTCTGCCAGTTTCCACAATTCCGCTTTTCAAATGGCTTCCGCGGTCGTCAACGCTTTCTCGCCCCACCGCCTGGTGACTACTACCTCGTTCCCAACAGGCTCAGCACAGCAGCCGTCACGAACACTCTTTGCTGCTCCCATCCTCAAAAACCGCCAAACATGCTCAGCTTTTCCAATCCCTTCATCCCGCAAGCTACAAACCAGCTTAGTTGGGCGACAATTGCCGATGAGCCGTCCAGAGGAGGGTTTCTGTTGCGGACGTCCCATTGCGAAAACGGACGTCCGCAAAGCAAAAGTGTCAATGGCTGTCAGTGGAAACCATGCTGGAGGGGATGACACTATCCCGGTGATGAATGATGCAGAGGTGGCGAGCGCGCCGTCGGGGTATGAGCCAGGAGAAGCGGGCTTTGGGGCGCTCAGCACGGAGAGGGGCCTGTTCCCACTGCGCTCCGTGCAGGTAAGGAAGAGCTTGATAAAATGATGCGAACAGGACTAATTTGTCTTACTTCTTTTGAAAGCGTGTGAAGCCTGGTCTTTTACTGCTCAGATTTGGCTCTGACATGATCTTTGACTGTTGTGTGCTGGATCCGTTGTGAGCAGATCGTGCAGGTGTGTCTCTGTTCATTGACGGTACTAAAAGGCGCTGTGGTGGTCTTTATATCAAGAGACTTGACTGGAAGCTCGTACAACACTCTCGTTTTCGTGCGACTTAAACATGGTACAGAAATGTCGTTCCTGACCGTTTCACGAGACTTAGGGCACGAGTAGAGTGTCAATTCCGTCTACAGGTCTTGCAGACAACCTTTGCAAGTTTCTTAAAAGGTCTGCTCTGGAAAACTTCGTAAGGCTAAATGACTGGGAGCCTAGACTGCTGATCACACCCTTTCCTTTTGGATATGAAAGTCCTTTTGCCAAATGGCAGGCCTCTTGAATGAAGCATATTCTCGTAGGGTCTGCCTGCTCTTCTAAAGACCAGTAGATGGGTTTACATGTCGTCTTGTATCCTGCCAGCAGCGAGTACAAGAATGAGTGAACGTCGACAGGCAATACTCTGTCCGATTTGTTTCTCTCTTTGGCATCTGCCATAGGACACATAGTCTACTTTCTCTCATATCTGCATAAGTATCTGACGAAAAGCCCCTCCAGAACGACAACGGAGCGTCATCGACAAGATGCCAAGTCTTACCACAATCTTTCTGCTGGTAGGCCAGGAACTACAGCTCCTTTCATGCTCTATCAGGTTCTGTGTGACACTCGTGATTGAACACCTCCATTGGGTAATCGTACTTTTCCGAATGAACATTTCCTGTTATTCTCCATCTCGAGTTGCTGCGCAGCGTCAATGTGAGGCACCCTTGTTCCGTCGCGAGGGGATTGGACATCGCCCTCAGAAGCTCATATGGAACTTCTGACTTGAGATCCACCATCATTGCTTCCTCCGTATTTGTCTGACCAGCTGTTCTCTACTTTCGAAAACAGGTGGCCGCCAAGATCTCTGCACTCTCCTGCCACGTCACCCTCCACCAGACGTTCGTCAACACGTTCGACTCCCCCCTGGAGGCCACCTACATCTTCCCCCTGCCAAGCGAAGCCGCAGTGACGTCATTCCGCCTGGAGGTTAAGGACCGGGTTATCGAAGCGGTTGTCAAAGAGCTAGGGGATGCTCGGGAGGAGTACGACCAGGCAGTGCGCAGCGGGTATCGGGCGGCGATTGCAGAGGAACAACTCCCTGGGGTAAGGATCTGTTGCTCAATGTTAGCAGACGTCACAAACTCTAATCTTTTTTGGTAGAGCTTCCGCCGTTTGCACTTCACAGCGAAAGCGCTTGCCCCGAACATCAGAAGAGGGTATTTTTGAGGTCGGTCAACTGGTTCTACGTATCTGGGTCTTGGCACGTCTGCGAGGACCAGAGAAAACTCTGTCTGTCTCAGCTGTAAACTGCAACGAGCTCACGAAGAACCGTTTCGACCATGAACTCCGTTGGAGTTTTTGAGATTTTAAGGTTTGCTTTGTTGGCCAGGTGGTTCGACAACCCCGCCTGCTTATCTTCCCTTTCAGAGTCTCATTTGCGCTTCGTTTGCAATCGAGATTCCAAACGGGCATACCGCGCGCGCTCTCCGCAGGTGTTCTCTGTCCGCGTCGGCAACATTGCGCCGCGCGAGGTCGCCTCTGTGCGCCTCACGCTCGCGGCGCCGCTCCCGTTCCGCGACGGCGAGGCCACGTTCCGCTTTCCGCTCGTGGTCGCCCCGCGGTACATACCGAGCAATGGGCTGGACGCCGCACGAAACGGTTCCGCTGCGGACACGCATGCCGGAACGCCGGACATGTCCCGGAGCAGCCCTCCAGTGATGCTGCCCGGATTTGAAGAACCGGTTCAGTTAGGGATCGAGGTGAGAGATCGATTTTGATCGAATCACAGCAATCCTTGGATCTTGTGTGAGCTTCTACTTGAACTTCTCCGTTCCTGAATAGATGCGGGGGGCGAGGTGGGAAATTAGATCATCAAAAACGTGCAAACAGTAGATTCAAAACCTTGCGATTTGGGTTCACCAGGATTGCCGATCCTGGCCAGTGCAAGTTGGTGAATACGCTCTGCCGGTTCACAATGACGAAGCGGTTTTTCGGTAGCCCATGAACGAAGACCGTGCTTGGAGTGCGATAGGGTCAATTTGTATCAGTTGAATCCGGGAATCCCGCGTCTCCCGACCTGATCCCAATTGAATATGAAAGTCTTGACTGCAATCATTTGATGACATTCTCCAAAGTCGTATTCCTTTCGAAAGCGATTTTGTTCCGCTAATGTTCGGAACTGTGGAAGCCGTGATCCGTCCGTGATTGAACGTGGTTTCTCTCGTGGCTGAACGGCCAAGCGTGCAGGCCTTTATTTCTTTCATCTCATGTGCCTGTTGGCTTGAAGGTGGGATTGGCTACGAGCAGAACAAATGGGTGAAGCGCATTGTGTCTTCGAGAACCTTTCAAGTCCTGGACACAGGCCAGTTGCCTGCGGAACATTCTCCTCTCTTGTTCCGTTTGGCGACCTTAAGGTTGAGTAGTTTTAAGCAATTAGCGTGGTCGTCCTGGGCATACGCGAAGTTTGAGCCATCGCGGAAAACGAAATAACTTCGTCTAGAAGAGCTGACGGTGACCTCTTTGAGTGCAGGTTGAACTCGACGAGGCCTCCCTCCTATCTCCAGCGTCCGTTCCAGCCTGCACACCATCTCCGTTTACGACACGACAACCAACGGCCCTCAAGGCTCCAAGTCACCCTCTGCCGCCATCCGACGGCTCCGACTGGACCCCAAAGGAGACCGCCGCCTGAACCGCGACTTCATTCTGCGTTTCAACGTTACCGACCCCGCCAATTCGCCGATCGCAACTTCGCTGGCTCTCTCCGACGACCCTGGCGACGAATCAGAGGAGGGCACGTGGCAGCTGACGCTGCTCTCCGCCCAGAATGGCGGAGTGCAGACAAACCCCAGGGACGTGGTCTTCGTGCTAGACCGGTCGGGGTCGATGGCCGGGTGGAAGATCGAAGCTGCACGCGCGGCAATGGCGCGAGTAGTACGATGCACAGAGCCTTCCGACCCTTTGTTCCAATCAGTCTGAATTCGATTAGACCAGGTTTTGAAGGACTCACGGGCATCCAACTAGAGACACAAGGGCGCCTGTTGCTGTCCAATGACTGTTTCGACTAATCGCAGCGCCAAGAATCTGAGCAATTCATCGTCGAATGCTCAGCCCATCGAGCGGGACTGACCATTTCCTCGCGATTCTCTTATTAGATTCGTCAAGGGCAAGTGACCATTTTTCTGGAAGTGTCATCAGCATCGTAAGACTACTTCGTAATATTGCGCGAATGAAGCGCGCGGACATCCTGCTGATACCCTTTCATACGGCGGTCCGTCAAGACGTACGGAAAGAAGGCTCTTCTCTTTACGGCATGATCTTTCCAAATTATTCAACATTCCTGGCTATCCGTTCAGAAATAAGGGCAGAGCATCACAGTCAATGGAAACATTTCATTTCTTCTTGAACGGATCTGTATTCAAACACCCAGAAGGCTGTTTATCACCTTACATCACTCCTTTCAGAGCCATTTTTTATTGCACGGGTGCCCCACTAACAGAGTATTCTCGAGCGGAGACCAGATTTTCCCCCTGCAAAATAGCACACTCTGACTGGCGCCTTTCAAAGCTGATGTGCTTTTCATCTGTCTGATTCTCCGTGCATTTCTCCTCTTCTTCAGATAGGTACGCTGACCGAAGACGACCGATTCTCACTCTTGGCCTTCGACAACGAGATTGAGACCCCCGACCTCCCAATCCCGGATTGGGTCAGCCAGATCAAGTCACGTTTCGAGCGACCTTCCAAGGCCTACAACCCCAGCTTGGTCGCCGCCACGGAGCCACATCGTCGCGTGGCAACGGAATTCCTCTCCAAAGTGAACGCGCGCGGCGGAACGGAGATGTTGATGCCGCTTGAGACCGGCGCGGCCGCGCTCACGTGGCCGCCGCCCGGGACGTTTGATTCGGAAGGGTTTCTGACGCGCGAAGCGGCCGCGCGGCCGCGCAGGCACAGGGTTTTGGTTTTGATGACGGATGCGCAGATCCAGCGCGAGGACGCGGTGATTGGCGCCCTTGGCCAGCAGCTGCAGGTGCGGCCTTCCCCTCCTTTGCGTTGCGTTCCGTTCCGGTCTATCTATTCCGCTCAATTCTGGTCGTTTTATTCCATGACAGACCTTACTAGCTTAATCTGCGACCCGAAATCGATCCTCTTTAGAATATCGCTTCTTCCGAGAGGCGCACGGGGAGCCGCGTTCCGCCATTCCTTTTCCCTTCGCCCCATCTCGTTTCCTGATGTCCTTGTGATCTGTCACTCTTTCCACACTCTAAGCGCCTCTTCTCACTGAAAGCCCTGGATATTGACGCAATTGTACAGCAATTGCACACCGTTCCGGAGGTGCTCCCGATCTTCGAGGTTGATGTTTAAAAGGATCCCGGCCAGTAAGTCGAGGTTCAGCTTGAAGCTTTAAATACAAGCATTTTACATGCTGATCTTTTGGGCAAACGGTTAGATTTTCTTCTTTTTGCGTTCACTGACACGGAAGTACTGTACTGGTTGGGGACTGATATGGTGAGCGGAGCAAACATTGCAACGGATCGGTTACCGTGGAACGGTTTTGTCAGGAAGTGATCAGACCGCGTTTGGATGTGGTAGTCGAAAGGATGTGAAGTTCGTGAGAAGCTCCTTCTGAAAGCAGGAGGTCCGGCGAAAGACGCGCGTCCTGTCATTGCTCACACGAGAACATGAGACTCGCCAACCACATAATTTGTTTTCTTTAGCACCATGTTGGTGAAAAATGTTCAGAACGTGTGAAGCCACTCAGCAGCAGCAAAATCTTATTTCAAGCGATTGGAAAAGACGGTACGTGGACACATGTTCTGACAACATTAACCCCTTGTCCGAGGTCGACCTAGAAACAATATGCCCTACAACGATCTCACAGCGCATTGCTTCTTTCGATTGAAAACATTCGCTTTCCGCAGGGAACCCGCATTTTCGCCGTTGGCATCGACCAGGCCGTCAACGAAGGCTTCCTCACGCGCCTCGCCGCGCTAGGCGCCCCCGGCGGGCTCTGTGAGCTCGTGGAAAGCCGCGGCCGCCTCGACGCGGCCGCGGCGCGCATCGAGCGGCTCATGTGCGCGCCCGCGCTCACGGACGTCCAAATCGACGGCCTCAAAGCGGACGGGATCGAAATGATTCGAGGAAGTGTGACGCCCAGAAACTTGGGCGGCGTCTTTCCCGGGGTGCCCTTCGTGATCCGCGGCCGCTACCGCAAAACCCGCGCGCAGGAAGAATGCGCGAGCGCACCCGTCCTGACAGTATCGGGCCGGACGGCGGCGGGCGAGAGCTGGACGCAGGTCGCGGCGGCGCACGTGACCCCGAACCCCGCGCTGCGCGCGCTTTGGGGGCGCGCGGCGATCCGCGAGCTGGACGACCAGTCCGTCTTCGCGACGGTGGCGCTGGGCAAGGACGCGGGCGGCCTGATCCTCGACCTGCTGCGCGCGCGCATCCTCGAGCTGTCCCTGCGCTGCAGCGTGCTGAGCCGGTTCAGCGCTTACGTGGCAGTAGACCGGTCGGAGAAAGTGGAACCGGGCACCTGGGGTACCGCGCACGTGACGCAGCCGGTGGAAGTTCCTGCCGGGTGGGAGAACGTACCGGTCGGGACGGCTTTGCGGCTGCGACCGCGCACTGGAGGGTTTGTGCAATGCGGCGATGTACAGACCCCCAGAGTGGACGACGGGAGCGGGATCGGGAGGCTCGACTTGCTCAGCGATGATACGAGCGACTATAGTGACTACTTCGCTGACCTTACCGAGAATGACGAGGGTTTCAGCTTCTTCGGGTGGAGATTCCCGGGCGCGGGCGCGCGTTCGGAACCGCACAAAACCCCGACCATCAAGGCGTGCCTGAAGCTCGTCGAGCGCGCGCTGCGCGAGGACGACCCCGCGCGCGTCAGGGACCTGGTGACGTCATTCTGGACGCTTATACCGCACTTATACAACTACATGACGCGCGTGGCGGGTGAGCAAGGGGCGGTGTACGCTTCAGAATTGTCCAAGTTGGAAAGTTCGCTTGAGGGCGAGTTTATGGAGACGGCCTGGGTCACGGACGGCGGAAGGCTCCATGAGCGGACGAAGAAGTTGCTAGAGAAGGTACGGGAGATTTTGATGCGCGCGCAGGCGGCGCTCGGCGGAGGCGACCTGATTTGAAGCGGAGCCGATTGGACAATAATGGTGGAATACAGCTTGCGCACAAAGGCGGTTTTGTAAACAGCACATATGCTGTTTGACCGAACAGAAAATGGAAAGCCTATGCCAAGTAAATATCAAGATTTGCACTTTGGGATCCATCATTAAAACGGTGGGAGACAAAAGATAGGCATAAGAAGCAGACTAGAACGCATCGTGACGTGCTAGGATCAGAGATCCGCTCGACCAAGTGTATTCCTCTGTTGCGTATTAAAAAAGACATTTGCACATGTTACAAAAGACTTCGATCGATTTGTACACGATGTTCTGACTACCTTCTTTTCCCAACAGATAACTTAGACAGAACATATCCTTACACTTATCAGCACCCCATCAATGTTTTCGCAAATATGATCGAGTCATTGACCTTTTCTGCAAGCTTGCCAACTTTGGATTACTCCGCGCTCCGCCTTTGAGCATACTAGGGAAGCACAACCGCAATCATATACGCTCGCTCATCTGTATTTTTCCTATATTGACGTATGTCATTTACGTTACTCTATGTCATTCGCTTACTATATGCATTCACTCAAACATCCTCTGATTGATTGAGTTAGTTTATGATCCGAGGATCTTAGACCTTGTGACGAGGCTTTTTGAAGTAATCATGCAGCTGCGAGTTGAGTTCGGACCCTACACGAACAGTTTCTATTCCAAATGCCAGACGAATAAGTGCCATCATATCCTAGTACCTCCACATTCAGCACCTACGGAAGGTTGTCTTAACCTGGAATATTGGCAAACCAACTTCGTATACCGTTTACATCAAACGAGTCGCATCCAGCATCGCAACGAGCTAGACGTCTGCCGTTACAGATTTGGCAAAAACGAAAGGAAAGAATCATTGTCTTTCTTGGCCGCCTTCTTTCGGGAATGCAAACCATGTCGAAAGCGGACCGCTCCCTGAGGGGATGCTCCACCTCCGTCCGTTCTGATCGAGCGGGTTCGAAGTTTCGAAGACCCCGGTTTTTCTTGCCCCCGGGTGCTCAGGCCGCTCATTTTTCCCCTCATTCATGCTCGGGCCTTCTGATCAGCTGCCGTAAACGTTCGCGACCACGTAGATGGCGCGTTTTGGCACCGAGGTGAACGGGTTTATTGGTCGACAAAGTTGTGCCAGGTAAATTAGCAGTCGAGGCGCGTTATCCCGGGGCCCTCCCTCAGATGAACGCCTAGCGTTTTGTGTCAAAGCCGTAACTTTGAAAATCCTCAATTGTGAGCGACCCCGTAGGCCCAGTCGCCCACATTCACTTCAAGCTCGTTGCGTGGTCCTTCTGCAGATTGCTGCGTATCTTAACGGCACAGATTGCTTGCCAAGCATTTGTGGGCTTTGATCTCGGTTCATGGGGAACAGACTGTTCTGGATATCAGCTTCCCGTTTTACCTAGAGCTCGAGGCATTTGAGCGAGGCATTTATTTATTTGAAATTCCTCCACGACTCGGATTTTTGAGTATCGACTTATGGATCTGTCAGTGTGTTTGATTGTGCTGGATTGGACAGTTATGACGGAGACGTGTTCGAACGTCGAGGAACTCTTGTAGGCGTGCATCTTTTGTAGGCAGGACTCGTCGTTAAAGTCTGCGTGATTCGCAGTGACAGTCGCTGAAGTAGGGGCCCGCGCTATTACCTGAATCAATTTTACTGAACGGTTCGCTCGTTCAGCAGGAAGCGCTTTTCAGAACACGAGTAAATATGGCGTTACTTCATCACTCTTCGCTCTTGGCAGGTTGCGGTACTCATAAGGATATAGGTTGCAAATTTGATCCAATCCTCGACGGCCACTGCTCTGTCCGGCTTTAACTCTTCACAGACCGGAAGCTGGAAAGCACTAGCGGTTGAGCTCATGAATACGTGAGTTGTTCTGTTGTTTGAGAGGTTGATGATGTTCGAGGACAGATCTTCTATCAGGAACATTCTAGAAAATACGTTCCTTAGTAAGATATTGGTCCGGCTATTTGATAGCAAGCACGTACAGAAGAGAGACTGCATGCCAAAGCCGCCGCTTGCTAAATAGGGACCACAAAGGCAGCCGCGCACAAAATAGCTTTGCTTGCATGCGCACAAAGTCTTATTGAAATGTGAAACACGCCGAATAAGAGTAGAGTTGCACACACGCTGCGTGCCGAGAACACACGCTTCACGATGACCAGCTCCGTTTGATCTTAGTTCTGCAACGCATGTATATCGACTCATGCATACATGCCACATGGTCGATCAGTAAAGTAAGGCGAGCGCCGGCGTCTGAAATCAGCTTGAACATGAGTACATCTCTGGCAGCTGATTTGGCAACCGGGCCCTGCTCGTATGTTTAATATTCATGGAATGTATTTCGAATTTCATGACCCTCTGACAACATTTAGAACACTGATTACATGGCGCGCGTGCAAGAGCAGGCTCGATGTCATGATCGAGCCTCGAATTTGAGGCTAGCTATGCTCAAACTCATGATGCATGATATATTCGATGGGCCAGTGTAGATCATGTTCCGCTGATCTTCTTTTGAAAAAGGAGCTGTGACTGGATCAAGCACCTTGCAACACTAGCCTCAAAATGTAGATTGGACAGAACGAGAAATATCAGATCGTCAGATCCATAAGATGCATACTTTAGCTAGCCTGCTTACTATCTAAGCTTACTACTTACTACTAGTTATGTATGCTCTAAAGCCTCCCAACTACAAGCTGGCCAGTAATACAAATCTTGTGTTGAGACAGGTTGCAACTGGATTTTGAACATATTGAATACTTGCATGATATAATGCTTAGGATATGTATTACCAATTTGTGTCAAACCTCCTATGTACATTGATGAAATGTTCTCTTCAAATACTTCCCTCTCCATTGGCCTTTCATTATCAACCTACTTCCCTCTCCATTGGCCTTTCATTATCAACCTAATATAAAGCCAAGTATCCTTTATATAGCTATTTGGTGTCGGACCTGTCTTCTGGCTCTTGCTATTTTAATCCGTGTCTTTATGTGGGCTCTTCTGAGCAGAAATGAATGTCGCTTGCAGCGGTCGATATCGACCCCAAAGAATGTAGTATACATGTGTGAATATACTGCACCTTACCATACACTTCCACCCTCCCGAAAACAATCTGCGCATTGATCTGTCCGGTGGATCTGCGGTTGGCATGACAGACTATCAATACTAGAGGTCGGACATTTGGGCCGGCCCATATCCTAAGGCGGATCCTTGCCTGTTCACACTTCCTCCGGCAAGCTCGCTAAGATGATTCTGAGCACTCTAGCCAACCAATGTGCCCCCCAATGGAATATCTCAGCAAAAACCACCCTGGATGCTGACTTTGCCCAATCCAGAAGCGGTCCCATGGCCCTGAACACCCATGCTCCAACAAAGAACACACAGTACAAGAGCTCAAGGTAAGCCACCACATCTCGAGCAAGGGGCTGAGCCTGCTCCAGACCCCTGTTGCCCGCGCCGTTCAGTCTCACTCCCCGCCAGGTGAGCGCTGAGGACTCATCCCCACTGTTGATACCGTTGACCCCCTGATCAAAGGCTATGTCAACAGACCCAGCTGAAGACTCCTGGAAGCTCACGTGCACTGACTTTGCGTCGCTTGGGACCGGGAAGTTGAGCGTCAGTCCATTGTGTGCCCCGTCTCCGTCAACAGTGACGCTGATAGTTGCTTTAGGACGCCTCTGGAGGGATCCCTTCCTTTGTAAGAGGTCCAGCGCAGCATCACTGGGGCTGCGAACCAGAGGTGTAGATGATACATTCCAAGGTGTGCTCTGACTGTCGGCGGCACACTGCAGAGCATTGGAGCTGCTATCAACATTCTGACTGGAATATTCCTCCCCTCCTGAAAGGACCCTGAGCTGGTGAAATAGGGTTGTGAATGTTGGCTTGAGCTTTGCAACCACCTTGGGGGGCACAAAGTAGAGCGCAGCAGAAAGAGCACCTTTAGCAAGGTCCATCTTGACAGGATCCTTGCTCCGGCAAGCTACTATGAGGTCCCTGAGGTACGATCTAAAATCGATGAGCAAGATCGAGCTCAGAGGACGCCTCGAAAGGCAGGACAGGCATCACGCGTTCGGATAGGTGCGACTACTCCCTGCATAGGTCAAGTGAATGAGGCCGCCGCGCCACCCTCTAGGGTTACTTTCAACAAACATCGGCCCGTCGTCAACACTTCCTTCTGCTGAAGCTCTCCCTCCCGGCGCCCTGACTGCTGGCAGGGCCGCTAGTTGAGCTGTGAAATGCAGCTTCCCCTAGATCTGACTCTGAGCTTTCAAGAACCATGCTAATTGGCATTGCTGACGTTGACCAGTGTCGAAGAATCCCAACTTCCAAGTAAAACCGATGAGAATCTCGAGGAGCGGGACTTGCTTCAATATGTGTCCCTTCCTGCCGTCTTTCATAGACGGCGTTGGACCGACCGGGATCAGCTGAGCCGTTGCCGGTGCCGCTTTGACCGTTGTCGTTATGAAGGTATTATTCACATCAAGCTGAATCATTTAGTAAATAGGGAACAGGACCCAGGCGCGGGGCGCATCCTCCCTTTCGTATCAAGCTAGCACGCAGCACGGATGTCTGGACAGCATTCTGAGCACTCATTCAGCTCTTCACCCCTTCCTCTAGCAAGCGGAGGACAGGAGACAATTCTCGCAAATCCATGCCGCATTGCTGGAAACCGACCTTCTGTGGCCATTCTGCCCGATGCTTGCCTTTCGACAGGCTGCATTGGTCCAAACGTTGGAAGCTTTGGCACATCATTGCTGCAGAGGGAAAGCGGAGCAGCCCATCACTTGCTTCTTTTCCTCTTTTCAGCACCAGCTTCGAACAGCTTGGCAGGATAACAGACAGAAACCTGTGCGAGCGAGCGACTTGCTCTCTCCTGGTTTAAAGATCCAGAGTCACGACCAAGACAGACTTTCCACCAGCAGCATTGAGTCAACTCGAAGGTACACAGCACTTAGTCACACTCTTGGAGCTGAGAAGTGTCCATCTTCTGCAGAGCGGCCGTTTGGAACAGGTATTGTCCCTGGATCTGACAGAATGCCAGCTCACTGGCTGCTCAAAAGCGAGCCTGAGGAATGGTCCTGGGAGGACCAGGTCAAGAAGGGGGTGGAGAGCTGGGACGGAGTGCGCAATGCGCTGGCGCAGGTCGGCAATGCACATTTCTCATCTTCTCAATTTCTCATCTCTCTGCTCATCTTCTCTCTGAGACGGATTGAAGTTGCAGCTGAATGAGACAGATTGTTGATCAGCATTTGATACAGGGTCCAACGTCGAATCAGCAAGGTCCCCAGCAGCAAGCGAAGCACTTGTGCACTGCCACTCACCGTTTACAATCGGCAAAGTCCTCCTTTGTTTCAGTCCTTGAATAATAGTCCAGCTTTTTGCAATCAAGAGCTGCTTATGCCCTTGAAGACGCCACAACCCCAGAGCGATGCACCTGCTTTTTACTACGTTGTTCAGGTTCTGATTCTCATTTTACGCCTGTGGTGCAGAAAAATATGCGAGCCATGAAGTGTGGAGACCTCTGCTTCTTCTACCACTCTGGTAAACAGAAGGCTGTGGTCGGGATTGTCAGCGTATGTAAGGAGATCTATCCAGACCCTTCGGATGAAACTGGCAAGTGGGGCATGGTCGACGTGAAAGCAGAGAGGCCCCTTGTTCAACCGGTCACTCTTGGGGAGATGAAAGCTGATCCCACATTTGTGGACTTGATACTCATTCGTCAGTCGCGGTTGTCAGTGGTGCCGCTTGAAGAGAAGCATTGGGACAGGATCAACGAGCTCGGGAGTGTAAAAAGGGAAGAGGAACCAAAGAAGCCTCGGAAACGAGCAAAGAAGGACAAGGGAACCGAATTGGAGCCAGAGGTGGGGGTTCGAGCTACAAGTGAAGTGGTTGATGAGGGAGTTGAAGGAGTGGTTGTGATGGACTCGACAAAGATCGAAGAGGAAACCGAGAAGGACGATAATAAAGGTGGGCCGAAAGGTAGAAAGCCTAGAAAAAGGAAGGCTGTTGAGAGTACAGGGCAGGTCTTGGACGTTGATGAGAAGAGTCGAAAGGAAAGGACAAGTGGTAGTAAGGTCGTGAACAAGCAAGTGGAGAAGTCGGCAACCAGTACAGAAGGTGATGCTTCCCTAAGAAGAAGCGGTCGAAGTCAAGAAGACCCTAGGCCTTCATGCCTGTAATTTCAGGTTGTCCGTATTCAAGTTGCACACATTGGCACAGTGATCCAGGCTGCACAGTCACTTTGTTGCTGTTCAAATATTGCATGGTGCAGAAGCAAGACGGTTGTCAGTCCAAGGCAGATTAAGGGATAAATGAATACTGCAAGCCAATGATGAGCATTAAGACTGTACAGGCAATCAGTCACAATCAGTGCAATGTACTCTGCAAAATTCGCCTCAAAATATTCGATGCATCAAACTACACCTGGTTTCATGCATCCGGACGGCCACGGGCTTCATATGCAGCTATGAGACAATCCATGCACATATATGGAGAGCTGGCAACATCGCATGTGGTGCGCTTGCACCATCATACTTGCGTACCGTTGCATGCAGCAGTTGAGATCAAATCAGGCGGCTTCTGACCATGCTTCGAATTGCAATCATCAACCTGCAAGTAACATGGAACCACATAACAGGCCGGCTCGACCTGCATTCATCACATGAGCTGAATCATGTTAAACATCTAGTCTCTACCACTGTGACATGCAAATCAGCTCAGCTCGACATGTTGCAACGCAAATTTGCAAATTGATTGCAAGGGAGACCTCTGTCTGTAACCGTCTCACGACAGCCCCGCGAATTTGCCAGACAGTCATGTAAAATCTAGCGGTAAGGACAGGTCAAAGCACAGCCCTTCGCCAATGACACGGAGCTTCCCCCTCAGATCGTTTATGTGCCTCCAGTGACACGTTTCTCGAGCCAGGAAGCTAGTGGCGCAATCTACTTGCCCTTGGCCGCTGCCCTCAGGGCATCGATCACCGTATGGACTCGGCGCTGCTGCCTAAACGTGGCCAGGCCAGCGGTCAACGCGTTCTGTTTCAGCATCTCCTTCACGTTCCCGACCCCAGAAGCCGCCTGCGCGGTCAGTTGCAGAAGCGGGGCAGTCGAGGCGAGGACGTCGATCCCGGCCAGGTGCTGCGCCCACTTGAACGGCCTGAAGGGGCGGCTCGAGTCGAACTGGAAAGTCCCGCCCATCAGAGCCTTAACCGCCTGGAAAGCGTGATTGTGTCGGGATGAGTAAACAGGCAAAGGCGGGAACGGAAGCGCTGGAAATCGACACTGAGCTTTCGGATCGTCAGTGCAGGCTTTTATTAGATAAATGCAGAGGTCAGAAGAGGTAACGAAGTGCAGGTGATGGTCTGCATCCGTTGAACCTCCAGAATATTGGCCGGGCCGATATAGACGTACAGAAATACTCCACAAGCCTTCTGCAAGACGGTCCCTGAAGCAGACAAGGACAGCGAAATGTTCGATTGAGTGTCTGCCCAACGTGTCTGACGGCAACGCATACATGAAAGTTATGAGTGTAAGGCGCTGCCTTTTCCACACAGCGTGACCTTCTCAATCTGCATTCGGGGGACCAATCACCAGGTGGGCCACTTCGCACGACGCCCTCTTTGCGGAAGACACAAAGGACTTCAGACAATTCAGACCCTGCGTTAATTGACGACGCCAATGATCATACTGGTTCATTCTTGAGGGACATGAGTAAGTAGATTACCGTGAAATGCAAACCGAAATATCAGGGTCCGGAGAACTGCGTCATAGTCGTCAGTGTCTTCCCCCCCAAGACCGAGGGTAAGGAATGAGACAAAGCAAACAAGATCATCCTTTCTCTGGGATACACAAAATGAGGGTCGACTGCGCCTGGAAAAAGGGAAACAGGTGACTGTTTGAGGAAACAGTACTCGGTCGATTCCCCAGTCCCAGCCACGAAATTGGACAGAACGCTAAAGCATTCAAGGCATGAAATCATGAAGAGCAGTTTACGAACTCACACCATTGCGAAAGCATGGCCTAGACCCTTGAATAATCATGCCTGATCAGCCCTATCCCTGAGTCGTACTTTTCTACCCTCGCTCCCCGCACCTCAAGAAAAGAGCACAAAGAAAGGCCAAACATCTGCGGTTTCACCAGGCTACCAGGACTTACAACAAACATGGAGAAGAAAAGTTAGCCCTATTGCTCACCTCGGTAGGCGCTTCCTCTCCAACGTCATCAGGAAACACCCGTTTGAGAATCCCGCTTCCGTCTGCTTTCCCATCCAGAGTCACTGCCTGCGCCGCAACCAGGTTGAGTTGCCGCAAGTACTCAAACCGCACTCGTACCACAACGTCGTTCTTCTGATTGCCTTCTTGCCCCCGCACTTGCAGTGAAACCAACAGGGGGTGCGTCTGGTACATGTTCTGCTCCATCTCGTCCCCCGTCCGCTGCCGTTTCCGCCTCCCCTCCTCCTCCTCGCTACCCTCTAGAGGGCTCCTCCTGCTTGTGAGCACCTTCGAAACCTCTAAAAGTGCCAGCGCCTCAGCTTCCTTCGAGCTCCCCAACACCTCCACGTCAAGCCCATCATCCACCGCCTCCTTGTACGCGAGCAACTGCGTATACAGAACGTACAACGGCCCTGGCAATAGCTCCGCCAGCCTGTGCTGCTTGATCTCACTCTGGCGCGCCAGCCCTAGCGACTGCTCGACCGGGAGCGCTGCCTTTTTGACGGACTTGAGCTGCGCCGAGATTGTCTCGAGGAACTTTCGGCGCTCGGTGACTTTCTCGGCCAGCTGCTGCTTCTGCGCCTGGAGCGTGCTCAACTTCTCCACAAGCTCTTTCCTCTGCAGAGGAGATGGAGGGCGTTTGACGTTGGAAAGGATTGATCATGGAAAGCAGACGTTCCATTCCTCCAGCGAGGGGTGAAAAGCAGGAAACCTGTCGGAAACACTTGAAGGGTCAAAATAGATACTGCGTGCCGCCATGCCCCCTGGCATAACACAAAGCATAACACAAAGCTGCAATTCCAAGTACAGAGAGTTGCATTCGAGTTGACATTGGCAGAACACAAGCAAGAACTTTTTGGTGGTGGTAGGAAGCACCACCTCTCGAAAGATGAAACTTTGTTCTGCTCAATGAACAATCACACAGACTAAAAACGCAAAATGAATTGCAACCCCCATCAGATCAGTCATAATCCAGCTTGCCTTGGGCAATCCGAAAGCCAAAGTACAGAAGCATCAGTTACCTGTGCTAGTTCCAATCTCAACCGTGCCAATAGCAGTTGGTGAGGATCCTCCTTCAGCTTGGCATCGCTCTTCTGCTCCTCGCTCGCATTCTTCCAAAACACTTCTTCCGCTTGCAACTCAATGCCAGGAAACTTGGTCTTGAACTCGCGGCATGCCCGGATCTCCCTCAAAAAGTGATCCCTTTCGTAGAGCAGATTGTTCAACTCCAGCGTAGCCTTGTCAAGAGGGGCTTTTGCCTCATCAGTCTCCGCCTTCACTTTGTCCTCAGCGAGGTAAAAATTGCGGCACAACCGCCGGAGATCAATCAAATGTATCGCAGCATCGGTCAGGGCTGCTTTTATCTTTGCCGTGTCTTCCTCTGTCCGCTTCAAAGCGAGCGCTTCTCCAAGGCTCTCCTTCAGACCATGTACAGTGAGCGATAGCAGGTTGGCGCCACCGTCCTGGCCGTCAATCTCCATCATTTTGATGGCCTGAAAATTTATAACGCAGCACGTGAGGAATAGAGGTGGAAAAGAAAGCACAGAACACTTCAGCTAGTCCTACACTACCGGTATTGCAAATGCACCACCGTGACAGTGACCACTCCCTCCACTGCCAGAAACGAAGCGTCCATTCCACACTTGGGCCACCAAAACCCTAACCCATTGTTTATTTTAACCCAAGCTGCTAACCTTGCACAATGCTTGCCACACGCTGACGTCATGATTTTGTACGATGACCGTTTCTTATGCCGAAATAATAGGTCGAGAGTCGAGCGACAGGTCGCAACCAATCAGAAGCGAGGACGAGAAAGAAAAGCTACCATGTCATTGGTCGAGCGTGATTCGAGCCTAGCCGGATGCATCATGCACCCTAGGAACTGATGTCACTCACTATGTACTGGCTCAAGATAGGGTCAATAGGCTATGGACCTGGTTCCAGGTCTGGTGACTCTGGTCTGGACTCTGGAGCAGGGCTTGCCACCAACTTTCACCGGTGCCGGCCGTCTACCGGCCCTTCTACATTTCTACCGGCTGGCCACACGGGCTAAAGCACCGGGCTCCGGTTTTGACCAGGCGCCGAGCATTTTTTGCCGGCTGTCCAGCCGGTGGGGTGCCTTCGGCACCGGTGCATCTGTCATTTCTGCCGGCCAGGTCCAGCTTAAACACCGGTTCGTGGCAAGCACTGCTCTGGAGTCTGGACTCTGGACTCTGTTCGGAAAAGTTGCAAGCCTGAACTTGCTGAAGGTTGAACTTGAAGGCTGAAGCCCAGCAAAAAGAAGATGAGGCATTGATCCGGGTTCTCATTCCATCTGCACTGAGGTGGATGTTCTTCGTTCTCGTGTCACTATTAGTAATAGTTCGATTAAAGGTCCATTCAATCCTCATTCCTTCTTCATTCGAGCAGTGTGATCAGGCTCTGATTGACAACATCATTGGAGTCCTCATTGTTCCCACGATGGCGGAGGCAAATGCACCCCCCGTTGGTGCCGACTATCTTCCCCTCCCCGCTACCTTCGACCCCAGTCGCCGCTCGCAGGGGCACACCAAAGCGCACCGGTCCGTCATTGTGTTCCTGGCTGTCTCTCTCATCGCCCTCGCAGGCACGTGTATGTACCTTGACATCTCTCTGGAGCAAGTGACGGCTCAGCTGAAGGCAGCCTCAATGCAGCTTTCTGCTGCGAACAAGCCGGGCTCAAAGCACACCGACGCCTGCATGGCACGTGCGCACGATCCCCAGTGCATCAAGACCCCTGCTGAGTACGTCAAGATTCTGATGGAGAGGTCCAAGAGTCATGTGGCCCTCAACAGGACTGCCTGTGTGGCCGATAACATGCTGGTAAGTTCCTTACTCTACAACCTACTGGCTTCCTGAGTTGTAACTTCATTCGACACAATCAGTGAACTGTCCCCCTATGCACCCTCAATCTGGCAACCGCCAAGAATCAACAGCGCCCTTGCAGATTTTCTCTACTTTCGTAAGTTTGGTTCAGCAAAATGACACCCCAATGATGGTGCTGAAGTTGCATCAATGGTGGACACCTAAGTGCACCCGAATTCATGCTCAGCAGACTGTTGCTTTGCATTGGGCAGGTTGTTAGAAGTCAGACTTGAGGACTCTGAGAATATCTGGCTGCTTCCTGGGTTATTCAATGCAGCCACTCATCCAATGGCATCGTCAGCTCTTTCGTGTTGCTTCTGTTCAGGGGAGAATGTACACTGGGGCGTTCCAGAGTGATGACTGGCAGCTGGACCCTGGTGAGAAAAGGCCCTGTCTTTGCATCACAGAAGTTGGACACTGGTGCAACTTCAATAGTTGCAGTGCAATTGTCAATTGAAGGTCAGAACCAGGCAGGTTCTGGAAGTCAATCTGTATTGTCGCTAGGCTTCCAGCAACTCAAACGGACATGAATTCATTTCAAGAGTGGGACTGTCTGTCCTGTCAGACGTCTGCAAACAAGCTTGCTCATTGAACCCCTCGGCGTCAGTTTTTGACCAATGCAAGATGTGCTTTTGGATTCTTGCAACACCTTCCAGCTTGTTTAACCACTTGCAAGCTTGGTGCTTCCATATGCTAAAAAGAGGACTTTGTCTCCTCCACATCAAATGCATTGAGTGCTTTACACGAGCAGCAAAACTCCAACACCACGAGTCTTGATTCATATCCTGTTCTCCTCAAGTGCGATTTTCTCTCCTTTGCTGCAGTTCTGTCAAACGCACCCGCCCGTCGCATCATCTTTGCCATTGGACCTCGCATGCTTGAGAAGATTCTGGTTTGGGGCCACAACGCAGCAGACAAGGCTGTCAAGTGAGGGGTCCTGGTGAAATGATAATCCTGTCCGATTATTCTCAAGGTTATTAAGGGTGCATCAGTGGTGAAGGCACGCTTTTGCACTATCTCTAGCACTCTTCTTCGGCGGCCTTTCTGAAGCATTGCGCAGGCCTTTTCACCTTGCAATATGATGCCCTGGTGACGACGAAAGGCCAATTGATAACGATCAGTGCCAGAGACTCTTGCTACCAATTCGCAACTTTTTAAGGCTATACTTCTCAGTCCCTCTGAGCACGCCTTCCCTTTAGGAGGGACAGTTGGGTCCGGTGCTTTGTGAAGGTTGCCTGATCAGGAGAGTTCTCACCCTTGCCGCTTCATTCTTCTGACAGCATTGTCCACCTGGTACTCCAAGTCCAGGTTAATTTCTGATGCTTGCGCAAGTAGGCGCTACAGGTAGCCCCACAAGGCATGTCCTTTGGAGGCTGGCAATGAACTTGTCCCCTATCCTGTAGGAGCAAAACACTTCACTAAGCAGAAAACAGGCCTTTATCCAATTTGATGCGAGCATGCGGTCAGCTTAAATTTAGTTGCAGCCCTTACAAGAGAATGCATTCTTCTCACTTGTTCTCACCCTCGGATTATCCAGCAGATGCCATTCACGATAGACTGGTTGCAGTCACTGACACCATCTCTCTTTCCCTGTTCCAGCAACTAAGCAGTGGCACTCTTAGGTGCTGCGTACTAACAATCCTCTGATCATGTCCTTGGCAACTCTTTCTTCCCATCTCCCGTTCCAGTCTCTTTGGAGTGCCATTTTGTAGATTCAAATGCTTGGTGGAATGCTTATAAGTTGGCCAACTGTTCATAGACGCATTTGAAAACTCCAAGGTCTTGAAGCACCTGGTGTCTGTCTCAGGCCCTACACCCTCTTTTCTCATCGTCCCTTCTCTAAGACGTTTCAATTTGCAGCGGTCCATGTCGTGATTCAGACCTTTTTGACTTCACTCAAAAGCGCTTCCACTCTCTTTTAGGTCACTCGGCTACGGGGATGCGTTCGTTTGCGGCGGTGCGCCAGACTACAGAGCATCCTGCCAGTACCGTCTCCTGGTCTGGACGTCAGAATGCACCGTCAAGAACGAGGGGCCGCTCGTGAGGGGCGACTGGGCCAACCTGGAGGCGTTCATGCGGGAGGACTATGGGAAGGAGCTCCCGAAGCTCACCCGTCAGATTGCGGTGAGTGGTTACGCGGCCCTTAAATGCAGAAGTAGGGATTGCCTCTCAGGCGCAGTTCTTGTGAATGGCTTGGCAAGCTGAGGCATGCGATGTTCGGAGAGGGGGGCTATTGACAAGTACGGAGCTTTCGAACCTGAAGCCGGATTTGCGGAAAACTTCAGTTCCGATCTGTTCGTCTCTGGCTTTGTCGCGGGAGAATGCTTGCGAAATGTAGAAACTACGTTGCGGGGAATGAGTTTTTTACGTTTGTTTGGATGGCGGTCTTTCTGGATGAAAGTACAAGTCTATGCGGAATGCGTGCTGCAATGTGCATCAGCGTCCACATTTTCTTTTGAGAGGACGGGCAAGGTCTGTGCTGCTTCTGACGCTCATAGGGTCGCCGTTCTGGTTTGCACTGATTGGAAAAGCGTGCTAAGTCTTCTGGCGTGCTTGGGCATTCTGGCCGACTCTTCACAGTCCCACTGGGACGTGATGGCCGGTGCTTATCTCAACTTCGCATCACTTTACTTCCGGCGTTTTGCCCTTACTTTCTTACTGGCGGCCGAGCTTTGTCCGTTGCCCACTGCACAGCAGAAACATCGAGTTCTTCTTTCCTTCCTTTGGTTCGTGCACTCTTCTCGAATGTGAACCGTCACCAACTGTTCGTCACTCCGCAGATCGTCGCATCTGCCAAACGCCGTTGGATGCAATCAGCAGATGTTCGTAAAGTCCGACAACCGCACTGAGTCCTTGGCTGTGGTCCCTCGGATCGAGACTTGTTGTCGTCGTATCAGATGCAACTGCAGCGCCGAGAAGGCAGGAGGCGGCATCATATCTCAGCCGACCTCGATTAACCAGATCCTAAACAACTGCGATTGATGGCCTCACTCCATTTTGACGTGCTTCTGATCGTAAACTCGGTGGGAGGCGATTTAACCGAGTCCTGACCATCCTTGGTTAAAAAACGGAAATCTTCCTGGAGTTACAGGAGCTCGAGGCGAAAACCTTCGGCGATCTGACCAAGTGCGACCCGGACGTGCTCCAAATCAAGGCTTGGAGGGAGGCTCCTTAACCAAACCTTAACCAGTGGTTAACAGCATATAATTACTTGGTTTTTACAGGAGCTCCAAGCGAAAACCTTCCGCGAGGTGACCAAGTGCGACCTCGACGTCCTGCAAGTCAAGGCCTGGGACCACCGGAGTTCCGCCCTTAAAATCCTGTGTCATCACAGCGGTCTTCCGAAGAGAAGGAGGCGCCCTAACGAGACCTTAACCAGTGTTTCAAGGTGGATCTTCCTGAATTCACAGGAGCTCGAGGCGACAACCTTCCGCGAGCTGACCAAGTGCGACCCGGACGTGCTCCAAGTTCCGCCGATTACCCTTTGTCACCACAGCGGTCTTCCGAAGAAGCAGCTTGGAGGGAGGCGCCTTGAGCAAACCCTAACCGGTGGTCAACGGCAATATTTTTATTCTTATTTCTACAGGAGCTCGAGGCGACAACCTTCCGCGAGTTGACCAAGTGCGACCCGGACGTGCTCCAAATCAAGGCCTGGGACCCCGCCCAGCAAGTCAAGGCGGGGTGCTCCCCCGAGTACATTGCCGCGCTTGCTAAGTTCCCGTACAAGGCCTGCAACGACTCCAGCCCCCAGGTCACCAAGTACACAAAGTGCCCGGCGGAAGAGGCGCTGCTGCACGGGGGATCCCCCCCGACCACCCTCGAGCTGCGCGCGTTCCTGCAGCAGACGCAGGTAAGGCAATCCCGTGAGATCGAGTGCCTGAAAAGATGTGACACTATCAGGGGGTTTTGGTGCAGTGGCTCAAATATAGCCCCAACCAACAGACATAACGCGCTCTGCAGCCAAAGCCACTTTCTACGTATCTCAAAGGCGGACCGTCGCAGGTAGGAACACGCTGGAAGACAGCATAAAAGAATCTGCGTCGATACCGCACGTATTTCGACGTTGCAGAACGGACGCTTCGGCCTCCCTGACTCTGTGCGATTTGCCGAGTTTGACCTAAATCGGATCTGGAACCCTGTCCTCATGCCGCCGGAAGGCTGAAGGTTGCAGACTGAGATTCAAATGTGACGATTGGAAGGTTACGCAACAGATTCGGCAAAACATGGTATTAAGAATCTAGCAGCGGGAGGAAAGAGGATCTCCGTGATTGACCAACGTTGAAGCCCTAAGCGCAACACGACATGCTGTGAACCCACCCTAACCACCACCTTAGATTGACCCGTCCTCGTCGAGGTCCTTCTCATTTCTGGAACCTCCTTCAAAGTGAAATCTACTCTTGTCCGAAACCTTCGTGCTGAACCCTGCTCTTGCTCGAATCCTTCCTGCTGAACTCTACTCTTGTGCGAATCCTTCTGCTGAACTCTACTCTTGTGCGAATCCTTCTGCTGAATTCTACTCTTGTGCGATCCGCGTGCAGGGCTTCATGCCCCAGTACACCGGGTACAGCTACACCGCCAACGAGTACGACGACCCGCTGAGCCAGGAGTTCTGGATCCACAACGACGAGCGCAAGCACCTGGCGAACGGCGTCGTGACCAAGCTGTGGAACGATACGGCGGAGGTGGTGCCGCACGCATGAGCTCACGTCACGGATCATGCCGGGGTGACGTGGCGGGTGCGCGGATCCAATTCGGGTCGGTGTAATCTTATTCGTTTGCCGCCCCCAAGAGAAGTCCAAGCACCAAATGTGATCCGTATTTGTAGTAGCGTTCGGAGGATCTAATTTAAGCCCGGAGCATTAGAGACGCTCGGGATGTTACGCGTCTGTCATGGTGTGCCACCAGCTTGCTAAAAAGCTTCAAGTTAACTAACCCGTTGTTTCAGGGCCCTCCTTGTGCATCTAATGTAGACTAGTTGCAGTTTGTTTTGACGCTCTTCAGTCCATGGCAAGAAACGAAGGTATACAGGGGTTGGCGTCTCCCTAGGTTAACAAGTCGATCGGATAAGTTGGACAGCTAGATTGTTGACGCAGGTTGGTTAAGGACTGCAACACTCTTTCATGGTGATCTAGCTTGAACTTCCCTTCCGAAGGCGCCCCATCCTAAAGCGCCTCGAAACATCACATTATGACCCGCCGCTTTATGGAATGTACATCATCGAATGACGTGAGGTGCTCCAGGACCGTCTTGATTAGATATGCAATCACGTGCTGTCTGGCTCTTCCTGATAGAAACTCCAACAACGTCGATCCCAATCGAATGCATGGCTTTCGACTGGCGGCCGCACTGCATGCAAGCCCGCTGTCATTCTTCAAGCATGCATCCGGAGCCTGGCCGGTAACTGGTTCATCATGCGTCAGTACGGCCTGAGACTTCAATCATGTAACAAACGAAAGCTCTCCGGCCACAAGTAGCTTTATGCAACGCCGATCCGGCCATGCCTTCAAGCGCACTGATACTCAAAAGGTTGAACGTTCACGATACAGATCCAGGAGTCAGATCAATCAATAGCTTACGCGGAACACTATTGAATCGAGTACAGCTCTCGGGTCAGACTTTTTAATGTACACGAGCCGTACAGGCTCTTTATCGTAGACTTGATCAACGCACGCCTGTGAATGCGACTGGCAAACGTGTGGCCGTCAATCAACAAGGGCAAGAAGAAATAGGATAACCCTCTACTGCCGGTGTGCTCTAGAACTTTCCTCGTTCAAGACCCTTCACCCGTTCCCTTTCGACAGTCTGCTCGGTGCCGTTTCCAGTCTTGCTTCTGGCACGCAACGCCGCAATAAAACACACCTCGACAGCCGGAGCACCGTCTCGCGGCACTCGTGGACTTCTTGCACATCGCACAAATCTCTTCCGGATCCACTAACAAAATCGACCGCCCTTCGCCCTCCGAATTGCGTCCCACCGGATCCCCCGACCGCACAGGAGATTCATCTGGCCACAAAACACCAAACGAGCCTCCCCCTACCCCGCCTTCCCGTAACCAGTTTTCTAAACGAGCCGCGTCCCTGGCGGCCCGACTTCCTACTCCGTACGAAGTCCACTCATTGCGCTCCCAATTGTATACGACTCCGCTTCTCCCTTTCTCTACTCGGTCGCCCAAATACTTCGGCGGCCGGCCGTCTCTTCGATACCCCCACAAAATCATTTTCAGAATGTCCAGCCGGACGGAAGCCACGACCGGTTTCCCGGTTCCCAAGGCGGCCAACAGCGGCGGCGCGAGCGTTTCCGCGAGGTTCTGCCTGACACGTGTCGCACACCCGGCGCCCGCTGACGCCAGCACGCACAGAAAGTGGTGCAAGCGCGTGTCGAACGCGTGGTGTGGAGACCCGCGCAGAGTCACGAGCACCGGGGGCAGTTTCCGGTCAACCATCAGTTTAACTAACCCGGGGAGGTCACCCGGGGGGAGCTCGGTCCCCTCCGCGCCGTCGCCCTGACTCAATAAGCTATCGGGGTCGGTTCCCATGCCGACCAAACTGTTCCGAAAAGCGAGGAACAGGAACTCGAGCATATCTTCCAGGCGCTCGAGCTCGGTTTCCGTACGGTCCCCGATCGGCGATCGCTGCGTGGCTTCGTTTTTGAAGGCGCGGACGAGCCCCGGGAAAAGGTGCGCCAGCAGCTGCGCGGGGGAGAGCTTGCGCCGGTGGAACGCGGCGGATATGATGGTGCGCGCGGTGAGGTAGACGTGGAAGTCAATCGCGTTGGCCATGACGTCACAGCAGGATTCGTAGACGGTGGAGGGGAGAGTGCGCGGGTGGGTCAAGGTTAGGATGTGCGCCAGTTCGACGAAGCAGGCCTGTGGGATGACAAGAAACAGAGCGCATGAGAAGACGCGACTAGAGGAATGAGATACAGCTCTTTGCATTGGGTTCTAATCCCTCCGAGCATGGTTCCTGATCTTGAGCCGTTCGATGCCTTTCTTCTTGTCGGTCGAACGGTCCAAGATGAGGAACCAAGCTCGGAGCTGGCGGGCTTCAAGCAAGGAGCTGTACGAGACTTGACACGGCGTTGAACTCAGTCGTGGAGGGTATGCAATCCAACACAGCAACGCTTGTGATTACGCTTTACGTAAAACAAGCAATGGAACAGCCGGCCAGGATCAGCGGGAAGCGTGAAACTTTCAAGAATGAGGCTTGCGGGTTCTGAATGACCCGCACATTCAGCGAGTTGGAAAGACCTCAATGAATCTGACCCAGATAATCGGGTATCAGTGTCCGAGACCTGCGACTCTCTTTGTAATCCTTTGATGCAAAGGGAGAGGGATTGTGCTCGACCATGTCATTATGCTTGCTGTCGGGTTCTTGAAATCTAATTCAATTTCCCGAAAGATCGAACTGTTGTAACATTCCAAAACGTAAATGAAAGCAACGTTGAATCCTGGAAAGTCACGTTCAAAGCAAGTTCTCCACTTGGCGTCGAGACCTCCTCAAGAGTAATAGCACTTTGACTTTGTACAAGATCGCAACGAGCAGGCCCCAGACTGTTTTCAAAATACAAGCCGAGTCGGGGAGCCCTTGAAGATTCATAATGCAAAACTTGAAAGAGCTGGACACGAGGGGACGCTTGTCCAGATCGTATGTCTAAAAGTCAAGGGGTGATCTTTGTGAGAGCAATCACTGTATACTTAACAAGGAAGGCCAGACTTACGCAGGCGCCCCGCCAGTCTTCATTGCGGTGCTCCAAGCAGCCTCTTAGATGGAGCAGCAACTTTTCGACGTCCTTGTGATTGGCAAGCTGCAGGATCGCCCGTTTACAAACGGCCTCGCTCAGATTGCTGCGAGGAAGAAAAGCGGCTGCGTAAAAAATCTCCAGTATCCAGAAGCTTTTCCATTCCTTCGATTCGAGGGTGTGCTGGTTTCCTTTCTTCGAATGGAATATCCAACTGGCTTCTGAGTCTTTACTTTCAGGAGCTTCGGGTACAAGGCCACATGATGCGCGCCGATGTTCCTTTGCTCAGTCGTAGTCAGAAGATGCATCCTTCATGTCACCAGTCTTGAATGGTTTTCGTGCGTTCTCCTGAATGGTTTGAGGTGGTTGAGAGTAGAAAGCCTTGAGAACCGTCTTCGAAAGAAAGTCGGCTGCTCATTTCATGATAAGTTCGTTGATAAGAAAGCCGGCAAATTACAACGCCCGCTCTCATGTACCGTCAAGCGGCCGAGTACAATGAGGTCGTTAAAAAGTTCTCCGTCTGTAAACCCTGGCTTTCCCAAACGTTGCTTCGTAGGCTCACCTTTCGATACGGGATGAGTACAGCCAGATCTGCTGGATGATACACAGGTACGAGCGGCCAATATGTGTTGCCATCCCCTCCCCTTGACTTTCATACAGAAGCGTTCCCCGCACCACAGCATCTAGCACTCCTGCAAACAGAGTATTGGTCCTGGATTAGTGACTATACCCGCAAATTGTCTTGCACATTTAGTGTGCGAGATGGAACGGGAAAGCATGACCTGGTGTCACGTGACTCTATTCTGACCGTTGACAAATGATCGTTTGCTCTGTAAGTGATGGTCATGTCCCAACGCTTTCGTCACACTGTCAGCTGACAATTGAAAAAGAGCCACGTTGTTGAGAAAGCGGCTCCTCCTATCCTCACAAAGTAGAATGCGGTCAGAAATTTGATCAGCAGGGATACAGCTAAGGACCCGCAGAAGCCCTGAATGTGTTTACCGCATATGGAACCTTTCCGATCAAGAAGTGGCTGGTGTCCTGTACTTAGATGACTTGAGAAATCGACCGCTCACAGACACGCAAAGGAGCCTCCTTTGGTCAACAACTGACTGAAAGGGTACTTGTCACAATCTGATCGTCACGCTTGGAAGGAATGACCAACTAGGTCAAGAGTTACCTTACCTGGAGTGGTGACCATCTCATCCCTGTGCAGATCAAGTCTGGCGCAGATACACACCACACTTGCAGCCGACGACCAAAGCGGGACGAGCCGAAGCTGATCCTCGCGACCTGTGGACAGGTCTGCCTTTGACACCGAAATGAGTATCTGCAACAGCCCCGGCATGCACCCCTCTTTGCAGAACCACCGGTAGAACTTGGTGGCGACCTGCTTGGTTGCTGCGTCTGCTTGTGCGTCCAGCGGCAAGTGTAAAGTTGAGAGCGGCAAGGCCATGGTCGAGAAGAAGTTGACCGAAACCACAAGAGAGTTGTCGTAAATGAGCTCCCGCCAAGGCTTGTGCTGCGACCGCTTCGCGACCGCTTTGAACAGCTCTGCTGCGGGGCGCACGACGCCTAGATCCCAGGCAAGCTTTGCACCTTGCAGATTGGGGAGCGTATGAATGAGTCTGATCAGGTTGCTGAGACTCAGGATAATCCGTACGTGGACAGGTGCATTGTTGCTGCTGTACTCATTCATGTTCATGCAAAGCTGTTTAAAGAGCCCCCTGCCGACATAACCCTGGGCTTCTCTGGGCCCTGCGTTCGACACCCGTGTCGCAAACTCTGGGCAGACTGAGAGTTCCTTCAACCGCCCTTTTCTGGTGGGAAGAGGCGCATAGCCGCAATGTCCGCGCTCTCCCGCCAGAATGCTGTCTACCCAGGCCAGTGCCCAGTCGACGTCCCCTGCAGCGATGTCTTCTAGAGAAAGCGTAGCCATCTGTCGCTCGACAGCAGCCGCCGCCATTGCTGCCCCTGGCACGGGCCACTGGATTCAGACCTTTCTTCTTTTCTGCGCGCAAATGCCAGCTGGAAGAACCATGCAGGCGCCGGGCCGCTCCGAAAGCCCGGCCGCGGCACAAGTCCGCGGCCGCGCGTGGAATTAGGGTTTCCAATCCATGGCAGACAAATGCTAGCAAACGTGTTTTGAAGCTGCAGGAAAGTGAGCTGCAAACAGCTGCAAACTGGGATCTTCTTGGTCCTTCTCGCTGGCGTCTGGCAAAGTGCTGTCACTTCTTCCAGAAGTGGTCGAGCTGTCTTTTGCGATTCTTGATGCATGGGTGATCAGGGTTAAGAAACATAGACGATTGTGAGAAACGCTTGCAGATATGGAGGACTCCGCCAACGTTGCATTGGCCGACAGCGCTCCGGAGGCTGAAGAGTCCAGGTTGCCTTCCTTTGTGGAAGAAACAGAGCAGCTGAGCCAGCTGATTGGTCGGATCACACTTGCAAATGGCGCCACTGACGTGTCAAACTACCTGGAGGTTGAGAGGATTGTAAGTGGTTTATTCTTGGACTCTTTTGGTGGTTGAGGATTTAAATGATGCGGGCTGCTTTCTCGAGATTGTTTTTCCAACTTAGTCACAACTGATGAACTGGGGAGAAGGCTGACGATGGGGAGCAAGCCAGACAGATTGGAGGGTGACATGATTCTGTATGTCCATGAGTGTTGTGTGGTTCTCGACTTCATTGACCTTGTAGATGGTCTTTGCAATCAGCCTTTCGCTCCCATGCTTAACCACCAAACAATCAAGCACAAATCGTTGGTCTCGTGGAGCGCTCTCCCAATTCATCAACTGAGCACCAAACCTCTAAAATTCATCAAGGCAGCACATCGTTCACCATGACTGTTCCTAGCGCCTGACCACCAAACATTCACAAATGTGAGCACCTGAACCTCCACATCTGATTTGCTTCTCTTCACATTGATAAACCCCCACAAGCAGGATAACCTGGAACGTAACCCAGTATCGAAACCCTCAAACCCTGCAGTTCGAGAAGTACCAGGAGCAGCCTCAGCTATTAGACCCCCACTTGGAGGGGATTGTGGTTCCCATCATGCTGGTCATCAGGGCCAGGGCGGCGCAGGCTCCTGTGGACACAGCAATCGTGAAGAACCTCTGCCGGCTTATTCACACCCTGTCCACAATCAGGGGGCCAAAGACGGTGGTCAAGCTGTTCCCCCACCAGGCAAGCCACTAAGTTTAGGCCTTTCTTTTCACAGTGCTTTTTGTGCAATTGTCGGTTTTAGAAGAGATGGGGAGCCTCAAAGACGACTAGGTTTTTCAAGTCCGAGAGACCGACAGCAGCAACTAACTTCAACTGACCGTTTATAGATTCCTCTTAGTCAGAACCAGCAGGTTGCTTCAAAGGCGCTATAAGCTTTGGTATGCTTTGGTTAACTTTTCCAGGTGTCAGAAGTTTCGTGAAGTCTAGTCTATCAGCAATTGTGTGCAAACGCCAGTAGTGTTCAGCGAGGTCTTATCATTGGTCAATACATGGAAGGCTTAGAAAGACCCCGTCTCAGGCGTCTACCTTTTGTCCTCTTCCCCTCGGTGCTTGCCACACTGCCACCATGTTAGAGGCGGAGACAGTTCAACAGTTGTGCAGTCGCTGATTGGTATACGGAGTTGGATATCATGAGCTGGGACCCTGCCTCTCTGCAACTAACTTTGTCGTGTCCCTTGATTCCCCTCATCTTATGAGAGGGCGTCTGCACCCCAGAACCCCTCAACTTGGAAGCAGTAGAATGGAGACCTCCACAGCTCCCCTTATCGACCAGTTAGCGATTGGTTTTACCCTTAACCCGCATCCTTCCTGCAGGCATCCGACTTGGAGCCTACGGTCGCCCTGTTAGAACTGATACACCAGGAGAAAGCCCCCTTGAGCATTCTTAAGGAAGAGAGCACCGGCGAATGGGAGTCTCGGTGCACGCTCCTCCTGTGGCTCTCCATGCTAGTTCTCCTCCCATTTGACCTGGCGAGCATTGACACCGCGCTGGGGGAGGGGGCGGAAAGCACTGCCGAAGGGCCCCCCCTGGTGAAGAAGATGGTGGATATCTGCAAGGAGTATCTAAGCAGCCCAGGTGAGGGGAATTCTTACGATTCGGTCTGCAAAATGGAACAAATACTGGTGACGGGAGCCTGCACGTGAGAGAACATGATGACGAATCATGCCGCAGTTGAGACTCCTGCCTCATCTGTACGTGTCATGTGAAGCTTCAATGTTGGCAACGAGTTTTGATTCAGACTGAACGGTGACTCTCGACCTTGCATCTAGCCTCACTCCTGACACCAAAGATAAACGCTGGTAGGTGGCCTTCGACCTGCATCTAGCCTCGATCTTGAACGCCTGAACATGAATAAAGGTGAGGGCCTCGTTTTGACAGAGAAAGTTTGCAGAACGAACAGGAAAACAGAGTAGAAGACAAATGCAGCAAAGGAGATAAAGATCTGCATCTCGTGCTCTCAATGTCAGGCTCTGTCCGAGACGTGGCCTCCGTGCTGCTGGCCCGCCTGCTGACACGTGTCGACATGCGGGCGCCCTTCCGAAGCTTCCTGGCCTGGTCGCACGCCGCAATCTCTTCCACCCAGGACGACCCCACTACCGTCTTCCTCCTTCCGGGCATCATGAGCTCGCTTGCCGCCATCTTCAAGGTGCCGCTTCGTGCTTTTCTTTCCCACAGTCTTTCGTTCCTGTTGACTTGGTCCTCCGCTTTTAGACCTCCTCTCTAAAAGATGCGCTTGGGTGTCTCCACTTCCCTCCCTTGTTGCTCTGCGCTTTTACGTGCCTTCGTTGATTTTGTCGGCGCCTTTGTCCGCTTTTGTCGTTCCTGGGTTGTCCTATCTAGATTCCTCTTCCCCCCTTCCTCGCTTCCTGAGGCTCGAAGTGTTAATTTTTGTCCCGTACGGAGATGTGCAATGTCTTGCTTATCCAGGAAGCCGCTTCTTGGTTGTGCTTTCTCGGTTCTGTCTGCTTCGTTGCCCCTCCGTTTGGACTTGCCGTTATAGCCGAGCACTCTTTCTGTCGGTTGTTTCGTTTGTCCTTCTCCGCGTTTTTAAGGATTTCGTCGTCAAACGTTTGTCGCTTTGCTAGTTCTTTCTTTCCAGGTTTGCCTTTCTCACGTTCTTCTGTTTCTCTTCCCCATTTCTGACCTTCATTTCCCCTTTCCCTTCGAAGAGCTGTCGTTCTTTTTCTCTAGATGGGGAAGACCAGGAAACGTGGATTATCCGTTCAGGTAGGCGGGCGCGACATCCTTCTCGAAGTCTCGGATAGCGTATGGGCGGACGCATGCGCAGTTCTGCAAACGCCGTTCGCCGCCCGCAGTCCCTTGGTGCGCATGCTAGCCGTGAAGCTCATTCAGAGGATCGGCCTCACGCACCTGCCGCCACGTGTCGCAACCTGGAGGTACCAGGTGCGTCAACGTGACTGCAAACTCTTTCTTTGTTCCGTGGTCGACTGTAAGAAAGTATATGAAACTCAAGAAAGATAATAATCACAGGTGGGGTCCCACTCACAGCCAAGAGGTGAAAGGAAATAAGTGAGAGATAAAAGAGAAAAAAGGGGTTTAGGCAGGACATCAACCAGACAACCAAGGATCCCCAGCAGGCCGTCCGATATCAACATCAAATGCAGAGACGCGTGTGAGCATGTGAGCATATGAGCCGTCCGATCGTAGATCATGACAACAATATGACGTTGCATCAGATATTATTTCGTCGAATTCTTGAACCCCTCCCTTGCGTGACACGCGGCCTAATCAGGATGCAGGTTTTTGGTCATGCGGCATTCTTTGTGGGACCAATACGCCCAGAGGATAACAAACTCCGACTAACACCAAAAACCTAACCCAAAAAGATACCTGCTCCGCACCCCTACCCATCGTAATCACCAGATTAACGCTTCCCCGTCCCAATGCGGTTAGTTTACCGTTGTCCCGGCCTATCTCTATTTTTCTTGAGTTCAATAAGAAGTATGTCAAGGCTTGTCTTAGGCAATGAAAGCTTTCCTTGTGGATGAGTCGAGTCGCCGGTGTAAACGAGCCTGTGCCTGCAATTTTTGCTGGTAGAAGCAGACAGAAAGGACCTCAGAAAGACGTCTACAACCTTCATCACTCAGCAATCCGTTCATCCGCTCCGCTTTACCAGTACGTCGTTATCCGAACCGTTACGCGTGCCGCTAGGACTCTGCAGCAGTACTGGATTGAGTCGTCTCCTCTTACCCCGCTTCGCTGGCAGAACAAGCAGAAACGCAGCTGACTACGGTGAAGGAACGGAAAAGAAGACCTCGTCTCAACTAGGCGTGGCTGGTTTTTGCGCAGAGAGGCCATCGGTCTCTACTCCAAAACATGGACGCAAGCCTCCCTCAAGGTGCCACCGACGCGGGCTTGGAGGGAGGGATCCCCCAACCGGACGCCGGCGCGCCTGCCGACGAGCCTGCCCCTGAGGACGACGATCTGGACGTGCCTGACGTAATCGAGGACGTCATCGAGCACCTGCTGACGGGGCTCAAAGACAAGGTGCGCCTGAACCGTTGAGAGGGGACTAGCTTTCGCAAATTACTTATGGTTGATGACCATTCAGGAGACCTTTTTTGGCTTTTTTTCCATTTCCCTTTTTAGTTTTTGAAGGTGTCGATTGATTGTACTTTTCTAGTTTCTCCCTCCTCTCCTCCAACTCGCGTCTCCTCTTCCTTGCAAATAGAGGCTTAAGCCACTTTTGCTAGATACGATCTTCTTTTGTTCTTACTTCTGATTGGCCTCATCACTCTCGCGCATTTCGCCAGTGGGCGTTCCTTGACAATGGTCCGCAGACAAGAACTCTCGACTATTCTGGCTTGCAAAGTTGGCACCAAAGAAAAACAATGTTCTACTACATCCTTATTTCCGTCAGACACCGTCGGCACTTTTCTCTGTGTGTCCGCATGTTTCCAGAATTCGACCAATTTCGTATGATCTATCGATCATTCTCATTTTTTTCTATCCTGTGTCTTCTTCCAGGATACCGTCGTCCGATGGTCCGCCGCAAAGGGCATAGGCCGCGTCACCGGACGCCTGCCCGCGGATTTTGCGGACGAGGTCGTGGGTTCCGTTGCGGAGCTGTTCCGCCCGGCTGAAGGCGACGGAGCGTGGCACGGCGCCTGCCTAGCGGTCGCCGAGCTGGCGCGCAGGGGCCTGCTGCTGCCTCAGCGGCTGTCGGAGGTCGTTCCGGCGATCGTTCAGGTGCGGAAAAGTCGTTGCCGAGGTTGCTATATAACTTGCATTGAAAAGTGACGAAAGCTTCGTTTACATGTTGCGCTCGGTGCTGAAAGTTCCTTTTTTTCGATCCATTTTATCGGAGCAAAACTCACATAGATTGTCAGTTCGTCATACTCTGTCCGTGAACTTCTTTCCGTTTTCTGTGTCCTGCTTTCTAAGAAATCATTCTGTCCCGGTCGAGCAGGAAGTGCTTCAGAATAGTACCCAATAATGACGTCGCCTCCCGGCCCTATAATCTCTCAACTTCCTCGTACGTTCACAATGCAAAGCACGCCCAACGTCACCCTGACGTCAGCAACGCATTTTCCCGCAGGCCCTGCACTACGACGTCCGCCGCGGCCCGCACAGCGTGGGCGCCCACGTGCGGGACGCGGCCGCGTACGTGTGCTGGGCGTTCGTGCGCGCGTACACGCCTGACGTCATGGCCGCCCCGCTGCGCCAGCTGGCGCCCGCGCTGCTCACCGTCGCCTGCTATGACCGGGAGGTGAGGTTGTGAAGTGCTCATTTTCCAGCTGGAACAGTCCTGGGTACTAGGTTTCTAGATGACGGTTAGTAGGTTACCATATTGATCTCAAGCATTAGTTTTCGGGTGTTAGGATTTGATCAATTGAGACTGCAAAAACTGCTTGCTCAGAAACCTTCTTACGGACCTGATGATGGAACCTTTTCCGAGTGAGGAGTGTGCTAGTCCGATCACTATCACCCGCTGTGACCGCGAAGTGAGGTTCGGCCAAAACTGTACGATCCGGTGACAAAACAGTATAACAAACGCTGGCTTCAAATGCAAGTTTGTTTTCTGCTCGGCAGGTTGCACAGATTCGTGGGCTTCACTGGTTTCGCAAGAATTCGGCGGTGCAGGTCATTTTGAGGCATTGTGAGAATCACTTCCGGTTGCAAAGGTCATGATATATCTCCTTGTACCAACAAGAGCCGCGCAGCTATGCGGAATTTCCACTATTGCCTGCCTTTGTTCCCACAGCATCTTCGACTTCTGCTTTTGTTTGCATAGGAGGTTTGGACATCTATCTAGAGCGAGTCTGCCGCCGTCAATTCTGTTCCTCGTCTCAAAGGGACGGCTGCAGCAGGCGCTCTTGGACAGGAGTCACCTATTCTTCAAATCTCGAGCCCCTTAACCTCGCACACAAGATGTTGTTTTCGACGGAGTTTTCCCACAGAGGCGGGGAGTATGGTATATCGTCAATTCCGTGAATTTCGCACCAAATGAATTGCAGACTGGCCGTGCAGCATCTTGAGAGTTTAAGGTGCCCAAGGATTCGTTTTCTCAAAGCTCATAACTGTGAATTGAATTTTCTAGTCCCCTGATCCACCGCTCGTCTTGTTTCCAGGTCAACTGCCGCCGCGCAGCTGCGGCAGCGTTCCAAGAGGCGGTCGGCCGCCAGGGCAACTTCGCGCACGGGATCGAGATCGTGCAAAGGGCGGACTACTTTTCGTTAGGAACGCGGGCGCACGCCTACAAGCACGTGGCGCCCTTCGTGGCGCAGTTTGAGGAGTACCGGCAGCCGCTGATCGACCACGTGATGGCGACCAAGATCAACCACTGGGTAAGAAAGTGGACAACTCGAAAGATTCGCCCGGACACTGAGGGGATCGAAAGATGTTGCTGTGCTGATGTTTGTAAACCGGCTTGATACCTGTTATCGTGCTGAAACTGGCTACTGAGCCGGCTTAAGGCGTTGAGGCCTTCAAAAATGGAGCGTAAAAATGGTAAAGACCACTTCTGGAAGGTTTCTTGATCTGCGTAGTGAGCATGCCGTCCGGCTATGGTAACAAGCTTAATCTCATACAACGAGGACCGCTATTCTAATGTTCTGGCGTCCTTTCAGCACAGAAGCGAGCCCGCATGTAAAAGTCGGTATTTTCTGCTTCCTAATTCCCTGTCAAAGTAGCACTTTGTAAAGAAAGTAACAATGGCTTCCGCAGCACAAGCGTCGGAGGGACGTGATGTACCACATTATCATCAGCTCGAAAGATCGGAAGCTTTTATCCTAGCAGTGATAGGAAAGGTACGGAGCCTCATCGCCTTGTGGTTTCAGCCGATACCCCTTGTCTGCTTGACAACAACCGTTCGAAAACAAGTGTAACAAGCGGGAAGGGTTCTCTTTTTGAATGGACTCAAAAATCACACGCTCCCAACTTTGCTGTCCAGGAGAAGGCGCTCCGCGAGCTGGCGGCGGAAGCCCTCGCGCTTCTAGTTCCCCGCGATCCCGCCCTTTTCACCCTCAAGATTCTCCTACAGCTAGTTGCGTCCACGCTCTCGGCCGACCTGCCGCAAAGGCACGGGGCTACGCTGGCAGTCGGGGAGGTGCTGGTCGCGTTGAAGGCTGCTCACGTCGAGCTGACGTCAGGCATGTTGGCTACTGGTGCTTGAGTTTTCTTACTGCCCATTCGAGGTACAGTGTTCTTAAGCGTGATAAAGGCTTCTCTGCCGCGAGCTGATGTGAATGGAGATCCGCCGCTGGAAGAGGCACGGCGTCTCTCTGTGTTGTGGTTGGCAGAAGGCTCCGAGCAAGGCTTTGAGAATCGTGGCCGAAGAAAGCAAGCGTTGAGTATGCTCTTTGGGGACGCTTTAAGGATGTTGGCCTTTTTCATGAAGGGGCTATGGGAAAGAATGCAGAACCGTTTCAAAGATGCAAGAATCGACCGCGTCAGTGAAGAACCAAATTGAATAATAGAGTAGGGTGTTAGCCAAGCTTTTCCTCCTGCTAAGAGAAGGTCCTTAGGATACTCATGTCAACTTATCTAAGTTGGGTCATCTGAAACTTACCTGCTGGTATCTCTACCAGAGATGCAAGCGTCGGTTGGCGGTGTGGTTCCCGCAATTGAGAAAGCGCGGCTGTACCGTGGCAAGGGCGGGGAGATGATGCGCGGCGCCGTGTGCCGGCTCATCGAGCGAACCGCCCACGTGGGCCTGCCGCTGCCGATCAAAACGCTCAAGCTGCTCGAGGGGTCGATTCTGGACAACTTGCAGCACCCGACGCCGGATATTCAGGTGAGAAAGACGGCCGATCACTTTAGCCTTTGTTCGGGGTAGCGCGCTAATTGTCCGACCATCGTATTTGTCTCAATTCGATCGTTCTGTCGTTCTGTGGTTGGCGTTCTGCTTTTGTTTTGCTTGCTGGCGTGTTTAGAAAGCTGATTTAAAGCCAAGGCGGGAAAGGAGAGGTGATCCAGTTTTTGAACTGAAAGGTGGTGTTGTTTCGCTTTGGGGCTGCACGTTCGTGGCGTCCCTGATGGTTTAGCAAGGGACTGGCAGAGATGGTCTTCCTGGATGCTCCCCATCTCAGACATGAAGCTCAAGAAAGATAAGTAAGCCCATGAAAATAAGCCTCGACTAGGCACTTGAAAACTCCAACCCAAAAGATACCTGCTCACACCTACCCACCCTAACCACCAAAGTAACCCTACCCGTCCCAGTGCGGTTCCCTTACTATCATCTCGGCTTATTATCATCATTTCTCATGAGGTCAACGTCTCAAATGATGAGAGGATCCTTTCTCAAACCAAGTGTTGCTAACTGACGGCCTAAATAGGGTCGTCCAGATCCAATCTGGACGCCTGTGACTCCGTCCACTTAGCAGAATACACGACCCTGAGTCTCGACACCTAGCCAATCTCATTCTTGACAACTTTTGTTTCTGATAGTCAACCAATTTTTATTCTCGACAGCTAACCAACTTTATTCTTCCCCACAGGCCTCAGCCGCGTCCGCTCTGTCCGCTTTCGCCGCCGCCTACCTCCTCCCCTCCAAACCCGAGCGGGTTAACCGAACCACGCTCAAATACGCTGCCATCATCCGGGACGACCCAAACCCCGCGGCCAAGCGCGGATGCGCGCTCGCTCTCGGCGCCCTGCCCAAACCCTTACTAAATCCCGTCTGGAAAGAGGTTCTGGACACGCTGTGTGGGGCGACCGTTCTGCAGGCGAACCCCGAGGAAAGGGACGCCGAGACGCGGGTTAACGCGGTTAGGGCGCTGGCAGTTGTGTGCGAAACCCTGGGGTTAGAGACGCGGGAAAACGGGTCGATGCCTGTGAGTACATCGGGGTCTCAAAACGAGTCAGGAACTCAGTCGGTGGCAGGAACGGTCAATGGAAACCCTGATGGCCAAAAACGAGAGACTTTGGCACTGGGGGAAAGTAGCACTCAAAGGGAAGACTCGGGTCTGCCAGTTGGTGTCGTGTCGGGCCAGGTTATGGAGCATCTTTTGGCAGCGTTGGACGATTACGCAACTGACAACCGGGGTGACGTCGGGTCATGGGTTCGGGAGGCAGCTATGGAATCAATTGAGAAGGTGACGTATCTTTTGTGCCACGTGGCGGCATCAGAAACCTGCCACGTGGCAGGCGGAGAGGCTGTAAAAGAAATAGACGAGAACGGCTTCAGTACGTCTGGTTCCGGGAAAGAGGTTAAATGTAACGGGGACGCATTCACACCGGAGTTAGCGGCGCGGGTTATTGCCGGGTTAGCGAAACAGGCGGCCGAGAAGATTGACCGGGTGAGGAACGTGGCGGGGAGCGTTCTGCAGCGACTATTGGCCCGGAGCAATCCACCGGTCGCTGCAATTCCGCACGGGGGGGTTCTGCGGGGGATCATACCCGCAGACGCAGTCATCAACTGGGCGGTGAGTACAGAGTGTAGATATCTGGAGAAGTGTGTGTTTTGTCCAGCTTTGGCGGTCCTTGTGCATTCAGAAAGAGTGCTTATGCATCATTGGTTCGTCTAGACCCAGATGCGCTAAAAGAGGCATCTCGGTTTTCACTGGTCGTGCTGCCAATATCACGGCTTGGCAGTTATAGGTATCCTTGGGTTTCCGTCAACCCTGAAAGGGTTATTGCATAAATCAAATTTCTCCGATAGTTAGCCGTTCGTCAACTTGAATAGGGACCGGGATGAGTGCCCCATACAAGGAGATTGTTCTTCTTGATCCTTCTTCGTTGATGTGGTCAAGACCTTTCTTTCTCGGCAAACCTTGCGAATTCAAACATGAAGATCGGTAAATGTGGGCGTCTCTTTCTCGACGGAAGCATACTTGTTTGTGGAAAAGCATATTGCGGCCTGCCAATCGGATCTTCCTCTGGTTCCGCTGCAGGTCCCCAGCCAGACCTTTCCCCTCACTGTCCAGCTCCTCGCCTTCCGCCCCTTCCGCTCCGCTCTCCTGGCCGGACTCGTCATTTCCGTGGGCGGACTGGCGGACTCTCTCGGAAAGGCGTCCGCATCGGCGCTACTCGACTTCCTGCAGACACGTGGCAGCATCCAGTTGGACGAAGCCGACAGGGGAGACTCGGGAGAGGAGTTGCTGAACGGTTTTGCGGACGCTTTCAAGGGCCTCTTCGATTCGGACGCTGGTTTGGATCGCGTTATCGTTCCTGCGCTTAAGGTACGAAGGCTTCCTGGATCTGGTCTCGCTGACGTTGGCGCATGCCAGATTGACCTAAGCATGCCTGGTTTGAGCAATTTGAACGAAGGCTGTTGATAGAATCCCTTCACCGTCGCTAGATTTCCTCTAAAGTTTCAAAGATTGCTTTTTCAATCTCAGAGTTACCCAGGCTTTGAGAAACTCCGAGTTTGGACTGTAGAGGAAAATTGTTCGACAAGCTGAATAGGCTGCTTTGCGGTTGATATTACACCTTACATCTTTCCCAATTCCCTTGTTGCTGCAGACTCTGGCCATCCTTTTGGAGGATCGAACGCTCCAGAAGCTGCAGGTTAGTATCCTCTTGACGTCAGCCCTTCGTACGATGCGTCATGCGACTGATCGTCTTTCTCCAGCTCTCCGCTCTGATACTCTCGTTTGCCTGATGTCCACGCACCTATTCTCCCGCGGTTGCATCGAAGCCTTTGCATCTCCAATGTGTTACATGCAACTTCTCTAATACAAATAAAGAAATCTTTTTTGCAAGTCCTCTGGGTAGACTTGGTTTCCTCTTTGCCTCCAACTCCATTTTCATGGCGGCGTCTTTGTCATTCCCTTCGGTGCGCGTTTGCCATTCTTCTTTCCCCGTCCAGCATATTGCGTGTGCGGAGTATAACCTCGTCTCTCCTTCGGCCTCGTAATGCCTGCGCTCGTCGGCTCTATTTTTTTGTACACTCTGCTAAAGAAGTAGGTCATCAGATCCACGACGGTCTGATCAGGAAAATAAGAGCCAGGGATATTCCGCTTTCTACTAACACCACAAACCTAATCCAACACTTCACCCTCTCTGCGGCCGTTCCCACCTTAAACCCCCAAAGTCACCCCAATCGTCCCAGGCTGGGGAGCTTATCACTCCTGCCGCTTATCATCCCTGTTTTAGACCCTCACGTCAGGTTCCCAGCCGCAATACCTAAACCTCCCGAGTCCTTTCTCCGTCCAGCTCCCCGCCAAGCTCCACGCCCGGGGCATCCTCGACTCAGTCGGAACAGAGCTCCGGGGTTGCAAAGACATCCCCAAGCTGCTCGCCGGAGTCGACGTCCTGTGCAGCTTCGCCCGGTTGCCGGACCCCGACCGCTCGGCCGCTCTGCAACAGCTGCTGGGACTCCTCGGTAACCGATACCCGAAGGTGGGCTTGCGTCTCCGTTCCGCTTCCGCCCCCTTCGTTCCGATTCGTTCCGTTCTCTTGCGGATCCGTTCCTTCTTTTCCGCTTTTGTCCTAACTCCGGCCGCTTGAGCAGCTGCTGGGACTGCTCGGTAACCGGTACCCAAAGGTGGGCTCTCGTCTCCTTTCCGTTTCCGCTGCCTTTCGTTCCGGTTCCGTTTCTTCTCCCTCCATTCTGGTCCTAAATTCCGCACCGCTTGGGCGCTCTTCAATAGGTGCTGGAACTGCCCGGTAACTGGTACCCCTAGGTGGGCATTTTCCGCTCCGCTTCCGCTTCTCTTCGTTCCAGTCCGTTCGCTTCCGTTTTCCTTCTGCCCGTCTTCTTGTCCGTCTTCTTGTTCCGGGCCCATGCTGGGTCTTCGGATTATCTTTTCTGGTTCTACTCCGCGTTCGCTCCATCTTCCGGTCCCGGTTCGCATATTGGCTGCTGAATGTGCAGAAGTTTACATTATTACCAGTCTAGCCGCTGTGCATATTGTAGACGACGAACAAGGAGTTCACTTTTTGCCAACCTCCTATCGATTGTACTCTTGGATCAGGTTGCCATCGCCAATTCCAAGGATAAGCGGAACGATCCTGGATGTGGAATTGGTATTTGTTCAATAGTTGTTGCAACCGGTCGGAAGTATTGGACCCGTTTAGCGAGTTGGCTGTACGTCTTGGTAATGTGCAGCATTGATAGCAGCCACAATCGGGTCCCCGTATCCATTCCCCGGAGTTCTTTCTGTTCATTAAAGGCCTGTTGCAATTCATTATCTCACGTTGCGCATATTTTCAGAGACGGACAGAATCCCATGTTGCGCATATTTTCGGAGACGAATAGAATCCCCGGGGTGCATAGCAGAAAGAAGACGATGAAAAGTGAGCATGTCGAAGAGCGCATCAGTCCAGAAGTGTCGCTAACGGAAGGAAATTTTCAAAGGCTGCAGCCGAGATTGCTTATGCAGTCAGGTCTAGCGGAAGCCGTTCGGAACCAAGGCGGCCATTAGCAAGCCATCATTTTCTCCTGGCAGGTTCGAATGCAATGCGCGGAGAAGCTGTATGACCTGCTTTACATCGAAGACTTGACGAGAGCTGAAGAGATTGCGGAGAGTCTTCCGGCTGGCCCGGAACAAGAAGCGTTGAGGTCTAGAATAGCGGACTTAGAAGCGGCCTGCGACCTGCTTTTGGAAACCAAGTGGAGCTCTCCGGTAAACGAGATCAAGGATAAAAGAGACGGCTTGTTTTGTTTGTTGAAAGTGGAAAAGCCGGTAGCTGTGGTGGGGAGTGTAGCAGCATCGGCCGGGGTTCGGAGGAAAGTGGAGGTAAAGTTTAGAGATGAGAATGAGACTTACGGAGCATTGGTTGATGACGCAGGGTACTAGGAAACGTTGTTGATGAAAGAGTCTTTGCGCCTGCAAATGAATCAAATTACATGCATCGAAGTGCATCTTACAGTTCATGATGTAGTACCTGCATGCGATTCTTACCACGTTGAGGTACCATGAAAGCTCCTAACAATGTTGCACTACTCTAAGGCTTGGAGTCTGTGGCGACCGCAGCATATTCCTATGGAATGAGTATCAACAAATCCAACGTGTGGAGGTCGATCACCATTGGTGATGTATAACTCATGAGAGCAAAGTTAGCAGAAATTTAGAGTACGTAGAGCATGCAGCCCATGACATTGCAATACTTTCTTAAGGAGCATGGCATGTGGTGATCTTATGAGGATTTGGCTTTAGTATTCAATGCGCATGTGGTGTGCCGCATATGAGCAGGAGGTTTCCAATGCTGCAGTGCGTTACAAGCTATCGCGCTATGGCAAGTTCTTTTCTTCTAACCATGTTTAGATAGTTGCATGCGATAACTAAGGTCGCGACGAGCCTAATGCGTTTCAAAAAGTGTAAACAGGCACTCACACCAATATGATCGTCTCACACTCGAAGGTTTTGAAGAAGCACACTTTTGCGCATTTTCTGGCATTCATGTCTGCGCGGCTGCTGTCCGATCATCTTTTACGCGCCGCGCGCATACAGTTATGGACGGTTTGGCGCGGCCCGGGACTCGAGTCTAGAGCGGCCGCGCTGACATAAGGAGCCGTCGGAAGCCGCCGGGTATACCCGAGTCGGACCGACGTGCGCCGCCGTACAAGAAGTATTTGGTACGGTAAAATCAAGACTCGGTATGGCGGGTATCCTGATGTCTAGGTTTCTACGGCCTGGATTCGACTGCTCGACCGACGGACGGCGGGCCAGGAACAAACAATTACGGGACTCGGCGCCGGCGGACGTTTTTAAGAAAAAGTACGTTTGTGCGACAGCTTCACGCGAACGAACCACACCTGGTCCCTGCATGGGCAATACAGTAGCACTACTGTAGGCTGCACGATCACTGGTACCTACCTATCCTTTTAATCAGCTCACAACGTGGTGTTCTAAAGTGTCCTTAGTACCTAGCTTTCCATTTCCTCGGGTCCATTTTCCGGTAAACACGCTGCCGCCAAGTTGATCATTGAACATTCGAGCCGCGGTGCTCATTCCGTTGCTGCCCCACCGCAGGCTTTCAGTTTCACGAGCACGGACGCTCATATACCGTATATATAATTGCCGTAGTACTCATGGGCCTCATGCTGATCATACTCTCTTCTTCAAGACCACGTCAAGCTGGACAGAGGCCCTTGAAAAGCACTGAGCAATCTTTTGTGCCAAAGCACTTAGGTAGTACCAGATTCGCAGTACTGCCTTGAGCGCACACTTACAGTACCTACGATCGTGTACTTTTAGGGATCAGCCAAAGGCGGCTCCCCTAACTTCAAAAGCTGCAAAATGCGGAGGCGCTTTCTTCAGGCGCTTTTAAGGGGACGCACCTGTTGTGAAGGCGCGCCCTCAAGCTGCTGCTCTAATGATAGAAATTCTCACAGCATTGCAGATCAGGTCGAGCCTCAAGATAATCCCGTCCTGATCAGTGCAGCTAGTACAAGACGGTCTTGATAGACATCGCTTGGGCGACAATTAAATCATTACAAGTTCTAATCCTCTGAAAAATAATATCCTGGGCCGCCCTCAACCCAATGCCATCAAACGCTCGTGACATGAATCCGAAACGGTCTCCCCAGATGAGCTGGCAACTCAGTACAAGCCTAAATTCTGCTCGTCAGTGCATGCAATGCCGTCGAATGCAGTACTTTTTTGCCGACAGTTACCTTCCGTCAGGCCAGGAATGCCGCCTCCCAGTCACGCGGCACATTCAAGTCTACATGCACGAGCCCTAGCATTGGAGAAATGACGGTAGACTGTAGGTAAAGCCCAGTCACAGCCGCTTGACTGAGCCCAGGAATCGCCACTCCGTGAAAGCTGCCCGCTTTACACGCTGGGGCTGCTTTTAGGATTTCTGGCGGCAGATTCAATACAGTGGCTGACTCTCTGACTGCATTTTCTCTCGTGTTATCTGATCATCCAAAGCGAAAGGAAGATCGTCAGATGTGCAAAACGAGGAAGATCAACAGATCAGTTGTGACAGCCTAGCTTTTTGGGTCCTTCCTTGCAAGTCCTTTGCCTTTTGAAGGGGGGAAGGACTCCGAATCCCGGCAATATTAGGGGAGTTATCAGCCTGAGATAGATCTGTTGAGATCACAACATTGCAAGGGGGGAAAAGGACGCAGAAAGAAACAAGATAAGGAGAGGGTTGGGCTGAGACCCATTTTGCATAGGGCTTTCAGAAGGGAAAGAGCAGCAGAGGGCTACGACAGGGCAGCATTGGCAGGGAGCCTTTGCAAGCCGCATCTGGTTCTCATTTTCTGCATGAACAACGTGAGGCCTGGATTACAAGCAAGCAAAGCAGCATCAGCATCGGCAGGGTTTCTCTGTGAGGAAACTTTCTGGGGGGCCCTGTAAAGGGATCCGCTGCCCTCTTGCAACCATGGCTCCCTCAGTGGGTCTCCTGGTTACCGTTCCCTACGGAGCCTTCTCCCAGGGGGGCGGCGCGGCCCTGGCTAAGACCCCCCCATCGCAGAGCAAACCGCCCTCCTTCCGCTACTCGTTCTCCGACCAATACCCTCTGCCGGTGAGCAAAGCCCGGTCACGTGCCACGTCAGTAAGCGCCTCCTTCGCTAAGGGGGGGAAGACGTCCACTCCTGCAGAGCCTGTCTGGAACCCCCCGGCAGAGTCACAGATGTGGTGGGGGGAGAACGAAGGGTTCCCACAAATGGGGGGGTCCGAGCAGGCTCAGGAGGAGCGCGTGTTGTCCCCCCAGAGGCTGCGGAGGGCGCAGTCTCTGCCAAACGAGAACCCCATTCGGCGGCTTATTAGGGAGGAGTCGCTGAGCAATAAGGACGCGTTTGTGGACCCGCTTCCGGAGGGGATGCCCGTGCTTATGAGGCATAAGGCGAGGTCGTATACGGTCGGGAGTTCCAACCGGGTGGCCTCAGAGGCGCCCATTGTGAGGGCGCAATCATTGCCGGCGCGGCTGCTGAAACCCCAGGTTAATCTCATCTCCTCCTCTTTTTGGAAGGTGACACCTGTATGACCTTTCGGTGGGGGAAGGGGCTCTTGGTTGGCTACATTTTACGGAACTGAATAGAATGCTGGGCATCTTTCCTGTTGGGATTCATGCAACAGATATTTGGCTTCATTCAGAGCAAGGTGGGTTTGGACGAAGGCAGCATGAGGCTTTTGCAGGGATACTCTACTTGCCCTGTCAGATACGATTGAGATGCTGACTTTGGAGCAGAGGATGTAATGAAGACTTTGAAGCAAGCAGGCGGGAAATTGAGCAGGAACTTCTTTCTGGAAGCTCAAATCGTCTCACAAAGCCAGGCAAATTTATGAAAGTCCACAGTGTTGGCGTTGAATACGCTTTGCAAATGTCCTTTTCAGTATCCATGAAAGGGAGGGGTCAATATCTATGTAATGAAGCGGTCGATTCAACCCAACGCGTCGAAAATCGATAGGGTATCGGGTTGGAATTGTTCGCCCAAACACGAGACCTCTTGCGCCCATTGTACGAGCTTCTAAAAGAATGCACGCTGTAAAAACAACAAGTTGTAAAAAGAGAGCATTGCAAGTTTTGCCTCTAGGTGGTTTGAAAACATTAGGTTATACGGCCGACGACAGGTGTCAACAGGATGGATTGTGAACGTGGAGAAGCGGAGCAACTAGACTAGGCTCCAGAAGGAGAGGCGTCCAAATTCAAGAGTACCCAAAATAGGAAAGCAAACCACGAGACCCGCTCGTTCTCCGTGTTCATCGACGTTACGTGATGCCCCTGCAGATGCTGACGTCACTCAAGGAGGAAGAAGCTTTCATCGAAAGGGAGACGGTGGCCGGCGAGCAATGGCCCGCAGAAGAAGGACACACACTCGCCCGGACCAAATCCTGGGTCCCCGGCGCACCCCTTCCGGGTTTTCCGGCGGCCCCTCAGCCCGGCCCGGTCGCAAACTCCTCTAGGCGGCCCAGCTACATCTTCCGGTCGGAGAACCGCCGGTCGAGCTTATCCAACGGCGCAGATCTCGCGGCTGGACAGGTGGCGGCATCCCAGCCGTCGGGCCGGATGAGTTTCACTTATGGAGAGGCCGTTCCCCGAGGCAGGAGAAGGCTGAGCGCGGCGACCTCAAAGCGGTCTTCCCTCAGCCAGAGCGTCGCCCAAAATGAGACGTTACACGGGTTAGAGAACCGGGTTAGCGACAACGGAAACGGGTTGGGCGCAACGACGATGCGCAGGGCTTCGAGCATAGGGAGACGGAGTTCGCTGTCGGTGGCAGGGCCGAGGCCGAGGGATCCCTCTGAATTACTCCAGTCCCTCTCCGAGCAGGTAAGATTTTAGGGCGGCATTCGAACAGCCAGTGATAATCAACGCTGACACATCGGAGTGAGCAATGATCCGAATGCAATACTCATTTTGTTGGAGTCCCGACCAGTTTCCAATCTCGTTTTAAAGACAAACCTAATTGCTTCGAAAAACGAGTCGTGAGATTGTCTTGAAGCGACCGACGTGCCGAAAGACTGTGGGACGCTTGGGAGCTCCGAGATAATAAGCGCTCGTTAAAGCTTCCCCGTGACAGGGGTTGATAAGCTCATTGTGCCCATACGCTTTGCGAACCTGGGCGGCCTGTCTCTGCCAGTACATTGGTGTTCCAATCGTTCGATGCGTCCTCGTATACTCTCTTTGAATTCCGTCCTTCTCTCCATATTGATGCATGCCGTTCCCTCGTTCTTGATCCAATCATTCCGCCTTGTTGACAATTCCGTTTTTGGTCCGTTTCACAGGAGCGCCGGACGGTCGCTCTCCTGTCCGCCGCTATTGGGCTGCAGCTGACGTCAGCCATTGCGGGCGTGCTTGCGATGGCGACAGTGTCCGCGAGCGGCGCGCGCGCAGTTATGTTCGAGTAGGAGCACTAAGCTGACGTCACAGGGCAAACGAGAAAACGACGCGTGTCGTTTTTTTTGGGACTGAATGAACGGCAGGATAGATACTAGGTGTCAAGCATCGCCAACTCTTTCCAGGCGACGAAGTTTCTGCGCTTGGGAAAAGGCTAGGACATACTACTGATATGACGGACTCGATCAACATACGAAGTTGATCTGATCATTTCGTACTTTAATGCTCTGCATACGTAGAATATACGGCACAGGTTCTCAACGGTAGCAAGGTAACGACGGCAGGCGCCGAGAATTTGACAAAGCAATTAAGGGCCTGTTATAGGACGGCGGCATAACCATAGGAGATTAGCAGACAGCGAGATCAGACGGCAGTAATTTATAGAGATAGGCTATTGAACGCGGCAGGTGTGGACTCACAGTGCCAGCACGATTGTTCGATGAGGCCAGCCCTTGTACAGGTATAAAAGAAGCGTTTATTGTTTCCAAATGAACAGCACGTTGAGAAGGCTGAACCGAACAAAGTACGCCTCAATCCTGGTCAGGGTAGTGCGCTTGGTGGAGGACCGTGCAATAGAGCCTCACGCTAAGAGTTCCTGTTTGCACGATTGAAAGCAGATTGCCACTTTGGCAGTAGTGCACTTCGCCTAAGATTTGGTGCCGAAGTCCCAGGCATCTCATTGTCTCCATTCTGCTGGGAAACAGTGCACGGTAAGGAGTCTACATGTGCTAAGACAAAGCGCGTTCTCTTCTAACGTGGGTCAAACGGATTCGATGATTGCAACTCGTGCAGTAGCTCGCGTCATTCGCAATGCGGCTGAAGCTCCTGCATAAAGTCTAGCTCCCTTGCAGATGACACACGACCGACTGGACAACTCCTTGCACATGTGAGCAATTGAAGTTTTACCCGATAATTGGCTCTTTTCATTGAAGCTTCGATGTAGCCTAGCCGGGCCTCCCACGTTCAACCTACAATTAACACAGGCATGCAGTCACATGCATGTGCGCATGTGATGGTATAACCTTTACTAAAAAGAGGCTCATGCTGGATACTAACATGCGCGACGGTGCGTCAGCCAGTTCAAAACGCGCGCGTTCAAAATGAAACGTGGGCGGCCCGGCAAGAAGCAAGACCACGTGCCAGCTTTTGCACATCATTGCTGACCGGACCATCATTGCACGCACCGCGCCCCACGATGACATGCATGGGCACTATAACGACAGATGACCCACTAGGTATTATAGAACACACAAAAATGCAAGAATAAAAATCACCTGTCGCCGTATGCGAAAATGTGCTGCAGAATTACCAAGATCAAGACAGAGACTCTGAGCAGAGCCAAGCTCTGTGGAGCTTTGAACCCATGTCGCACATACTGCCACCTTTTCAATCTGTTGATACCTTCAGGAAGGTGCGCGCCATCCATTCGCCCGTCTACATAACATCACGTGCAGAAGCGACTCAAAGGCTTCCCACTTCCGGCATACACAAGGTACAAAAATGCTGTGTTCTTCCTTCTCAGGTTAGTCAAAGTGGAAACGAACACTTGTACTACTGACAGATTGAACCAGGACTGAGAAAGCGTCTCCCATAGCCGCCCTCGTATCCTGACCGGATTTGTCTAAAGTGTACGTCCCCTCACTATTCGGCCGCATCGGGCAGCTCCTCGTCCTTGCCCCCCTCTTTGCTTTCGGCTTCCTTCGAGGATCCTTCGCCTGCCTTCTTGGCTGGGGAAACGGGGTCAAGCAGAAGGAATCAGCAATCGAACCATCTCTAGATTGGGCGAACGAAAGGAAGCACCAGCAGCGGGCTTGCGCCCAAGACGTCAGCAGATCCTCAGGACCATACTTCAGCACAAGACACGATACGGTAATCGTCGCTGAGAAACACAGGTTAACAGTATGCAAGTCAGCACAACAAAACAAATCCGCCTACGTAACTCTTCCAATCCACCATCCAAAGACTCTAAGGACCTGAAAAACTGGCTCTTTCGTACGCTGATATGCCCAACTAGACCACTGGGCGACACAATACTCCAAACGCAGCGGCAGGCTTACCTTTCTTCTTTGCGCCGCCCCCCTTCTTCTTCGACTTGGTTCCGAGCGCCAGCCAGGCCTTGATCTCGGGGTCGTCCACCTCCTTGTCCGGCTTCAGCTCCTGGACTGGATGCCCCGTGATCCGGTCCGAACCGTTGGGCATCAGCAGCACCGTGAACTTGAAGTGCGCAACAATGTCGCCTGCAGCAGTTGCTCAATCAGTTTGAGTTTCTAGGGCTTTCTATTTCACGACTTTGGAGTCGAACGAAGAGGGTGCGGAATTCGTAGGTCGACCTCGGTGAATTCTGGTTGACAAATATTGAATTCAGCAGTCGCAGATTCAGCAGACGCGTTTCTCCCTGTTCGATTCATGTACCCTAAGAAAAGCGGGCTTAGGGCAATTTCTCAAGGCTTCTTCAGAGCTGAGGTTTCCTCAAAGGAAGTCGCCGTTCATTACGATCCGAGGTGAGTATCTTCCGTGCATACGAATAGCTGGCAGCGTCGAGATACGGACGGAGCCGGCAAACACGGGGTCAAGTAGTCGTGAACTTGAAACCCGTGTCTGTGGTTCAAAGCCAAGTGAGACTGACTCGCTGCTGAGCTGACTTCAAAAGCAGATCAGAAAGGCAGGCTACCTACTGCTCAAAGGCTTCATGTTTCCTCAAAGTCCATGCTTCTTCGACCACCTCGATCCGAACCAGATGGTTGTTGCCAAAGGCATTGGCATCTAGTAGCGAACTCATCGGAGTGATCTTGATCTGCTTGAGATGACAGTGCCAGCAGATGACGAAGGAACCAAAGGTAACACCAAGAGAAAGAGCTGACGCCAAGCTCCTTTTGAAACTCCTCTTATGCTTTTTTACCTTGCTTTTCGTGCAGAACAGGGTATGGCGTCAGCAGTTCGTGCGTGACGCAGTCCTTGACCCCTAGCTTCGCTTGCTTGTCCTTCAACTCCCTGAACGAATCACAACAATGTCACTTTACCAGCTTTGAAAGATGGCATTCGCTTCACGGAAGCCAGGAACTTGAAAAGACAAGCAGGCATAAAGATCAGTGGGGGAAGGGAGTGAACGACAGAGCTTCCAACAATAGTCGCAGCTACCGGGTAGCAGGAAACGAGAGCTTGATCGGCGAACGACGGCCCTGACGCAATCTCTTATGGTCAGATGCACGTTTGCGGCTTCAATTCTAAGAACGCAACAAAAACACAATCGGCTCACCGCCGAATCGAATCACTAAACGCTAGATACAACTCAATGGCTAGCTGGGGTGGCTACCCATAAGAAGGTAATCGGGGCGCACGATTTTCAGAGGGTTGGGCGAAGGCGAGAGGCATCACAAATCAAGAGACAAATTGTGGGAACATACAAAAATGTCATCCTGCGCTTGATGGGGGCAAACACCATTAGACTGGAAATCATTCAGACCAACTCCGTGCAAACGAAGCCACAGTCCAGCATATCATGCCACTGATAGAACAATCATAAAATTGATGCTATCTCTGTTTAGACATCACCGCGGCTCACCTTATTGTGAAGGGCATAACAGGGAACCGTTGGTTGATTTCGCTAAGGGTAGCCCGAGATGCCTTCAGCTTCAGCTTGTACTCCTTGTCGAGCGCCCTTTTGTAGACAGACGTCTGCTTCTCGTCCAGGATCCGGGGCTGCACAAAACAGCGGACCGCTCTTAGGCTTCACACAAAGTTCAACCAGTTCACGATCTCGTGCAACAACTGGAGGACCATACTCTCCCATTCTTGGCTGTCGACAAGGTAACAGCCGCTGTGTCGTGTGTCCTCGCAAAGATGAGCTGAGAGCTCTCTGGCTGTCAACGCAAGTGTCTGATGAGCTCCGAGCTCCAATCGAACCTCGCCATTCTCTGCACTGCATCAATGCTGTTACACAGAGGATGCCAGTATTCGACTTCTCTGTCTGAGTTGACACTTCGGTAAATTACTGGAATCACCAGGTAATGCTCGGTGCTGTGCTGGATGAGAAGGAAGCAGGCTCACCACTCATGTGGAAACAAGCTCTACTAAACAACCTTAGGCAACAGCCGGCAAACCCAGAACGGACTGCATTTACAAGGACTGCTGAGCCGATAGGATACGTCGGTCTTAACCACCACTACTCCCGGTTTGAGATGGGAGCCACACTACTGTCGCTACAATAGAATTGCTTAGTAAAAGCCTCCGTGATTACTGACCGAGTGTCAATAACACTGGCAAGGCAATGTACTCGAAAACGAGCCTCACCTTCCCCTCTCCGCTGCTGACCACTACGTCGACTGCATACACCTCATTCTCCTCAAACTCCGCCTCATCCACTTTCGCCTCCGGGCCCGCTACTGTGATGACCACCTTGTTCCCGTCAATCACAAACTGCTTCATCTGGTGACTGAGCACTCCCTCCACCATCTTGACATCGTACGCCTCCGCAACCTTCTTGAAAGCCTCGGTCACGCTCATGTTCTGCACACCGATAAGACGGGTGCCTGGATTCTAGAACTAGTCGTAACTATCACTTGAAGTGCAGGCGGTTTCCCCATCGTGCAAAGGAACAACCAGCAGTAGGAATGCATCTTGTTTGGACTCAACACACTCTTAAAGGGCCCTGAAGTATAGAACGCAAACTGAGGCTGCTCAGGGAGTCCCCAAAATGTACGGGGGCCGGTGCGACCCCCTGTAACCTTTCAATGCACGTAAGAAATCGCTCTTGAGTACATAATCGCATACCCAGCTTCTAGGGTTCGCTTGCTCTGCCTGCTTGGAACATGCTCAACTGATCACCAGCCGGTGTCAACGTTTGTCAGAAAACCAAACCCACCTTCTTCCCTGGCCTCACCAACCGCAGCGCCACCTCTGCGGCAGTGTTTGCTGCGGCTATGACATCAGCGGTCTTTCCAGTCACAGGGCCCTCTTGCAGGACAAGTGTGTGCGCCACCACAGCGGCAAAGCCGTCAATGTGAGCCCCCAAGTCACTGCAGCAAAAGATAACAACACACTCGCGCAATGACATTTGGAGGGGCCCCTGTGAGTGCGAAAGCTTCCGCAGGATGTTAGGATCCAGACTTCACTCTCTCTCTTTCTTCTCACACTCCTTGTCTCGACCAGCAAGCCGTTTTAGAAAAAACAACTTAGGGACTTCTACATTGACGTGATATGACCCGTCTCAGACGCACTTTTTGGGGCACAATCCAATACTCTCCGAGGTGCAACAGAATCCATCAAGGGCGCTCTGACAGTACGCACATTTTGACAACGTCCCCCTCCTTCAGCTCCAGAGTGTCTCCTTCCAGGGCGGAGTAGTGTCCAACAACATTGTTGAGAGACACCGAGGTGGGAAACGCAACGCCCTTGTCAATCTTGACTTTTGCCTTGGTGTACAGAGTCGACACCTGCCTGGATGAAAGGAAACAGAGAAATAAGTGAGTCAACATTTCAATGCCTACTTCAGCTTCACCACCTTCAAACAACCGTCATGCGTTACGCAGATCGGACCAGGTGAGACAACTGGCAAGCAGCAAACAGCAATATCTTGAAGCGCTCTTGTGCTTCCATTCGCATGCTACATGTATATGCACATTGTACATCCCTCAGCTTTGCATATTGTATGTCCCTTAGCTTTGCATGTCAAATGACCGGAGCAGATAGATGCATATTTACGATTGGAAAGAATTGATGGAGTAGTGGTGGCACATCTAAACTTCAAGCTTACAAGCTCACTTACTTTGTGATGAATTCGTCCCCTTTCTGACACAGGTCAAAGACCTTCACGCCTGGCTTAGCCTCTGAAATTACCAAGGCAAGAGCCTCTGCAAAGAGGTGGGATGAAGTAATTGAGAGAGATGAAAGATCACAGATAGCCAAACCATTGCCACAAGCAAAAAACTGCCAGTACACCGCGCGATGAACACCACTGGCACTTTCCAACCATTGTCAATTTGCAAGCGAGGCTGCCAACACCCATGAGGCCCATGCAAGCTGAAGTATCAAGCTGCCACTCCAGGGTGTCAGAAATTCTCAGCAAAGATGAATGCAGGATAGGTTGCAAGATGATGCATTCCAGGATTCCAACCAGAACTCTCATCAGAAGTCTCCTGCGCTCACTGTTTGCAATCTCGGCGGCCAGCTTGTACTTCGTAACCACGTCATTGGAGCTCAAGTCCAACTCCTTCTTCTCCTCCTCATTCTCAGAGTCCGACATTTTGCCTTCTTCCCTTGACCCTTTAGCAAGAGACGTTCACAAGCAACAAGTGGCGTCTGAGTGCCACCTCGTTTCCTGATTGCTGCTGTGCAGTGCGAGCTCCCTTTGCTCAATATTAGAAATTGCACCCTGCTTGAACACGAGAGAACTCCTCCAACTTCGAACTTCAACTTCAAGTGCAGATTGGGGACAAAATCCTTGGCGCAAATCAATAATTTGGTCTTAACTTAAACCCAGATGCTGTTTCGCGGTTCCGGAAATTCAGGAAGAAAGCTTTTTGAGGCGGTAGACACTTTCCGGTGTATTTTTTGCAAGACGTTAACTCACGAACTGACTACATCGCAACCGTTAAACAAAGCAATTTCTGCCCGGGCCCCGGGGTCGTGTACTTTATAAACAGCCGGTCAGGTCCGTTACGGTTACCCCGGGGTTTAGGCGCGTAGAATCTCAGGGTTCGAAAGCAACCAGAAATTATTTTCTGCGCGCCAGCCCTCAAGCTAGTGGCCTGTGCTGAGGTGTCCTTTCCGCCCTCCCAGAAGCAGCGCCCTGCATTTTGCGCCACCCTTCTTGGGTGCCTGCAATGGAAGTGGTTGGCACGGAGCGTGTCTTCCCTCACCTTGACTTGCGCGCCTTCACCCATGATGAGCTCCTCCTTGCTGCTCAATTGACTGCCCCCGGCAACACGGCTTCCTGGACTTGGCCCCCCCCTCCGCCTCCTGCGGCAGGGTTCGTGCTTTCCGCTTCCAGCTTAAAGCAAACGTGCACTCAGGCGGCTGATGTAGCGAGTGACGGAGACGCTAACCTTGTCTTCGACAACGACGTCCCTTTGCCTGGCGCAAAAAGGGGGAGGATGTCTGGGGGTATGGCGGACCCCCTGGCGATGTTAGCGGATGCGAGTCTTCACGTGACCACGGACGAGGGGGGGGGTCTGCGAAGGAACATGGGGAGCGCTGCTGACCTCCTGGGAGAGAGCCTGCTTATGCTGAGTCAGCGTGTGGAGCTCGCCCCCCCGGTTAAGAAGACAAAAACTGCGCCGAATACCCCTGCGCTGTCCCAGGAGGAGCGTCTCATCGCATCTCTGCATAACACATTGGCGAAGGACCGACACCACGGGGGGGAAGCGTCTGAGAGCTTGTCGGACGGGTGGAAACCGGACGCTGAGGTCGACTTCCGGAAACCAAAGGGGGGGAAGCCAAAGGCGCCCCCTCCCGTGCGAGGGGCCCCCGCGCCAGACATGCCCAAGGGCTGGCTGATGGACATTCGCTATCGAGGGAGCGGCAATCGCGTCGACAAGCTGTGGACGTCGCCGGAGGGGGTGCAGCTGCGCTCAATCAAGGAGTGCGAGAGCTTCCTGCTGGGAAAGGCGCGCCGGCAGCCGGTGACCCCCGTATTGAAGGGCAAGTTTGGGTGCCCCACGTGCGGACTCCGCTTTGCCGCCGCGCTCGACTTGGGCAACCACATGGCGGCACATTTGGAGCCAGCGCACAAGAGCGCCTCTCCAAAAATGAAGAGCGAGGACGTTCCAGGTGTGGCGCTAGGGGTCAAGGAGCGGATTGAGGAAGGGAGCGTGCTGCGGGGCGCAAAGAGCGAGGATGACGAAGGAGGGGAGGGGCACGTGAGCGGGCGGACGGCGCGGTGGCTGCAGCGCGTGGGGCTGTGGAAGGGGCCCGGTGAGGGACTGCTCTTGAACGCTCCCAGTCTAGTTCACGAAGTCAGACACAGCGAGAATGCACCCCTCTGAGCAACCCTAACAGCAAGGTCTGCTGGCCGTTTGTGTTAGGGCATGCATGTGGCGCAGAGCTGATGCAATTTGGCAGCAATAGACTGTGAAACCTCTCGGGAGGCCCATACCCTTTGCCGTTGCTGCCTGGTTCTGGTTGCAACTCTTGCAAAGTGTGAAACACTGGTTTGCTGGTGCCGCTCTCGATGTTCCTCTCGTAAGAGCTCCCCTCAAGCCATACTGATGACCATGTAGGGGGAAATCGTCTGATTGAGCAAGTCGTTGCTGTGCGGTTCTTATGAAGATGTCTCTCCCGTGCAGAGACCGGCGATACCCCGCGAGATGTGGAGGAATGTGCAGAGTCCGATGAGAAGGTGTGTCTCTGTGCGTTCCTCTCAAGTTCAATATGTTCCAGGGTTTGGTTCATGCATTATACTCTGCGTCTCATCTTTATCTTTCGATGACGACAAGACACACTAGCGTCCTCCGTGTGTGGAGGATTAACAGGGTACTCGAAGTTGAGAGCAAAGGACACGAGGCCTGAAGGGGCTGATCCCTCTGGCCGGGTGGTGCCTTTAACCTCGTTTGGGGAACAGTTTCTTGTGGGGCTCAGGGTTGTGAGAACGCTGCACACTGTGCGGAGGGCTTCGTTCTCATACCCCTGTCACTGAGCTAATGTAGCTACAGCAAGGATTATTGACAGTCTATCCGCCAGCCTCACAGACGGAGCAGAAGCGGAAGCTCCATGGGGATGCTGCCGCATCCAAGGTTGCGTGTCACCCTTCACTTCAGTGCCTCTGACCGCTCCAAGAAAAGCAAACCCTAGTGGCAAGACGCGCGGGGGTGCCTATCATTGTAGGGACCGGAGGTGCATACCCTATGGGGCCCTCTCTAGTCGCTGTCCGGTCGAGGCCAGCTCCTCCTTCCTCAGTGCCAGAGTTCGTGGGGACTGGGCGATTGCGATATCCTTTCTGCTTTGGAGAAATTTGGCATTTGTCGCTTTATCTGGTTGCTTCTTTTCTCAACATCATCTAGGATTGTCCCGCTACTCCAAAGCCGCTTTGAGAAGGGTTGCAGAAAGGGTTGTGGATGGGAGGCAGTGCACATTTGTTGCCTGCAACCAAGCTCTACGGTGCTTGCATAAAGTAGAGCGTTCCTGAGCATGCTTTTTGGGCAGATCAATCTTTTGTTATCCGAGCAGAGTGTCTGAATTGCTTGTATGACATAACTCTTACCTATTCACCAACTCCTGGCACTTCTGAATAGCCTCTCATGATCTCCTGCAGGGACCAGCCGGAACTGGTGCTGAGCTCTCCTTGATCTTACTCCTTATCCTTTTCAAATCTTCCTTCTGTGAGGTCGATCCTCTCTGCATTCTAACCTGGGGCAGAACAGGAAAGTCAGCGGACCTGATCTTAGAGTCATGCACAAATTTCCCCTCCAGATTGACAGGAACATCCTGCCATTCATAAAAACCTAACGTTTGCATCCCCCCGCAGGCATCCCACCTCGCCTGGCGCAACTTTGAGGCTCTGCTGCACGACCCCGCCAGCTGGTACGGTCTCGACCTGCTCTCCACCCCCCAGGCTTGTGCCGTCCAGCGGCTCATCTGCGCACACGGCCGCGAGCGTGCGTGTGCCACGCTCCTCCAGCAGCGCCACCGCATCACCGCTGACCTCATCAACGCCCTCTACCGGCCCATCTTGTCCGTGCTGCTATTCATCCTGGACGGGACGAATGACATCAGCGAGGGGAAGCTGGGGACTCTGGCCCTCAAGCGGCGGGTGTGCCGCGCTCTGGGGCTGAACCGCAAGGGGGGGGACAATTTCCTCTCTCCGGAGACCCCCTCCCCGCCGGAGTCGCCCCCTCTGAACGCGCTGTCTGAGGATGACGTCAGCAGGCCCCTGAAAGCTGACGTCAGCAAGCTCCCGGCGCTGATGGAAGCAGAGCGGCCGAGGCGGTTGCACAGAGAAGCAGCACTGGCGCTTCCAGCGCCGGAGTGGGGGGGTGCACATGAGGAGGGGTCGCCTCCCCCGAAGGAGGAGTGGGGGTTTTGTTCCAGGAAGGAGGAGCCTGTTCACATTGACGCTGAGAGGGCACACCACAGGGATGTGAATGGGGCACAGCCAGGCGACGAGTCAGCGGTGGACGAAAAGCTGTCAACATGGGAGTCAGATGCGCTGGGGGTGCCCAAGTGTGAACTGGACGTGGTCGAGAGCCCACCTCCCCGGGTGACAAGGAAACGCACGCGCGTCGACACAATCTGGCCCGAGGCGCTGACAGCACAGCTGATGTCAGCGCACACGCAGGTTCCGGCGACGATCGAGGCCCAAGTTGCGGCACTGAGCCCGAGGCAGGACCAGAGGGGTGCCGCTGCTGACTGGCACTCAGTGCGAGCGCAGCCCCCCGGAAAGTTGCGGTGGCTAGGGCCGAGGGCGCATGCGGTTTGGGGGGGGCTGCCACACTCAGCTGAGCGTCCGATCGCAGAGCGTCTGGCGAGCGGTTCTGTTTTGGGAGCTGCGGACCAGCCCTTGATAGATGGGGATGTAAGGGACTTCCCGTCCAACTCTGGTGGGGGTGAGAAACCCTGCGGCGAGCACCCCTCCAGGAGAGAAGATGAGCGGGGCGGCGAGGCGGCAGCGGCAGAGCTGCGGGCGCGGGCGGCAGCGCAGCGGAATGAAGCGGAGGAGCTGCGGGAGATGATGGAACGGAAGCTGCGGCTGGCGGATAGTTTGGAGGCGCAGGCGGCGGCGCTAGAGACCAAGTGCCACGTGGATGGCGAGGGGAAAGAGCGTCCAGATCTGCGGCGGGCTAAATCCGCCGGTATGTGTGCGGCAGAGGAGGGAAAGGGACGTTTGGACGTTGGGAAAGGGGAGCCGGACGTTTCAGGCTCCGGGATGGCTGGCCTGGATGACCAAATGGCGGGTTCGGACGTATGGAAGGTACGTGCGGACACGGGGAAAGCTGGTGCGGACGCCGAAATGGCTGAGCTGGCGGGTCTGGATGCTGAATTGGCGAGCGCCAAAGCTGTTCGGACGTGTCCGGACGGTTTGGGGACACAACTGGAGGACGGGAGCCGGGGCAAGATGGACGCTTTCTGCTTGGATTCGGACACATTGTGGAGGGATGCGGACGCAACTGCCGGGGTTTCGGACGCGAAGGCAGCTCCTGAAGGGGGCTCGTGGGTGAATGGCAGTGTCAGGAAAGTGATGATGGCTCATGTGTGGAGTGGTTGGGGTTCGGAGGGTTTTAGCAAGAAGGGCTCTGCGGGGGACTTTGCTGGGGAGAGTGCGAATGATGAGGGAATGGAGACGGAGCCCTGCTTTGAAGGGGCCCAAGAGAAGCGGTTGAGAGGCTTTCCTTCCTTGGGTGGGGTATCGGACGAGAAGAGAGACGTTAGGGGCTTGGGAGCGAACTGTTGAGGAATGGGTGCCGGCTTAAGGAGACCCTTGCAAGGAGTGAGATCTTATCTAGCGGCAAGTAGTAGGCCAAGTATTAGGCCCTATTAGGCACGTCGCTCCGGGCAGGGGATTTTTGGCCTGAGAAGCGTCTGTACAGGTATACATCGAGTCTCTGCAGCAGCGGGCGTTTCAAAAGCGTGCTACTTTGGATGGCTGTTGCTTTGGCGGGCTGCCAGCAGTTAGGTCAAGGCGTCTGGTTAAAAGACGTGATGGAAGGTACTCCAACCGGGCAGTGAAATGTGAGAATAATAGGGAACAAGGTGACGTGATGGCCATTTTTGTCGATGCTATGGGTAGGGTAGGTATTGAGCATGAATCAATTAGACTCTGCGTAAGCAGCAGTGTCGGGAGTGCTCTGATCGAGTTAGTGACTAGATCGTTTCTGTTTGAAGCAAGTCAAATCTTGACGCTGAGCTGCGGATGTCAGCTAAGGTGAGACAAAATTTGTACTTAAAGAAATGTATACATTCCTGGCTTGCAGTTCATGCTGACTTTCAGTCGACTAGCTCCGTTCAGAGGTTTTCAAGTCCTTATGCATGGCGTTTTGTGCATATGGTATCCAAGCAACTCTGCCCATGGTCGCCCCCATGTACGGCAAATGCTGTGGCACCTCGATTGATCTGAGCGCGGCACAACTCTTGGTCGGATTGCGTTTGCACATGCAGGCAATTATGGGCACGGCACTGAAAGATAGTTATTGGGCGCGGGGCCCATATGATGCATGTGAGCTGCCGCTGGCACCTCGTTCACGTGCGGCCTGCAAAACACCGCAATTCGTAGGACCGTCCGGCGCGTGCAATTCGGCCTAGCCTAAGTACGTTAAGGTGCACCAGATAGGTAATATGGTCATTCCACATGCGTAGCTCTAGGTGCCGCCATGCCAGACGTACAATCAGTCAATAATCTGGCAAACTCGAATAACTGAGCAACGGCAGCTCTTTTATGTGATTATTCTCACAAATCCGCTGTGTAATTCATGCACTGCATAAGCATGCGCGCAGTACAGAGTTCCGACAGGATTAACTGACTATACCGTCTAGCTTGGAGTTCCAATCATGGTGCATGTCAAAGCATCGTGCAAGAACGGCCTTGCTACTGTAAAAGAGCACCGGCGAGCTAGCCAGCATGTTCCAAAGACCAACCGGCCATGTACGTCCTATGTGGATGACTGGATTCCGCTTTTGACTGGCCACCAAGGCCGTCGTTTGATGCACGCAGCCGCAAGCGCCACTCTGGCGCCCCCCGTGCCAGCGGCCGCGCTCTCAGCTTCACTGAGGAAGTTGTCCGAACCCGTCATCGCCGCGCTGTGCTGAACTTCGGGTCGCGCATGACTGGCGTCTCGCCAACCTGCCAGCAATAAAGTTTCGCGCGGCCCCAACTCAAGCGCGCGCCGAAACCGAACCTCAGCGTTGGGGCACTGGAGCACTGCTCCCTGGGCCTGGACTTCGTGAACGAACTGAAACAAAAAAGGGATCACCGATAGTGCAGAGGACGCACTTTTGAGCGGGGTAAACTCAAGGCCGTGCGAACCCCAAGCGGAGCTGGTCCGTTTACTAAACACGTAGGACCAATTGAGAATCCTTCGAAGCAGGCATGCATGGTTCTCCATGCAAGATTTGTTCTGTGCTTTCAATCCGACCTTTGACTGAGTCAAATACTCGGCTCGCCAGGGTTTGTTCAAGCGGTCGTTCTTCTTGTTCGTGATTCCCTTTGATTTGACGGTTTCCAGAACGCAAACGCAGCGGCAGGGCAACTTCGAGTCAAGCCTGGCGCTCGAATAGAAGCAATTGAGGTATTTGTTTCTTTTCATAGTTCTACGGAATAAGCCCCACTTGACAAGGTTATCACTTCAGTACTGCAAGTCTGCTACAGGCGGAGGAGCGGCCTGGAGAAGGACGTGCAAGGTTGAACTCTTGTTGCGCACGAAAATTCTCCGCTGCTGTGAACTCAGCTGAAACCAATCATAGTCAGGATGGCGTACCTTGAACAAAGAGAAAAGAAGGAGCTGGATGCAATTGAACGGCAGGTGTCTGCTGCTCTTCAACAAGTTGAGAAAGCTGAAGTCTTGCTGCAGAGAGAGGAGGCCAAAGCAGGTGACGCGCCTTTCCCTGATATTCATGGTTGAGCCACCACGCACTGTACCTCCTTTCAAGTATAAAGATGCTCGTAGTACTGTGTATAGGAATAGCTAGGCTGGCATGTTTGAATGTGGAGTTATACTAGAGTTCCCGCTTAGGCGGAGCAGACCAGTGGAAGTTCCAAACCATTGTAGATCAGAAACTTTACTTAGGAATCAACTCAGGATTGCGTTGGTTGCGAGGGCGCTATGGGCCTCGTACATTTGTTCAGGCCAAATCTACCTGACGCCGCTCCGGTCATTCGGTCGAACAATCACTTGCAGGAAGCACAGAACCAAGCATGAGCATACAACATTTTTTTTCAGCAGAGACCATGATTCTTCTGAAGATATCCGAAGGGCCGCAAGGCTGATCACAATGAGTGCATGCTGGAATGGTACTTTTCCTTTTCTCTGAATGGCCCTTCGTATCTGGTCTTGACTCCCTTCTGCCATTCTCTTGCAATTCACTGGAGGATCAGTGCCAAAATTATGCCCAGTTGCTCCTGCACATCTCACAATTGCGACCACGCTAAGAGTAAATAATTGAGTGACCTTTTCGATCAAGCCTCGCCTTGTCTGCTGACAAGTACTGCTATGTGGCTGTTTTGCAGGAAAAATTAACGGTGAGATCGATTACGACAACGGGTCCGAGTCACTCAAGGCAGCGGTGCGAGCATACAATGCTGCTGCTTCCAAGTACACGAAGTCAATTGATTGGAAAGTTGCTTGGTTGAAAGCTCGGATTCTAGGTAAAGCTTTGGTTGTCGTCAGTACTGCCTCTCTTCAATGTTCGTTTGGTCAAGGGAGGACTCCACTGTTGGTCGTGGTTGTGGTCTGTTAGTCACGAGGACAATCGCATCAATGAGTAGACTTCGAGGAGAGGAGACTACAGCACAGCCTTGTAGTTCGGCACAAGACGTTGACTTCGTTCTTTGTTTATGCGTTCCCGTACAGGCTTCGTATTAGGACGGCTCCTGCTGGAGCATACTACGCTGTTACCTTGGAGATTCTCTTTGAGCTGAGGAGAACCTTTGCAAGTTCGCGCACGCATCAAGAGACAGGCTGTGCAGCCAGACTGCCTTCAAGATATCCGTAGGTCCTAACATGAGCGCTCTGTCAATGCAGCGTTTCCGCTATTCCAGTGGTTTTGTGGAAAGCCGAGCCATGCGGACCCCGCAGGTAGACTTTCCTTCCGGTCATTTCACTCATCTCCTTAGTGGATCCACTGATGCTCGTTCCGTCTCTAGCATGCTGCAGCCGCCAATTGTTTGTTGCTTGCTTTTCCAACGCCAGAAAAGGGCCCCGTACTCAACGCATAAGGGACTGATCGTGTTCTGTCGACCTCTGCAGGCAGTCAGGATTTGAAGATCTGCTGAGCCGTTCGTCAGCCAGCCGAGCCGCGTCACCTTCTGATAGTCCAAAGTTACGAGCACTCAGCTCTTATACGAGCACTCAGATTATGGACAATCCATGAAGCAGACTGTTCCCGTACAAGCACTTAACTGAATTAGAATGCAGGGAGGGCGACTCCGACAGCGCCTCCTCTGGCACATATCTCAGGTGGTTTGATTTTGGACATACCTAGCTCCTCACTCGAGTCGTGTTGTTGTGCATATTATTTAGGATTGAAGTGGCGGCAGAGGACTCGCCTATTCAGGCCGGAGCCTGAAGCTACGACAGGTTTGATCGACATGGGAGGCGGATTTCTGTCTTCGCCAGGTCGCCTGACTCACGACTTGATTGAACTAACTTCAAGCCTCTGCGGTGAAAGCTGCCTAATACGTCAATCAGTCTATTTACGAATCATATGCTCGAAGAATCCTAAGGTTTATATTCAATCATGCGCCGCGCCAGGCAATGGTACACTCGACGTGTGCACTGATGGCTGTAGTACAGTCACGTTTTGACCGCAAACTGCTGTCAATAAGCGCTCAAGCGATAGAATGAACCATGCATGCAAAGCTCAACATCAGACCTAGAACAAGCATTTCTTATACAAGCCTACATAAGATAATGGCATCATTCCATGGGCAACAAGTACGAAATCCCGGCGGCCAGCATGCATGGTGTCGATCCAAGTGCATTCTCCCGCACGCTGTACTAGACGGTAAGCGATCGCTGTTGGTGATGGGCCCTCAAGCAGCTTGTCGAGGGCAACGCGCGACACATTAGTTGACACGTGGCGTCTATTTAAAGAGTCGTGCTGGGCTGTTCTTTCGGCTTGTTACGCCAGTGGAAGGGTCGAAAGGCCGCACTCTCAAGGTGCATTTTCAGAAATGCTGCCACTGATGCGCATCCGCCCCCTCGTCAAAACCCTGCGATGGTCCTAGAACACTGAAGTCGAGCTGCCGCCCATACTTCTCCTTTCGCCGCTCGTCAAAAACGGCCCAACTCTCCGTCTGCACCAAATAAGGAAGCAGAATTTCCGTTGGAGTAGTCAAGTAGCAAAGCTTGCTGAGTCCTGTGCACTTGACGAGCTGGCTGAGATTCGATCGATCTGCACTGGAAAAGTGTGCAATTGATGTATCAGCTCGCAGCACACATGGCAGGCTTCTTTGAACTTGAATTAGAACGTCCCCGAGGCAAAACGGATGGATCCAGATGACAGACGTTCTGAAATGTTTGAGCGCAGCCCTGGCTCGAGAGACATGCACAGGGCCAATAACTCATTCCGCCAGCAACTTTCAACCTGCCTCACTTCCACTACGAGGAACACGCAGCACGCGGATTTCTGTATGTTCATATGTTCGTGCACAATTTCGTTTAACATAGCCACTCTTCGTCTCTTACCATACTCGAGACATAGCCCAGCGCACCTCCACACTTCTATCTCGAAAAGTTTTTCATGTGTACAAAGTGAATGAAGTTCCGCGGTCACGACTGTTCCTGTGTTCCGGAACGAAGGCAAACAACCCTCACCTCTCGTAGATTCTCCACGGTGATTGGGTTCCCGTGCAAAGCGAGCGTGCACAGAGAAGCGCAGTCTCGCAAAATTCCCGGTGGTACTGCGCTTATATTGTTGTTGCTTAGCCGCAGCGTCTGCAACGGAAGGAGACAATCAGCGATATGCAAAGGCGAGGCAATGATAAGCGAGGCCATGAAAAGTCGTGCAGGCATGAAGACACTAAAAGGTAACTTCGTGTCAGCACCTACGACAAAATGATCCAAAAGTTTAACGAGTGCAAGGCTCAGATGGGGACAGGAGGCTCTGACCTTTAGCTTCAGGAGGGCGTTGAAACTGGACGGTATCCTGTCGACGAAGTTCCCCTCGAAATCCGCCTGCGAAATAGAGCACGCTCCTTGAGCTCGGGAAACGCCGAGCTTTGAGTCGTTACGTTTGCGCACGTCTTGTTTATTGCATTATCTTGTTCGTTTCCAAGGTGCCAATCTGGACTGGTTGTAGCCAAGGACCAGCTGATAAAGTCCTAGAATCTGAAACAGAAGAAGAGAACGTTCTGGTTACAAATATAAACCCCGACATCACAAAAGGGAAGAGCTTTAACGAACGTAGCAGCGGTTTTGGGGTGGACGATGCGTCAAGGAAACATTCGAATGCTTTTTCTTTGCGAAGCCTCAACCGACGTTTTCACCACTTGAAGAATATAACGGGAAAGCGTACTTCAAACCGGCTAGCTTCTCATTGAACCCTAGATACTGACGGTACGGCAGATCCACTGAACCTGTCCGTACTCCATGAGTCGTTTTTCTCTTGGAATCGACCGGTGGAGACGACTTATTGTGTTTCCAGCTAAAACGTGGCCAGTCAGAAAGGCGGAGCATCTCACTCGTCCAAGCGGCTTAAATCCTGGAGCGCCTGATGAAGCCGCGTTACTCATTTTTCAGCCTGAGAAGCTCCCGGTGCAATGTTAAGCTCTTACCTCAACTAGGGAAGAGCAGCTTCCGAGCGTGGTCGGGAGCTCCTTGAGCCTGCAGTTGAACGCCAATGAACGGTTGAATTTCTCAATGTTTTAAAGAAAGATCGTAAACGACGGATAAACGCTTGTACAGGCTTTCGTCGGCCTTGAAGCATTATCTGGTGTATTATCACCGCTCAATATTCTCATATAAGACCCAAAAAAATCACCGTCGCACAGTAAGGATACGGGAGGACTCAGCATCTACCACCTTCCTGGAAGGGCTCGACAAACTCCTCAGATCAGAGGACGTCTTTGGAAGGCCACTCATCACGAACTCAGACAGTCTACGCATCAAACACGACCATGTCAAGCGCACGGGTCCCTGCTTACTTGTTACTCGCCGCCTCCAGCCTTTCCAGCCCGGTTAAGCGGCCAATCTCTTCCGGAAGACTCTCAAGTTGGTTGTGGGAGACGTTGAGATGGCGGAGCGATTGCAGGTGGCCTATCAATGGAGAGGCGGAGAGCAGTCTGCATGTGCACTGAGCGCTGTTACATCGCAACAGAACCACGCCTGATAGTGGCCAAGCTTATCGATGCTTCTGTTCTTCTTCAAGCTTGTTCTAAGTCGTTCCTTTTTGAATACACAGCGTAGATGCATACCACAGAGGAGTGCCCCAAAGCTGTATCCTGATAAATGCTTCAGAGCAACGCAGTATGCCCTAGAATACTGGCGGAATATAACGTACTTATGTCTACGGCTTTTTGTGCTGAAATAACGTTGTTGAGATCTCGACCGTTATGTCATGCAAAGTGCGCATAGTTGAGAACTCCAAGAATCATCAGAGAACATGGACGCCTCAGATTTAAGGTGCTATGTACCTTCGGATTTTGTTAACTTCGTTACCCAGTGATACTTTGCCCAATTGAAGACTCACCTGTTGTCGTCCAATGCTAGAACAGTGAGCTGTCGTAGGCCGCAAAGTGCTTCCCAGGGGACTCCCTCCGAAGTGAGCTGGTTATAGCTTAACCGGAGACGCTGCAAAACACAATTCTTCTTCAAAGCTATCCAAAAGGAACAGTGATTTCGTTTTTCTGGTCGTTGATTGATGCCGATGACAGGGGACCACAGTTCTTCGTAGGCGATTCTTGGAGGTTATGTTGCGGTCTCCATTTCACCAATAATTGCAGCTGTTTCAGAAAATATTGTGAAGGAAATAGGTAGAAAATGGAGGAGACTCCGATCTAGAAGGTCAATTCGAGACATTGATCATGCGAATGACAAGACTCGCCTCAGATAAGTTCCGGCTCAGAAGATCATCATATTGGCAGTCAGGAACATGACCAGTCCTCTTCAAGCAGCTCTGCAACTGAGCATAAGAATCCTTCCTGAGCCAATGAGTATTTGAAAAACATTTCGCTCACCTGGAGTTTTGCGAGGTGGCCCAGCAAAGGCGGAAGCTTCTGCAGAACGTTCCCTCCTAGATCCAAGACTCGCACTGCTTCGCCGACTTTCCATGCGGTGCTCGGTACCGCTTCTAGACCAGCGTTGTGAAAGGATACAACGCCTGTCTGTTCCCAGGCCTTTTTGCGTGCCTCTTCTTGGCTCAAACTTAGTGGTGGCTGAGGCCTCGGTCTCTTTGGCGGTGCGGCTCTTGGTGCTGCCGCCTTTGTGGAAGGATTGGTCGCCTGTAACACAGAAGAAGAGAGATTGTATGCCAGCTCATCCTCTTGAATTAACAGAGAACCTGCGTATGCAACCACTCCAAGAGTTGCTTGCTGAGAGGGTTCAGAAGGGATAGCTAACCTACCTAATCAGCTATTGCGAATGGGATGTGAGCTTCTGGTCAGGGCAACTCTAAGGCAAACGCTTCTAGACCCCGTAAAGCCAGGTCCTGGCTTAACACATAGCTTCTTTGTGTCTGCAGTACACATGCTGAGAGTTTTGCTTCTTGAGTCCCTAACGAGGACAATTGACCTGGCACTGTTAAGAAGACCTGCCTCGGCTCGCATGAGAAGCTCTTGCTGCCAATTTCAAGCTTCTTACCCCCTGGTGCACCCCCGCTGACGCCATCAGCATGATCTTGGAGCTTGTTTCAATTCCTGCATCCTTCAACGATGAAGAAGCTGCCAGTATTTTGCCTGCCACATCAATAAAAGTCAAGGATTCTGGTCAGTTATCTATTGGTGATACTTACATTGAAAAGCTCCCCCCACGGCAGATTGACGCCTAAGATGTGCCATCTAGGCCCGTGCCAAAGAGTTGCTTTGACATGTCTATTGAAGTTGTCTATTCGTTGTCCTCAAGGCACCACCTTATACTTCAGGCATACTTGACGCCCACCAGGCCTGTGCCATTTATGCGTCACTTAGTCGCCCAAGACATAGATGGTGCTCTCTACACGTCAAACAAGTGCATTGATTGGTGCCATTTGCTGGCAACCTTTCTGGATCTGTTGGGGGGTGAATTTCCTGATATACCACCACCTAAGAAACTTTCTTGAAACACTAGAAGGTTTGTCATGAGACAGTACTTTTGAAAGAGCCACTGCCACCAGCTGCCAATGCAGGCATGACGTACACATGTTGCCTGAGCTGAATAACACAATACCATCGCTACTCTCAAAGTAGAGTCCAAAGTCCACGGTGAATAGAAATCAGCTTTTCTTTGAAGCAGACCCGAGCTTGCCTTTGTGGATGAGCTTCTGACCCCGTGGGTGGACGTTGGTGACCTTCTGGATCGCCTCCATCAGGTTCTGAACTTTCCAACCAGCTTCAGCTTCGATAGACAACGTTTCCTTGCCATACTTTATGGTCACCGTGAGCATCATCTGCGGTGGGGACTCCATCATCAGCACCACAGGCAAAAAAAGAACACGCTTTGCAGTCAGGAAATTATCAACATCCTTCTCAGCAGCTCACGCGAAAGCTGAGAGGCTGGAGGCGCAATCTCATGCATTACAGGCAGGTCAGCACTTCCGAGGAAGCTGCCAAGCTCGATGATGGCACAATGGCGCAACGGCACAATCGCGGAGTGGCGTAATGCCAATGCCAATGCCAATGGCAATGGCGCTCAGCTCCCTCTCCAACACCAAACCGGTCCAAACGAGCTAGAGAGGCGAGGGAGACGTGCGGCCGCCAGCAGTAGCGCGGCCGCTGCCCAAGAGTGGTAATGGATTACGAACCCTGGATAGGTTCAGAAAAGCGCAGAGCGGCTGCTTTCTATATTGCAATGGCCGCTGACAGCAGCAAGCTTTCGATTAGAACAAGTACAGTGGAGCGGTGAGTATATTCTCGGAATCTTCTAGAAGGGTGAGCAGGGGGGCCAATCGCGTCGCATCGTCTTCATGATGTTCTTGAGTTGATTCATCGTCTTCCGACTCTTCACCGTTGTGAACAGAGATCTCGGTTTGGCGGAGAAGATCGAAAAGGGTTTTCTTGATGATGCTGAGCCGCTCCTGTGCTGCAGCACTCTGTTTCTTGCCAATGGCTGCCGTAGAGGGGTTCTGCTAGCAGCAGCTGCGAGCTGTCTGGCCTGTGTGGTGCCAACAGCTCAGGAGCAGAAATTTCCTCCCCTGCTGTTGCGATGGAGGCGCTTGGGGTTCGCGCGAGCTTCAGCAGGTACTTTTGACGAAGTGTTCAAAAGCTTTTTGTCTTTGTGGTTGCAAGTGTGTACTCGCCACACTCTTCATCATTTTGGCACCGGCCACAATGCCCTGCTGTAGACGTCAGCATGGTGCTCTCCTTGCATTCCTTTACCACTGTCGTGCAGTTGTAGACCTCACAATGTGGAAGCCCTCAGGTTGGTGTCAAATGTAGCATTTGTCAACTGTGGCTTTCAGCCTTGTTGATACCTTTTAGTTGTTACAAATGTGCCGTCCTGGTTACTCAACTGCTCTTCACATTGCTTAGTGTCATTCTTCCGTACTCTCTCCAGATCTGAGTCCAAAGTTGGCTTTTTGACAGGTGCGACGGAGCAGGCTTCACAGTGACCACTTGCACTAGACCAAATGCCAGGTTCCAAACGGTAAGCTGTTGGTCTGCTATTCCAGTTTCATGCCAGCTTCGTTAACCTCGTGTGCTGTGGTTGTCTTTGTCGATCAAATGCTCTTGACAATGGTATAGCCCGTATCCCACCACTCTGGCTAGAAACGGCGCTTGACATCGGGGTTTCTTTGATGAATGTGCTACGGGAATTGCGCAACTCAATGGTCAGAATTTCGTGCGCAGGCGTCTTACCCTCTTCCGGGAAGGTTAGGCCTGGGAGAGGCGCTCCCAGTTGCAAGCAGGAAGGCATTCTTGGGCAGGTCGGGACTGTCTCAGGGGAGGTTTCCTTCCTGGAAGAATTCGCGTGGGTAAGAGTTCTCCCATATCTCAAGTGGTGGAATTCTGTACAGTCTCCCTCAGTGGGTCCACAAATTCCATACACCAGCATAAAGCAGGTTCTAGATCCCTAACGATCTACGGTCCGCAATGAATGAGGGTTTGCTCAGGAAGAATTTCTCGAAGGCCTAATTTCATATGAGTTCAAAGTCACCCAAGTTCGAAGAAATAATATCTCTCGAAGTAAGAGAATTCGAAGAAAGAGAATTTTAGCACGATCACGCGCAATACAAATTATGGTCAAGCAAAGCCCCGCTTTGGCTTGATGATGTCGCAGGTGCTTACGTTCAGAAGCTCTGTGTCCAGGTTAGCTGACACTGATCCTGAAAACCCGCAGAACACTTTCAGACTCGTACGTACTATCTTACCTCTGATTGTTTTCAGGGTGGGAACTCAGAATTCAAGTCTTTCAAAAAGATGAAAGAAGAAAGGACAAACTGCGAATCTGCGCATTTTTTTCCCTCATTGCCTCCTTTCCCTTCTTCTCAGCGGTGTCCGGGCCGAGTCAGACTTGCCCCACAACAACGGCATCTCCCAACCCATCACAGTCCCTGCAAGCAGCACCCCTCCCAAATCCAAAAAAAGCGCCGACAAACGCGCCGAAGCAAACGTGCGTCACGCCGGAAGCGAGGGCTCCGAGTCCCGCCAAAATCTCCGCTCCGAGGAACCGTCGAGCTCGGACGATGAATCCGGCATGCCTGCGAGCGTGCACTTGGCATCACGAGCGGCAGCGGTAGCTTTTGCGGAGGCCGCGGCACGTAATGCCGCGGCAGGGGGGGAGCATGTTGCCGACGAGATGCCGGTGGACGACGATTTCTTACCGGGGAACACGACATTGGGGGCGCACGAGGGGGACTTTGCGGTGCGGCTGGCGAATGCGAGCGTTGCGGGGCTGACGGTGATTACCGTGCATGGAGTGGACCAGGAGAATTTGCTGGCGGACGTGTCGAGCACGTTGAGCTCAGCGGGGCTACGGTGAGGGGCTGGAGACTATCATTTCTAAGTAGACTTGGTAGGTACATATGGGCATTTAAGGTGCTTGGAAGCTTCCAACCATAACCAACCTGGTATGCGTAAGGCAGTTGGGAGAGCAGCCCCAATGTTTGAGGAAAGCACATGGTGAGGTTTTCTGTGGTGAAGGATCTAGCCGGTTCCATGTAGTGAGACGGAAACTTTACCTATGCCATTCTGGGGCCCTCCACCAAATTGCGCGCTGTGCTATATACTTGTTTCAACAGTAGGGCCCTGAAGCAGTTTTGAAGAATCTTTGGTTGAGATATGATATTTGACCAGATTATAGCAGCACATCAAGGGATAAGCTTCCAGCCTATCGTTCCCCACCCATCGCACCATGTACCTTACATTCAATCAGTGGCATTTGCACAGCTAGACCACCTTGAAACGGGGCTAGATCACATTGACAGCACCTGATACTCCCTTGTTCTGTCCCAACTAGTGTGGAGAGTGCCCGGGCCGACATGGAAGAGGACTCCAACCTGATCCTCGACATTTTTGTGGTGCGCGATCTGGAGACGCAGAAGGAGCTTTCCCAGGAGCGCTTTTCCGAGATCCAGGACCGCATCCTCACAAAGCTGGCGGTGCGGCGCAACCGCATGAAGCCTGTGTTGGGGGACGACCCCCGCCTCTGGGAACAGGTGCAACTTCACAAGTACACGGACTGCTTTGCTGGGTATTTGGAGGCAGTGGACCAATGTTTGATGCTGGTTGTGACTGAACGTGGATCCCTTTTCAAAGAGCATTGATTTCGTCAATCAGATGGAGCACTAAGCTTTTTGATGCCAAGAATGAGTTGATGACAGTCAATGAGCATTGAGACAGAGTGTGTCAGCAGTGCTCTGCTGACTGCATGTATACACTTGCTTTCTGTCGGTCAATCGAGCTGAGAAATCCTGCACTGCCCATATTTCGTGCGGGTGAACCACTCTGTTAACGCGCTCTGTCCAATATCCTACCTTCTCACCTCAAGCTCAGAGAAAAGACTCTTAAGAACATTCCCCTCACGCAGGTCAACTTCCTGATTGCGACACTGGACAAGGTGGTCGTCAAGCACGCGGGCACGGAGGTGCACGAGGCGGTGCAGTATCTGATCCGCGGCTTCGACGGGCTGCGCGAGAAGGAGGACATCCGCAAGCGCGCAGAGCTGCTGCGCTACATCACGAACATGGACTGCCCTACGGTGAGGCGATAGGCTCTGGGGTTGGTTCATGGCTTACGCGTTCAGGCCAAGGGCTTATATGGTGCTGTAAGAAAGAGCAAAGCACGCAGAGCTGCCTCGCTACATCTTGAAGGTGGACGGGTGCCGGGGTTGGCAGTGCTTCAGACCGCTGGGAGGTCATAGCTTATGCTGACTCGCCTTAAGAGACTTTGTCAAGCCAGCAGAGTAGGGGGTGCAAGGGGTGGTCTGCAAGTTGGGGAACTTCCCGGTTAATCTCAAACACTCAAAGCACAAAATACTCCATGGTGAGCCCGCAGTTTGAGTGACGGGTACATCCCCCCCTGCTTGAGGCACAGGCCTCGTCAGTATCATCTGAAAAAGAGCATGACAGCACGATTCCCCACGGCTCTCTTTCTCAACACTCAACACACCTTCGTCATGCCCCATCCTCTTCGCTTCGCGCCTCAACATGCTCATCTCAACACACCCTTACTTCTTCCTGGTGACCACACAAATGCCTATGCTCGAGCTAATAGCTAATTTAAGCCTTCCTTTCCATTGACCGCAGCTGAACGCCGTCGTGCGCAGCCTCTACAGCTACTCCTCCCTCCTCAACGCTGTTTCTCTGTCCTCCTTCCCTATCCTTCTCATATAGCATCCCCCCTGAGTCATGTGCCAACCTACTTCCCCTTCTCACTTTATGTTCCTCACTACACCCAATGCTACACCAATCGGTCCCCTCACTCCATTCGCTGCACAGCTGACGGCCATTGTATGAGTCTACTAAATCTATGTTTCCCTCGCTCCTCAACTCAGTTCTTCGTTCTCCTCCCCTCAGTCTGTCCAGGTGCTTTCCCCCCTTGAATCACACGCCAGCCTCGATCCACTCCCCCTCCTCACAATGTCGTCTCCTTGCACTCAAATCTCCTGCAGTACCGTAGTATAATCCTCACATCGTTCCCTGCGCAGGTGACGGCCGTCGTGCGCGTTCTCTACATCTACTCCTCGCTCCTCAACGTCGCCGACGAGGCCCACAAGCACCGCCTGCGCCGCGAGGAGATCTGGCTGTCCCGCGGGGCGACCCCCACGTGGGAGGGCTCCTTCGAGGGCACGCTCCGTGAATTCCGGAACGCCGACATCGGCCCCAAAGAGCTGCAGCTGCTGTTGAACCGCCTGGAGTACAGCCCGGTGTTTACGGCGCATCCGACGGAGGCGCGGCGGCGCGAGATCCTGACGACGCTCCACCGGATCTTCTACATGTGCGAGAGGCGGGAGGACAACCGGCTGAGCCCCGCGCAGAAGAGCAAGGTGGAGCAGGAAATTGAGGCCGAGGTGAGGGGGTGGGGACATGTTTTTTGACATTTTTTGCATCTGAATTTAGGTATAGATGTTGTTAACACCTGACCCTGGGCTGCGAAGCGTGATTGCGTTTGTGAGCAGATGAGAGAAAGGCAGACTCACGTCAAGGTTCACTTCTCCCAAGCTCTACATTCGAAAGAGCCCCCTGGGGGTCTATCAGAAGAACTTACGAAGTATAGCTTTGGGGTTCGAAATATTCGAGCCCATCAGTTGTGGTGCTCGAAGATGGGTCCATCAACAGTCAAGCGTAGTGTAGCTGTATGGAAACCCGTCAGGGTAGTCGTGTGTCCTGTGTCTACTTTTGTCTGCGGGCAAGTGCATTTACACCTGCGCATATGGTCTGGCGAAGCTCTCCCCACGACTTGAACTTTCGAGCTCGACAATATGACATATGCAGCCTTATCGTGGTCACTTCCGCCATTAGAGAGCAATTCAGGTTTCCTGTTCCTGTGTTTGTTCTGCTTATTCGTGGTCAAGCGTCGAGTCGCATTGACGAGCTCCTGCAACCTGCGCCATTGTGTTTGTTACGAAATACGAACCTTCTAAAAACCCGATTTTTAAGTCGGACGCTCAAATCTGCAGGTCTACGTGCTGTGGCGCACAGACGAGATGCGGCAGCAGAAGCCGACGGTGCTGGAAGAGATCCAGGCGGGGCTGGACTACTTCCGCTACTCGCTCTTCGAAGCAGTCTGCACCACGTACCGGTATGCAGAGAACAGCCTGGAGGTGAGCGTCCGAGATCATCTGCGCTTCTTCAAGCTCGTTGGAGGACTCACTGGAAAGTCCATTGAGCATATAGAGCTATTCTTACGCGGGCCCCTTGTAGGGGCACATTGTCATCGCACACAATGCAGAGTAATGTGTTTCGATTTGAAAGATGAAGTTGAGCAACTTGAGCCTTACAGTCCGTTCAACGATCTCGAGTCGGCCCCTAGACGTCTGAATACGAACCTTCAGTGAAACGTCGATGCAAGTCCTGATAGGACACTCGTCAGACGTCTCATTAGCCGTAAAATGCCGACGTGAAGAGAAAGTCCTCACAGCACTTCGCTCAAACGTCCTGATTTGATCAACACGTGGCGAGTTTACAATTTACATGTTCGCTATCATTGCAGCACGTCTACCCAAAGGCTGGCGTGACGCTGCCTAGCTTCATCAAGTTCGGCTCCTGGATCGGAGGCGACCGGGATGGCAACCCGTTTGGTGAGGGACTTTGCCGCTTTTAACGTTTTTCCTTAGGCGCACACAGTCTGTATTCCTACATGAGCAGGCGACCAAGCTACTTGGTATGTCAAACCCCTTTCTGAGATTGTGGTTACGGTACCTCCCCTTGAAGGGCGAGGGTTGGAGCGGACAGGTTGCGGTCAGATTAGGAAAAGAGGGAGAATGGCGCTTTCCGGCTGACCGAGAAAAGTTCCCCCTCTGCTCCATGACCCGCGACTCTGTGTGCAATCTTTCAAAGATGACCGAGGCAGCCACGCTCCCTCAGAGCCGCTTCGTCCACGCTTAAACTTCGCTTGTTCGTCAACACCCCTGAGTTCTGATACCCTAAACCCAGCTTATAATAACCATCATTTTGAATTCCACTCCCAACACGGCTCATCGAACCTCCCACCATTTCCCGCAGTCCTCCCAAAGACAACCGAACCTCCAGAGCCGCCTGGTGCTCACGGAGTCCATCCGGTACTCATGTAACGACTAATTTTCCAAAGTTGAGCCAAAACTTTGACCGAGAAGCTCTATCGTGCGACGGGACCCTCTCTGACCCGCCACATTTCTGTGCAGTTCTGCCCAAGACCACCGAAACCGCGGCGCTCCTCCAGAGCCGGCTGGTGCTCGCGGAGTACATCCGGCGTGCGCGCGCGTGCCAGGACATGCTGACGCACTCCGTCCTCATCTGCAAAGTCAACCAGGAGCTGCTGGACAGCATCGCAGAGGACAAGAAACTGATGGCCCGGATCCCCGCGCTGAACAAGGATATTGAATTATATGCGCAAGAGCCGTACCGGCTGAAGCTGCGCATGATCCGGCACCGCTTGGAGCAGAACCTGCGGATCATAAACAAGCGGCTCAAGGCCATTGGACTGGAGGATGAGGTGAGGGGCGGCGGACGAAGATTCGATAAGCAGCGTGCCTGAGGCTATCATCGTCACGCCTCCTTATCATTGTTGAACTCCTCGAGCTGCGAATCGCCTGCGTCTAACGACGGACTGGGAAAGGAAGCATCGGGAATGCTGTTACTCACATCGATTGGGTTCAGACCAGAGCGGTAACAGTTGGACCGCGGATTTTGCGCGTGGGCGCTTGTACTTGCGTGGGTCAGGTTGGGAGCAGTTGTGTTTATTTTAATTCATCTTTTATTTGGGTTTACCCTAGACGGATCGAAGCTCTGGTCCGTCCCCTGTCCGTCAAATAAAAATCAATGGCCATCATACCACGAAAGCATGCCAGGGTAATTGCTGACCACTTCCGAGGCCTGCCCGTTATCAGGACCACCCTATTGAAAGGACATAAAGCTTCAGAACGGATGGTCTGACAAAGTTCGCGAACCTCGAAGACTCATCCCTTTCCTTCCCATCCCAACCCCGTCCCCATGGACCTCCCCAATCTGTCTCAATTTTTGTAGTGGTGCCTCAACCAAGTCTTTCATGGTCTCAGATGCTGATTGACATCGAGTTCAATTTAGACGAGATCCTCCATGCAACCCCTTACATACAAAATTCCTGATTTATGAGTTTTTTCCTGGTTTCAGATGCTGATTGACATCGAGTACAACTTGGACGAGATCCCCGGCGTCGACCCCCGCGACGACTGCTACTCCGACGAGGCCGCCTTCATTTCGGACCTCCGCCTCATTGACGCGTCCCTGCGCGACCGGGGGGATGCCAGGCTGGCGGACGCCAAACTCAAAGACCTGGTAGGTTACTTTGAAAACCTTCGAGTAATATCTAGTTTAATATGGACTTACAGTTGCTCCGCTTAGCCATTCTAAGCTAGCAAGCTTAGGGGCTTGACCCTTGTCCCGTCGCTGTTCTGAAGATAGGGGGCTGAAGCTCAAGAGCGTCCCTCCATTTGGTTCTGTCCGACGATAAGAAAGTCGTGGTAGCCGCAAAAGGCGGCTCTCTCTTGTACTTTGACCATCCACAAAATCAGTCTGAGATCGAGGACTACCCAAAGAAAGACGGATGGTGAATCTTTGGGGACCAGCCACAGTTTATAGCTCTTTGCGGGAAGATTTTTGTCAGCTTTTCAAAGTCCCGGAGCATAGTTCCAGATCTTGGAACGTGCGATTGACGATGGAAGGCATCCAACGGCTGAGGATTGCGGACCACAGTGCGGAACGTAAGAGACACTGAATAGGCAGGTTTGACGAGAATCGCTGTAAACGGGACCCTTTTTCTCCAGGTCCGCATGGCGGAGACCTTCGGCTTCTACCTCATGACGTTGGATGTCCGGCAAGAGTCGGATGTGCACACGGACGCCGTGTCCGAAGTGGTGGGCGAGTCGGTCCTCGGCTTGTGCGCCAACTACAAGGACCTCAACGTCGCGGAGCGCATCGAGCTGCTGTCAGAAGCCATTGCGTCGCCGCCACCCGTCGAGCGTATTGAGGTGAGCTCGCCCGCGACTTGCTTCTGTCTTTCCGTTGTCCTCTTGTAGTCCGGTTCATTGGGTTGCCTGCGCCTTTGTGTTGTTTCATAATCATTGACTTGAATATGAAAGCGAGCCCTTACTATCAAGCGCAGCGGAGGTAAGCTGGTGGTATTCTGAGTGAGGACACCCGCCCAGTGAACTTTGTGTTTATCGCCATTGCACGCGACTGGTGCTTCGGATCTCCTCGCCCGGAAACTAAAGCAAGCATATGGGTTTCTGAAGAAACTTTGATCCGGCTTCTTTTGTCTAGAGTACTCCGGGTTACCCTGAGAGAGGGCACCTTCACGCGTTCACTTTCAGCATGGTCACTTCAAACTGAGGGTCCTTCCTTGGGTCTGAAGGATCTCAAGATCATGAAGAAACAACCGCCTTTCCCTTCCATTTCAGGAGATCTTGGCCAAGCTGAGCGAGAGCACTCGCCAGGTGGTGGAAGTGTTCATCGCGATCGCTAACATCATCGAGGCCATCAGCCCAGGGGCGGTCTCGTCCTACGTCATCTCCATGACGCGCAATGCCAGCCACGTCCTCGAGGTGAGCTCAGAGTGACGTCACTGGTCGTCAGTCTCGCTTTCCTGTGGCGAAACGAATTGTTGATCGGTCCTATATTGCACTCGCCCTTTGGAACCGGCGGCCACTTCTAAGAAGGGAACCTGTTGGATGTAGGGTCTGAGGGTGTGATAACGATCGTGCAGATTAAGAGAAGGGGACGTCTTGAGAGTCACTGCCTTCAAATTTGATCTGACGGTCGTTAGAACCGTATGACATCAGCATTGGTAGACTGCCAGACTAAATAACATCGGCGGACTGGTGCGTTTCGTCCAGACTGAATGACGTCAGCATCGGCAGATTGGGTCGTTTGGTCCCAGGTGTTGTTCTTTGCATGGCTGTCCTGCCGCAAACTCAGCAACTCGCAATTCAGCAGTGTATCGACATTGTGACCCAGCACATTTTTACTTCCAAACCCAGTCTCAAAACCTGGGTCTGAATTAACCCGTAACTTGTCCGTTCTCCTCAGGTTATGTTCTTGGCGTGGCTGTCGTGCCGCAACATCGTGGGGCGCACTGCCGAGGGCAAGTGGTACTCCCAGATTACCGTAGCACCGCTCTTTGAGACTATCCCGGATCTAGAGGTTATGCCGCAGGCGCTAACCCAGATCCTGACCAACGACACGTACAAGAGTCTGCTGGCTGCGTCTGGGAACATTCAGGAGGTGAGTCTGTCACTTATGCAATTTTTGGGTTACGGTAATTGTGAACCTTGGCATGCTTTGTTGGGGTCTGGACAAGGGTAAGATCCAATCCGAGACTGCCGAGACTTTGATCAACCCCCTGACAACCGGGCTCCAGAACAGGGCGTCTGTAATTGCGATTCCAGCCAAAGGTACGGGAACTTCCGGCACTCAACTGTGACCAAGAAGACAGCTTAAACGTTCCGCTTGAGAGTCTTCCAGGGCGGAGGGCTTCTACAAGCCTTGTCCAACTTCGTGATCGTATGCGCTTTGGATGGCCAGGAAATGGATTAAAGGCCTGTGCTACGCTCATTCGCCGGGCCCGTTTCCGAAAGCCTTTCTGGGAGACGATCCTGCGTGTTGCATCGTTTATATTGTGCTGTCACTCTCCCTGAAATTTTTTTTGGTCACTGGGACACGTGCTTTCACTGCTTCAAACTTAACAATGACTTCTGGCTGTTCTCCTCCCCAGGTCATGCTCGGCTACTCGGACTCGTGCAAAGACGGCGGCATCACCGCCAGTGCCTTCAACCTCTACAAAGCCCAGCAGCTGCTGCGGCAGATCAGCAGCGATGCGGGGGTCCAGTGCCGGATCTTCCACGGCCGGGGGGGTACGGTTGGCAGGGGCGGCGGCCCCACGCACGAGAGCATTTTGTCGCAACCCCCTGGAAGCGTCCAGGGGACCATTAAATTCACGGAGCAGGGGGAGGTCATAACTTATCGGTATGGGAACAGCGAGACGGCGACGTATGAGCTGACGGTGAGCGAAGCTTTTTGTACTTGTGACCGAGCCTGTCAAAACGTTTGTTGAGATCTTGTCCTGCGCGTCAGTAAAGACAAAGAGCTGAGATTACGTTTAGTCGAGAAAGTCTGTCTTGGGGCGGACGAGAAAGCGGCTATTTCTCTTGGCAACAAACGCTTTCTGCTATCACGAGTTGCTCCACAGCATAAACGCTCGCAGAAGTAGCACGGTGGTCGGTCATTTAGCAGCAGGCAGCACCCCTGCTCTCCTGCTTCATCCCCGGAAGCGGAACAGTAGCAATGACATCATTTTGCTGTCACAATCACCACCACTTAAGTTCCTTGAAACTCGTTGATTGCAGGTGGGTATTACGGGTCTGATGAAAGCGAGCCATCCGGCGACTAGGTCGATTCCAGACGACAATCCCAAGGTGACCATTGCACCCTTGCTTGCCTCGTTCTTAACCTTACCAGCAGAGCCGCTCTTTCCAGTTCCAGGTTCCCGTGCATGATTTCCAGAAGTCAGCCGAACCGTAAACCTGGCTTCTGGATTCTCCAGTGTTACTGGGAGTTGTTCTCTTGGAGCAAATCCACAATCCGACCTTTGGAGGCGCAGTCCATACGTGCCACATACAACTTTAAGGGCTGCAAAGTAGAGTTGGAGTTTCTCAATCTGTTAACTTCCAAACCGCTGAACAAAGCTCCCCTAGTAGTGTTAAACTTGCTCGTGAGTCATGCGTTGCTCTAACCTTGACTCTTGCGTGCAATCCGCAGTACATCGACATCATGAACGAGCTTGCCAAGGAGGGCGAGCGGGCGTACCGAGAGCTGACGGACGCCACCGAGGGCTTCTACGACTATTTTTATGTGAGTCCCTCCTCTGCACAGCTTTAGGGTTGCGTCTAAAAACGCTTTTTGAGCCTTCTGAAGCGGACAACCTAGCTATAACCCGCTTTGAAATGCCTTTGCTTCTCGTTTTGATGGCGTACCAGCTGCTTTGTGACCAGAGCAGCTTTGTCACTACCCTCCTGACCGGGCAATCGTCTGCTGCAACGGAAGCAACAGGCTGGTATTGAGATGGGCCTCTTTCTGCGAACAAAAGCTGCTGGCAATCTGCACTATATGTACTCCTGGATAGATACCCCTGCCTCTTTCTCCTCTCCAATGCCCGACACGGTCGATGTTTAGCAAAGCGACTAACGCCCTGCCCACTGACGCCCTCTTCGAGATTTGAAACTGGCATTCTTCCAGCGCCCTCTCATGCTCTCATTGGAGAGGCAAACACTCCTGCATTAATACCCCGCAGGAGGGCACGATTGTATTCGTCATTGCGTTCATGAACACAACTATTTCTTGACTCAATCGATGCTCCTCTTCAAGTGGCAAGAGAGTTCCTCAGATAGTGGTCAAGTTTGAGTCTCAAATCCTGACACCCCGCTATCTCCTTCGCCTTACCGCAGGAGGGCACGATCGTGAACGAGATCGGGATGATGAACATGGGCAGCCGCCCCGCGCGGCGCAAGGTCGCAGTCCGCGACAAAACGTCCCTCCGCGCGATCCCGTGGGTGTTCGGCTGGGCGCAGTCGCGGCACACGCTCCCGGCGTGGTATGGCGTCGGCAGCGGGATTGCGGCGTACACGCAGGGGGATCCCTCGAAGATGGCGGAGCTGCAGGAGATGTACCAGAACTGGCCTTTCTTCCGGACGTTCCTGAGCAACGTCCGGATGAGCCTGCAGAAGGCGTCCATGGAGATCGCGCGCGAGTACGCCAGGTGAGGGGTTGCTCTTCTAATCTTGTACTTTTCTTTCCGTAAGTTGAAGGGAGCTCTTAGGTCAGGGTACCTCGGTTTGGACATCGCCAAGGGTAATAGTTGGGACGAAAATTGTGGCGGAGAGAGTATGAAGTATGAAGCAATTGGACAGTTGCGGGAAACAAGACGTTCAAAGTGGGGGTGCTTGCGGGTCAAACGCCAGACAGATCAGGACGAGCGACTGAATGGTGGTGTCACAGTGCGGAGTAAACGGTTGGGCCTTCCAGGCGCCCTCCAAATAGCAATCCAAGGCGAAGCATACCACCGCGATTATGGGAGCTTGCTAATCTGCATTCCGACGGACCGACGTTGTCTGCCGCTTCAGAAGCAGATGAATTCAGCTGTCAAAGCATTCACGAGCGGGTTTAAGCATCCGACACAAATGTGGCCTGCTTCCCCGGGGCGCATTTCCGCTGCCCACATCAGCAAGCGCAAGTGACGGGTAACTCAGACTGTCACTTGTTCCTGCAGGCTCGTGTCGGACCGCATCACGGAGAAGCTAGTGTTTGGTTTGGTGGAAAAAGAGTTCCAGCAGACGATCGCCCAGATTTTGGCGGTCTCCCAAATAACCCGGCTGCTGGAAGACAACCGCACGCTGGAGATGTCCATCGACGCCCGGCGGCGGTACCTGGATCCGCTCAACCACATACAGGTTAGCGCTTACCCTGAATTGCTGATATGGGATGGTGTGCTTAGCGGCAAAGAAGGCCTTTAGTGCACACAATTCAGCAACTTAAGCCAGACGTGTTGCGTCAAATCATACACCCTGCAGATGATCCCGCAGTCGATGACCGGAGTTTATGTGCTATTCTGAAGCTTCTGGTCTGCGAATTGTGCATGCTAACAAGCCAAGCTTCGATTCATGCTAACAACCAAGCTCGACCGGTAGGTGATCTTGCTTGGCCGCCGCCGCGACTCGTCCTTGTCTGAGGAAGAACGCCAGATGTGGGTCGGGCCCCTTCTTCGGTCCATCAAAGCCATCTCTAGCAACATGCGGAACACTGGTTAGGAAAGTCTGATAAGTTGGTTGGTTGGGTTTCGATTTGGGGCAAGCCCCCACCCATTGTTGCAACGTTCCTCAAATTTGGTTTTATAGAAACTTTCAATGCGAGGTGGGGTATCTGAAAGACCCCCGGCCTGATTATTGCAATTGGTAGATTGTTGTGGTCTTCTTAGGAGCTGTGAACCACAGTCTCCGCATTCTACCCGCTCATTTGAGGGTTGTGAATATTTGTGGGCAGTTAGCGAGCGGAAGCCTCAAGCTTCAGTCAGGATTGACTTGGACCGTTGTACATCTGGCTTCTGAGCCGTACTGCATTCGCGCTAGCAAAGAAATCGTGTAGGTTTGATAAGCTAGATTGATAGTGCAGGCCTTTGCTACCTAGGTGGAGCCATTTGCCATTTCCTACTTGCTCTTGCACTTTGCGTTGTGGTGGCCGCATTCCATCCTACGTCCCACCCCCGGCGACCTACCATCTCCATGCTTCAATGTACCAAAACAAATCCTACTAGGCTGGGTCAATATGAGGCCTCATGCATGGGCAGTGGACATATGGGCTTAATATTTCGAACGGGTATGTAATCTAGAGCTTGCGCGCGACAGGCATGACCATGCACTGTCATGTTGTTATTGCATAGATGTCCTTCCGGTTTAAGCAATATAAGCTTCACACGTGCTTGATATACTTCACGCGTGCTTGGCATACTACGGAGTCTACAGCTGAATTCACATTAATAGTGGTGACGGTGTCGTTCAGGAGCTCCACCTGAGAGCTTTGATTGGCATCTGCATTTTTCCGGATCACTTTGATGCAAGCTTTTAGACTCCTTTTCAAAGCGTGCCGCCAAATTTAGATCATGCTGTATAACCCAGCCATATATCTTTGAGTGTGGGAATTAATCCGCGTGAGGATTAAGCCGCTGTCGCAACACTCCTATTCATTGACTATAGTTGTCCTGTTGGCCGGTGGTCTCCTTAAGGCTCTCTCATATATACAGGTACATAGTGACCTCTGCGGGCGTCTGTAGCTCCAACAACAAGAACAACAACAACAACAACACAACAACAACAACACAACAACAACAAACCAGCAAACCAACAACGTCATCAATAGCACTAGGGAGTCGGGGAACCTAAAGGCTAGGCCAAGTGCAGGTTCGCAGGTTGTCAATGTGAGCCTTCGAACAGCAGATATTATCACCGCAAGTGGTGAGAATCTTCCGGCTCTGCCAGGGGCTCTGCCATTCGTATTATAGGATAACAAAGATCCTTCGTGTATCGGGGTGTCGTCGCTATTGAATTTAGTATAGGGCCCTGGGTCCCAGGGGTGCGTTCAAAGGGATAAGCACCCGGGGACCGGGTGGCTTAGCTAGGGGTTTAGGGTAGATGCGGGTGCGAAGCGCGTAATATTTTAGGTTAGGGCTTTTAGGTAGTTGAGGTGCCCGGTGCTCCTGTGTCCCCCGGTCACAAGCAACTTGGATGGGTTGCCAGTGATGTGTTGGATCGGACGGTGCTGACGGAGAGGTCATGATGTCATGCAGCTATCGTACGGTTCGATACAGTCCCGATATTCGATGACGTCAAAGTATCGAAGTTACCGTTGCTGAGCGGATCGAAGTGCTCTCTGGTTGCCAGCTGGCTTTCTGGGCCTAACGACTTTATGAAATTGCGCCGTCGGGGACTCGCTGTCATCTTGGTGTCAATCTGCGAGTGGATGAGTGCATGTACTGTTCGATTGTCCAATAGACTTGGGATCTGACATTGATTGCTCGATAATGCTGATGTGATTTGACACCAGAATTGAAGGGTGGCTCGGAAAGTGCTGCACGGAGCTTACGAGAACCGGAAGGAGCAGCCCGGGATCTTGCTGCAGTCCTTGGACTTGGCAAAGTCTGGGGCGGCGGCGGTCTGTCCACCCGGGGACAGACTCCTTCACAACGCACCTGAGGACAATGCACTGTAGTACTGTACTCTTTCAGTCTGCGGTAAGACTAGGTATACATACCAAGTTCCAACCTTCCTTTGCATCATGCTCTAATTTTTAAATCCAAGTTTGCAGAAACTGAAAGTGCTGCCGATTTCATTTTTGAGCAGCATACTTCTTAGGTACTTGAAGGTGCAGGCTAGGAAGCAGAGTCCTTGTGCAATCACTGGCACCAACTGTTTTGAGATTGAAAGGAAGATTGCGAGAACGTTGGCGGCGGCACCTTGATCCTATGGTTTGAGGAACTTCTGCCGGTAGTAGCAAAGTGGATAAGGTAGTGGCACGCCTTTGCTTTTAGAGGAGATTCCTCAGCAGAGAGGAAAAAGGGAAGCTGCCTTGCAGAAGATCAGATCGGCAGGAAGCTAAAGAGAGCAGAAGCGAAAAGCACTACCATAACATCTGGCAGCGAAAGGGATGAAGTCACCGCAGACCTCAGTGCAAGCGGCACTGAAAGTGGTGGTGGTCCTTCTATTCATGAACAAACTTGCGGTGGCAGACTATCTTGCTATCAACTGTGGTGGTCTCACATATCCTGATGGCAGCATTCCCCAGTAAGTGGTGCACCAGGCAGCCGGTGGTGGATGACTTAGTCTTCTTGCAGTTTGAAGACGCTTGTAGAAAAAGAAAGGGCACTCTCTGTGTTGAATCTGATTGTCCTTGTTTCTCAGACAGCTTATAGAGGAAAAGCTCAATGCAATCTCTACATGACATCATTGCTCAAGCTCTCTCAGCAATTGGAAGCTGGATCTGACACATTCCTCCATTGAGATAATATTGACGGGCCCCAGACTTTATTTTGTTACATTTTTGCCTGTCATACTGTGAAAAGAAAGACATGTCACCATCAAGAATCCTGTAGCAAAAGTGCTTGCCATCAAATGTCATCTTTCCTGAATTGGAAGGACCAGACGTGACATCAATGTGCTTCCTGACACCAGCTCCTGACACCAGCAATCTCTTTGAGCTGAGAGCTGTGCTCTTCCTTCAGGTACTATGACGGTGTTACATATGGCCCTGGGCCCGACTACAAACCTGCTGGCGATCATACAGACTCTGCTGGAATCAACTGGAGATCAGACAGTTTCTATTCTGGCACTTCAACTCATGTCACTGATTACCGGGGCATCAACTATGCAAACACTAATGACCAGCTCACCTACAGAACTGAGCGATATGGTGAGCAACTGGCTCTTGGTGATCTCTGGATTTGGAACTGGATCTCATCCGTTGCTCAATATCTGTGGACAGTCTGGTTCCAAGGTTGGCACAAAGCAGTTACGAGGTTTGCTTTCAACTCCCACTAGGTAGCCTCTTGATAGGCTGTTGTGAATTTTGCGTCAAGCCGCTCCAGAACAGGCTTCAGGTGCTGTCAAGGTTCTTGACCATCTTTCTTGCTGCGTCTTCAGGTATGGACTTCTACTACAGTCTCAACCTACCAAATGGTGCTTACACCGTTGAGATGAGGTTTGCAGAGACCCGCTTCAACAGTGCAGGGTCGCGAACATTCACAATCTCAATCAATGGACAGCAGGTTGAAAGTAGCTTGGACATCTTTGCGAGGGCTGGAGGTCAGAATGTTGCATACACGAGTCAGTATCAGGCTAGCGTGAGCAATGGTCTTCTGGATATCTTCTTCAACTCAATCGTGTATGAAGCCAAAGTAGACGCCATCAGGGTTTTCTCCAATGGAGGCGGAAACCCTCTACCGGGTCCTCCATCAACTGTGAGTCTCTTCAAATCTCCTGACGAGACCATCTTTTGGCAGTAAGCTGGCAATTCTTTGGAGCGATACCGTTTGACAACCTGCTAGGATGCAGTTTGGCAACCCAATCTTGCAGCCAGCTATTCAGTTCTATCAGGACTTTTTCTTTGGCAAACGTTGTAAGTTGCAAGTTAGTGATGCTTGCGTACTCACATGGACAATCATGTTGCATCTTGGCACATTCGGTTACCTTTTGAGGTGTAAGCTACACACTCTTGAGGAGTATGCGGAGTCAGGTTCTGTCTGAGGATCATTACTTACTTCCCTACATGAGCAGCCGTCTTCACTTGCCTTTTCAACGCTGTTCTTCTGGCATCAACCAGGCAGCTGACAATCTATCTTGGACATTCCAGATAAGCATTGCTGCTGGAGGGAGCAGTGACAAATACTACAAGGGAGGCTCGACAGGTGCAACACAATCAGCCACCTACCCTAACTACCGCAGCGGCGCCCTTTTTGAGTATCTTCTCAACCTCCAGAACGGCGACTACGTGGTCCAGTTCGCATTTGTGGAGCCTCAGTTCACATCCCCTGGCTCGCGTTCATTTGACGTCTACATTCAGAACTTCAAACGGATCTCTGGATATGACATCGTTGCAAAAGGGGGCAGCGCAAGCAATGCGGTGACAGTGCAGAGGACTGTGCACGTTTCTAATGGCTTGCTCAGGCTCAAGTTCCAAGATGCTGGCTCTGATGCCATAGTCTCTGGCATCACTGTCTCCCCACTCTCCAGGTGAGCTCCCGATGGTTTGTAATCCAGAGTCAGTCTAGCCAAGAACCTCCTGTACTTTTGTTTCTGGCGAAGTCTGCTCTTGGATCCATTACAGGCAAGCACGAGGTGTTAGTATTTGCAGTGTGCTTCTAATGAACACTCCGATTGGAGTTGCTATCCAATCCCTCCACATGCATACAGTTCAATCTGTTTTTCTATTGTCAAGAAAACTTGCAGGCAAGCTCCAGGTCAGCCTGGTGTGCGTGAGGCTGCTGCTCAATACCCTGGCCAATGTCCAGGTCTTTCTCATGCCTTGCCGTGTCAGCTTAGGTGTCCGTTGAACATTATCATGCTTCGTTGGTAGCACTTGGAGCTTTGGCATCTCACATATGCGCACACTTCAGTAGCTCGCTTTGTTTCTGGACAAATTTGTGACCAGCTTCGAGCCAAAATCTCAGGGAATCCCTAGCTCAGAAGAAGGTCGATCTTCTGACCCTCCTTCCACAAAAAATCAGAAGAAAGCAACCGACAATCATTGTGTGCTGCAGCTCAACAGGGGTTCAAGTCGCCATCAACTGCGGCGCCCCACTGGACGTCCTCTCTGGCCTGGGCATCATCTTCCAGAAGGATGTCTACAACTCTGGCGGCAACTCGGCTATCACAAAGCCGTACGAAGTGTTCCTTCCCTTTGGCGGCTTCTGGGACGACTTCCTCTACACCAGCGCTCGCACTGGTGGCGCCTTCTCCTATTCAGTGCCGGTGCCAAATGGGGCCTACCAAGTAGAGATGCACTTTACAGAGACGGAAGGCAAGCAAGCAGGCCAGCGCGTCTTCAACGTGAACGTCCAGGTAAGGAGAGGTTGCAGGCTCGGGATTGCAGTTCAGGTCTGGTTTTCTGGAGCAGTTGCCAAGTTGCTTTGCTTTTTGGGAGAAACTGCAAACTTTGCCTGATGCCAGCCATGACAATCTGAAGTGAAGTATGAGGATCGGCCGACAAGAACAGGAACAAATTGTTGTCACTCATGCCAATCTTCTAACAAGCTCGGCGCCTGATGCAGGGTCAATCCGCCATCCAGAACCTGGACATTGTCGCTGCCACGGGCGGCCAGCTGCGCCCCATCGTCTTGACTGCAGACGCCACTGTCTCGGGCGGCACGTTGAATATTGACTTTACCAACAACGCAATCGTTATGGCACTCTTCATCTACCCTGGCCTGGTGAGCCCCCTCTCCGCATGGATTTGCTGAGAAAGGTCGTAATGCCACGTTAAAAGCAAGCTCGTGTTCGTCGCGTTCAAAGCTGCTGCTCTGCTCTCCATTCCAGCAAATCTTGACAGACGGTTTCTGAGCTTTTCATCAAGAACGCACTTTCGTGACAAGAATTACACTTATCACACCATTCCCTTCACTCCACAACCAGAGGTGTGATCCATCAAGGGCTTTTTTGCTGGTCCATGCAAGTTTGACATGTTCACGAAGTCGTTGTTCTTACAGCAGGCTTCATCGATACGCCTTGCTCCTCACGCTTTTGACCTTCACCTTCCTGGAAACGTTCACGGTTTTGCACAATCTATGCTTACAAGCTTTCCGCACGAATGCACAGCTCCACGAATCACGTGGTCTCACTCCCACCAATCACCTTGTCTTCTACGCACTCTTAACAGCAGTGGTGGCATGCTGACCACGGCAATGACGTCACAGCACCGCACTCACCTTGCGACACTGGCAGTCTTAAGTTTCTGGAGATGATTACTCACACTGGCACACGCCGTTCACAATTCGAGAGGTAGGTCACGCGAATCACGCACAATATACTGCTACTGTTCTGAAAGTGTGCAGTCGAGACCAGCAAGGTGTTTGGTTCACTTCAGTAGCAGAGGAAACGTGCTTACAAACAGTCGCTTCAGACCCTACATCGCTTGCGCACAGGCTTCCAAGACGCATCCGGATATTCAATCGGCACCATCAAAGTCACATTGATAGAAGTCACTTACGACATAGATTTTTGAAAGTTTTTCGCTTCTGTTCTGCTGCCTCTGTATGCGTGGCTTCGTTGACCCTGGTCAGAAACGGGCTTTACCTTGGTCAGAAGCGAATTACTTACAACACTTTTGTTCGTTCTGCAGTCTGGCGGTAGCCAAACCGTGATCTCGAGCCCCGCAGCAGCACCAGCGAGCAGCACAGTGCCGAGCAGCGCCCCGTCCCCTGGAAGCGCCCCGTCCCCTGGAAGCGCCCCGTCAACTGGAAGCGCCCCGTCACCTGGAAGCGCCCCGTCAACTGGAAGCGCCCCGTCAAATGGAAGCGCCCCGTCAACTGGAAGCGCCACTTGCCCCGCCAACGGGGGTGGCTCTGCAATCAACTGCGCTGGTATGTAAACATATGCTGGGCCGATTGTGCAACTCAGGTGGTAAGCGAGGTGTCTTTCTTGGTGACGTTGAGTATCTGTAAGTTCTGTAACTAGCCTTCATAAGCTAGTAGTGAAACAATTCTGAATGATTAGGTTGACTATCTTTATCAGCGCATTGATGTGGCTTTTGTGCGAGCTTCACAAGCTGGTCCAAAATTCTTCTGATGGAGTAGGTCGACGCAAGTCCTTTCCAGACCGTCACACTTCTCCTCAAGGAATCTGCAGTTTCCTCATCACCTTTGATAGACGTCCTTGCGATACGTATACTCAACAACGGCGCCGAATCTGAACGACTAAACGACCTCAATAGTTTTGCTGTTCTGAGCTCTCCTAAGAACCTCCTCTTTCGATCGGACACAATTTCGTCCGTATAAGATCTTTCTTCCCAAAACAAAACAACAAAAACACTCCCCTGCGAGAACATCAAACTGAACCCGGGCAGCTTGTTGCATTCAAAAGAACAGCGGAACAAGCACTATCGCCCCAGACCACTATACGAAGCACATGAACCGAAAGTAAAGCAGTGCTTCTCTGCAGGTGGCTGCCCCGCCTACTCCGCCTCCAACTCGGTCGCCGTGAATTGCGGGGGCGACGACTACGTGTCCACCTGCGGCGTGCGCTTCCTGCCGGACACCACGGCGTGCAACCCGGGGGACACCATACCAGATGGCGAGCCCTACTGCCGGACCAACATCAAGGGACCCGCCGGGGGTTACTCGTACTTCAAGCCGTCGACGGACCCGCCAATCACGGGAACGGCAGATCCGCACATCTTTGAGGTGAGAGTTGCAGCGCAAGGAGAGGGAAGAGTCTCGCTGGAAAGAGCGTCTGGATACTGGGAGGAGAGGAGACTGGAAGCGGAAACTTTTCGATTCTTCGGACGAGACGCCCTATTTTGTTCAAATTAGATAAATTGTTATTAAGAAGACGAAGCATTGCGAGAAAGAGACAAAACGAGGGAGGGAACTTTAAACGGTTGAGAATTGTCAAGAAGGGGTAATGTTTTGGGTGGGAGTGGTCTGCATGGAGAAGCTCGGCCCCACGCTCGCTCAGAGATCTACCAAAAAACCGCGAAATGGTCTGATTGTTAAGTTGTTGAAGAATCCGAAAAGTCGCTTTCGTGGCCGACCAAACTGCCACGCGCGCTTACTCAAAGCGCAATCTGCGCGCGCAGTCGGAGCGCATCGGCTTCAACACCTACTTCTTCCGCGTGGACAACGGCGTGTACACTGTAGCGACGTACTTCGCCGAGATCTCCGGCAGCGACCCGTCCATCGACGTCAATGCGGAAGGTCTCAGGCGCTTCACCCTCATCTTCAACGACAACCCCAACTCGCCCAACCCGAACATCGACCCATTCGCGGTGAGCTTCTTCAACACGTGAGCGGCGCGCTTTTGAGATTACATCGGTTGCATTTGTTGCTGTGCTTATGTCGGAGGGGGATGAATGCAAAGTTACTGTTCGACCAACGAGGACGTCAGTCTGCTTACAGGGGGCCAAATATCAGAGACAGTGGACTTTTTGTGGAATTGAGGAACCCAGTATGAGAGGTTCTGAAGCTCAGCCTGTCCGTATGCAACGTGATGTCCTTATCACAGAATCTTCCGTGGTCGCATGGACTGACTTGCAAACGCGACGGGACGTCCAAGTTTTTCTCAGCGCTGCTTCAATGCCAGAAACGGAGCCAAGCGGACCATATTTCGTAGGGAGTCGGTAACAAATGCGTGCACAGACTCTGAGCGTCGCTTTGAGATCTTTCCGGCTGACTCGGCATCGTACGGATCTCGCAGCTGGCTGGCGACCAGAAGTTCAAGGCGGATCCCGTCCAAATGGCCCAGATTCCTGTGAGCAATGGAGTCCTGAAGATGCAACTGTTCCCCACTGGCATACGCGATGCACCAGCCATCAAAGGCATCTGGATCCGCAAGACGGGCTAGGTTGATGATTTTACCGATCTTTCAGCAGTCTCTGTAAGGCAGTCACTATCGGAATTTGGAGAAGGCGATCGGAGTTGCATCGGTCAGTCAAATTAGCAGGATTGTGAGAAGGCGCTTGACGTTCTGCAAAACTGGAAGTTTCGCACCTAGAGCTAGGTCAGGTCTTTTGAATGCAGATGTTGAGGGATAGACGGACGCGTGTCACGAGTTGAAGATATGCTCAGTAGAATGAAGCAGGGTCACTTTGAAGAAAAAGAGACGAGTGGATTATGTAGATCGACGTTCTTAGGATTTCAACTGCTTTAGGTTTGTGATTGAATAGTTGCATTGACTGCATAAGCGATTGAGTACGTGTCAAGATTTTGCATCCTCCGAAAAGCTGAGCTCACCTCGACGGCATCCGCAATTATGCATCGGTGTTGGTATCTAGACGAACGTACAGAGAGTAAGCAAAGTTTTTTCTCGCCAGCTCGACTCAGGTCCCCTTCGCCTTGCAGGTATGTTCTCCTGCAACATACTGATAGCCATTACTCTACATTGAACATGCAATTAGATCGTTGAGTGCATGACGCCGCTTCCCTGCACGCTGACTTTACGTGTGGCGAGGTGACCAGTGTATGTGTACAATGTATCGAATTAAAGGTGGGATCACCATCCTCATTGCGGAACTGCATGCATGGATTTCAAGGCGGGCTCGCCCGGCGTCTCCGTCGTGTGCACCTCAATGATTTCGGATGGATTTGCGGCCGAGGTTGCGCAACAACAGCGTTACTGTGCACTTCCATGAATCTTACAACGTACGCGTTGGGATTCGGGGAGGAGGTAAGTGCGCAATTAATTGTTTGTGCGGGCCAGACTGAGATCGAGTCCATTGCATGGTTTGCAAAACGCATGGCAACTAAGTTCCGGCGACGAACTTAGCTCGACAAGGAGAGGACTGCACAGTACTCTTGCATGTGTGCATTGTTTGTCACCCTCCAGGTTCCAACACCGAGGGTGCTGCAGATTTCACCCGCCGACTCATGAGCTGGTGCAGACTGTAGCATCCAACATCGGCCCAACCTTTGTATTTGTTTCATCACTTTTCAATTCATCACTTTTCAAATGAAAAGTGGTTATTCAAACTCATGCTGGGCCGGGGCTATATGAATCGTTAAGTGGCTTTCACAGAACGGTGGAGTTCTGAACTCAATCAGTAACATGTACCAGGCGGAGAACGTTCGGAGAAAGCCATGTAATACCAGCAGTCTGAGGGTACGTTTTTTGTCGAATGTTCACAATTCGCGAATCGTTGAGCAATGACATGCTTCGCAAAAAAAGTGTTCACATTTCGTGCATCGCGAAGCAGTGACATGCTTCGCAAAAGAAGAGGTGATAATAAATAAGAGAAGACCAGCATATCCGTCAGCTTCTAAACGTCAGTACAGGGGTCCAATTCACAGTCACCTATCATAACTTAGGTCAGAAAAGGCTGGGCACTACTAAAGTGAAGATACTAGTGCAGATTCTTGACTAAGGGTCTATTCTCTCCTGTCCCGACTTCGCCGGGGCAAGAATTCCCTAACACGCTTCCTATTCTACGATCGACACTACACGCTGAAACGCGCGTCATCTTCGCATATGTTAACCTTCTGCGTATCACTCTTAAACGCCGGTTGGGGCGAACGCGGGGCCACCCGCGGCTGTGGATGTAGTCGCAGCAGGCGCGTTGGCGGTCGTGGCGGCGGGAGCCTCGGTCGAAGCACCCTGGGTAGGGGCGGGAGCAGGAGCGGAACCCGGAGCGGAAACCGGAGCCCCCGCGACGACCGCTCCTGGAGCGGCGGAATTCGGGGCCAGATTGACGGAAGCGAAGGTCAATTGCCAGGTCTGGGCCAAGGGCGCGGTGGTCGTGTTGGTCGGGATGGTGGTATTGACCCCGGTTGTGGTGTTGGAACCAGTCGAGGCGTTGAGGAGCTGCCACAGCTGGATGACGTACACGTCACCAATCTGCACAAAAAAAGGCGCGAGACGTTTCAGCTCCTGCTACCTCGGTGATCCAAATCAACCGTTATAATGATCGTTTCTCTAGCGACACTGAACGAGAAGAGTAGCAGCGACAAATCACCGCTAGGGGAGAGGATATGGGCCAAAGAGGCCACTGTGGAACACCGACCCCAAAGTCAAGTTTCTCAAAGGATCTGTCGTTAGGTTGAAACGCGTGCCTTATTTGGGACTGTACGATGCCAAAACAGAACTTCATTTATTTGAAGAATGTCACTTCTCAGGGTCGGGGGTCGGCTTTCCAGGATCGGCTTACAATTGACAGCAGATGTGTAGAGGCTAACTTCGACATGAAGAGCCAAGGAAAGGCGGCACCTTCACGGACACAGTAGCTTTGCATCCAAGCCACAGCGACGTGAAACAAATCAGAGCCAGTTCGTCGCAGCTCTGGGTCTGCGGTCCTCACCGACGGCAGAGCAGGCACCAGAGTCGTCAGAATGGCCGACTGGTTGTTGAGCTGCTTGTACGAAACCACGGTCTGGGGAGCAGCGTTGCCAGTGGCATTGCGGCCTTGCAGCAGGTTGAAGAAAGTCAGGATGATGGGGTCTGTCAAGTTGAGCCTGCAAATGAGACATGCTTTGTGAGAGAATGTAACACAGGCTTATATGAAGTATGCAAACAACTTCGGACCTTCTAAAACCAATCTTGTTTACATCTGTGTGTTGCAAGTGCTGGGTCACCAAGCAACCCTACGAAGGGATCCGAGGGATTACCAATTCTGGTTTATCCTTCTGTTTCCACTGCTTCCGTGACCTCATGACCACTTTCATGAACAGCTGATGTGAGCAGCCTTGACAGTTCTATGGAAGAATCAAGGGGTTCAGTCTTCTCATAGGACCTGGAAAAGTAGTACACCACTGCCTCATTCACCCTTCCAACCAATTCAAACTCTCAACCAAATGTGAAGCGCTATAACCACCATCCCCAGCAAATCTGTCCCCTCAGTAAGAGAAACAACTTGCACTTCTGTATCATAAGGAGAAAAGCCAGCAAGAAAAGGTCAAAATCTACTCACGGTGTCGGGCTCGGGAGTGTTGGCAGCACCACTTGGAAGAAGGGGGCAAAGTACTGGCTGGTCACATTTACAGGGCTCAGGCTGGCATTGCTGAATGCAGCCTGAAGACCGTTTGAAACGGAAACCACAGTGGCTTCAATTGTGAGATTTGTGGGGATGCTAGTGTTTTGGGGAGCGGTGGTGACGTTGCTGCTAATGGTCACGTTAGGGGTGGCAGCAAAGACTGGGAGGGTCTGGGAAATGAAGGGACCGCTAGGAGCGGGGGTCATGCTGGCAAGGGCGACAACCCAGGTGCCGTTGGGAGAGGTGGTGCTATTGAGCAATTGCCAAAAACCCGTGATGTACACATTGCCAAGCTGCAGAAAACAAAGGGCACCAGTGAGTTCTTCAAAGGGAGCTGCTATGATATCATTCTTTGGAATTTCATCAATTGTGATGTCAACAAATGCTGGCCAAAGGATCAATGCAGTATTGTGCGCTCCCCACAACAAGTCTTGGCTCTCCAGCCCCTCTTTTCCCTGTGAGAATTCTAGAAACCTTGGACTCGTTGTAGTCAAGAGACGATGCTGATCAGGCATATTTACATACAGATCTGAAAGGCAATCGAGCTTTCAGCAGAATTGATTATCATGTAGCAGCATCTGCAAAAATCTTAGAGCAACAAGCTCAAAAAGATTGCCATTCAAGAAAGCAGAACCCTCGTATGCTAAAAGTACTGCTGGCCAGCTTTATACAACAATACACTTGTTCACCAGCTGAAATTGACATAATCATTGTCTATACATCACTAATCCATCATTGTATCATGATGGATCTAAAACAAGATTGAACCTTGCATGCAAATCCCCTCTCCATCTTTCCAGAACAAACACTATATACTACACAGAACTGCACTTCTGACCTTCTTCCTTCCCGCAAAAGTGACCACCTGTCCTTCTAAGATCCTCGAAAAAACTGCAAAACGTCTTCAAGTAATGTTTCACATTGATGACTTGCTCTTCCAAAGCTTTCGAAGGGTTGAGAAGAGATGGACTTATGTCGGCCAAGGTCAAGTTACTCAAGTTCAGGAGTTCTCAATTTCTTACACAAGGCATTACCAGAAGCTTCATCAGGTGCGGTAACACTCACCTGTCCAAGAGTCGCTTCAAAAACAGTCAGCACATTTGTACTGTCAACTGTGTAGAAGTAGAGGTCCGACACATTGTTCACAGTCACGTTGGAGCCTGCTGGCGGTGTCAGAAGGGAAATGAAAGGAAGAAGAGCAGTGACATTGTTCAACCTGCAACCCAAAAAGCACTAACTGAATCTTGGTAGTACTGTCGTAGTACTGTGGCAAGAAAGCAGTTCATAGGGTCACATGCAAGCAAACAAAATAGAGAGGAAGCTGCTTGTCTGTTCTGCAGTGGACCCTGATGACCAAACCAAGTTATAATCTCCTCTTCAGCTGAGAAGAGACGGCCTTCTCCACTTCTCACCTATGATCTAGAAAGCTGACTCTGAACAAAAGCATGTTGAACACTAGTCTGAAAGACTTACGTGACTGGGGCTGTTGTGTTGGGAAGCACCAGCTGAACATCAGGGGACAAATAACTTGCTACCCCACTGAAATTGCCAGCGGAAAAGGCACCAATAAGCGCAAGGGCCTGAGACCGCACTGCTCTGTAAACGGCCAGCGTAGCATTTGATGGAAGAGAGGCGTTCGTACTGTTTGCAGCAGGGGGGACTGTGGCATTCACTGGAACAGGGGTAATTACAGGGGCCGTGGTGTTTACAGGCGTGGTGGCATTCAGTGGAGCTGTCCCGTTAAGCAGAGTGGAATTCGCAGTTGTGTTCAACTGCGCGCATGCTGAGGAAAGAAGCAGAGCGGCGGACAGCACAAACAGCAACTTTGCGGAAGCCATTGTCTTTGCTGGCGGCGGCGGCTGGAAGCACTCCTGAGAATTCTGCGAGCCACAAAACAAGCGCTTTTCGCTAAACGGTTGCCGAAAAAGGAACGAACTTTATCGCTAGCCCCTGCTGGGATTTGACCAAAGCCTTGACATCAGAAAGGGGGAAGGAACCAGCGGGTATCATTCTCTCACTGGGAAATTCCCATGTGCTGCAGAGTGGCGCTATTAACTAACTACACTGTAGTATACAGCTACTACTAGGTAGCTTCCTTCTGGGCACCGGAGGACAGCCCGAGCAGGTTCCAACTGTCTTTGCATGCGCGTTCCCCATGCAGTTGAGCGGTCGAAGTGTCACGACTCAGAACTCAGAGTCAAGCTTTCGAAGGGCGACCGGGGACTAGTACTCGCTGGGTGGTATCTGACTGAATGATTGTTGGACCTTTTAGCAGGTTTTGGAGTGCTCTGATTGGTCGCCGGAGGCTTTGGAAACTTCCAGATGTCGCTAAAAGGAAAAGTGGACAGCAAAGCCAATCAAAACTCGGCACTTGTGGTGCGGATGGAGCAGTACCTGACAAGTGGAGTAAGTATCGACCGTCCGAGCAATCGGCGGCGCCAAGCAGGTGTCAGATACAAGAGATCTCCAGATCTGACGGTACTACACCTATGTCTTTGGGCAGCCGCCCGATCCTTGACTTCGAGAATGAACGTCCCAGATGACGACAAACTTATTTTGGTTTGCTAATTGAGACGGTCTATCTCTGATCTCTGCGTTACTTTCTGAACCGTCGGATTCGTAAAGCAGCTCGCGCGCGGCGCCACCAAGAAGCCGGGAGTATTGAAATGCACAATGGGGGAGTTCTACGCGGTCCATGGGCCACGTGGAAGGTCAAGTGACCCTCACCTTCCATCAAAAGCGCGTTCCTCCGGTTTGAATTTGCCGAGCTGGCATGGCGTGGAACGTGGCCCGTTCATTGCAGGACTGGGCGCCATGGCTGAAAAGGAAAGCATGATGCTGAGCTGTGTTTGCGGCAGAGTCTGAAAGCAGAGGTGAAAGCACATTGAGAGCTCCTGACTTGGTGACAGTTGGTAAAGTTCTTATGCTAATGCAGGGTGCACGAGCCTGCTTCTTATGTTCTCAGCTGGTGTAAGCAAAACGCTCGCGAGCTCTGCGGTTGGACTACGCTCAGCTGTGAAAATGGCTCTCCTCCGCGTACTGTCACAAAGTCGACAAGGTAGCAGCTCGCTACTGGGGTCCATGGGGTTGAGGATGTTCTCGGGGCGTGCCTCAGCCAGAGTAGAACCTGGCCCTGCTGGGTGGTATGAACACAAGCGGATATCAAACCTTGGCAAGTTGGAAGATCTGATGTATGACGGGCGTGTGCAGTGGGTTTTCCTGGGGATGCCTGGGGTCGGGAAGGGCACGTACGCAAGCAGAGTTGCAGATCTGATGCAGGTGCCTCATATATCGGCGGGAGACTTGGTCAGGGAAGAGCTGAGGAAAGGGTCAGCATATGCTCAGGAGATGCAGGAGGTGATACAGGCGGGTCAGCTGTTGCCAGACAGCATGATCCTAGATCTGATAAAGGCGAGGTTGCACCAGGGACAGCAGATGGGGGAGCGGGGTTTCATTCTGGATGGGTTTCCGAGGACTGCTCTCCAGGCGGCAGCTCTGGAAGACATAGCGGAGATTACGCTGGCGCTCAATCTGCGTCTAAGGGAGGACGTTTTGGTGCAGAAGTGCCTCGGCAGGCGGACGTGCGGTCAGTGCGGAAAAGGTTTCAATCTCGCGGATATCAACGTTGCAGGGGTCAATGGAGCCCCCCGGATAGTGATGCCTCCCATGAGTCCTCCCTCCGCCTGTATAGGCAAGATGGTAATGAGATCAGATGACACAGAGGAGATCGTAAGGAAGCGGCTGGCGGTGTACAAGGAGCAGGTAAGACGGCAAGACGGCCTGTCACATTATTATCATGCCCTTTACTCTGCATGTTTTGTGTTCAACATGGTAATGCTTGAAAGTATGCTGACATCTGCTTGGGTGTAGCCAGGGTGGGGGTAGTTACGCAAAGGCAGCAATTGCATCTCATTTTGAGTTGCTGGCAACTTTGTGATGTGCTTTGTTTATCATCATTAATGGTGTGGTTTCCCTGTCTTTGGGGCAGGCTTGAAATGGATTTGTCTTTGCTCAGTTACTCGTATTTTGCTCATTCGATTCAAAACGATGTCGCAAGTCAAAACGTGATCTCGTTCATAAATGACTGAGGGTCAGGAGCTAGTCACGGTGCATTTAAAGGATCTTGGTATCTGCATCTTCAGCTTTTACTGCTCCTGAAGCCAGAACCTGCGCATGACATGGTTCGGAAGCAGCGATTGTGCTTGCTACTTCTCTGTTAAGTTTTTTGGACTCCTGTCCTGAGTGCCCTCTAGAGTCGTCCGTAGATAGCGTATGGGTCTAGGCCGCAGCCGCATCCTACTTTGCTCCGGTGCTTGATTCCTGTTGTCATTGTAATCAGATGGTCCGGTTCTATGCTTTACAGAGCCAACCAGTGGAGGACTTCTACCGGCGAAGAGACGTTCTTTTAGATTTTGACGTTGGTGGTGGTATACCGGAGACATGGCCCCGGTTGTTGAAGGCTTTGTACGATGAGAACCGGGAAAGGGAGTTACTAGAACCTGAGCCAAGAGCTGCCTGAATGTCTTGAATTCCGTACTTGCTGCTGCTCGCAAACAGAATGGAATATCATCTGAGTAGTCAATGTCTAGCTGCCCACTGATATGACAGGTAAAAGGTATACATACAAGTTTACGAGGTTATAGAGCGACTCATGGATCATCATTCTTTGCTCGGGCCATTGCCTAGAGCCAAATATAGAAGAACCAAAGAGCACTTGATAAACAGTTTACGCGTCCATGTCGGTTGAGTCTTCATTTGCTGCAAATCGCAGTCAAATCCAGAGTGTTTTGCGGTGCATATTGACCTAAGTAACATGCTTGAAGGAGGGCTCAATTCAGAGGGGGGGGGCGGTTCGTCTGTTTTGGAAGAGCCACTCATTTCAGAAGGAGAACTGTTTGCCTTTTCAATCCATGCAAAGGCAAGGGGTCCTGCCAACCAAGATAGTTCCCGGGGTTTGCTCAAGTTGACAAACAACAACATTTCTTTGAAGCTGCACATAGATGAACCGCATGCATGCTCACTCACAGGGTGCTATTGACATCATGTTATATTAAGCCTGCAAGTGACCTAGTAGTGGCACAATCGCTACTGAGCCTAGTGCTCCTGCCACTTGTTAATTGCACTAAAATCTACAGCGAATTGCAGACATGACGCGGAAATGCATGCATTCCGATTAGATATACGTTATGCAGTGGTAGTGTTGTGGCATGGCCAATTGAACTTGCAGATGTAGACGATATTTGACATACATATTTGCTAGGTCCGCGCAAGCTCAGGCTACTGAATATGTGCACACAATGCAAGTCAAGCTGCCAACCCGCAGCCTGCAGCCAATAGGAACCCACAACAATTCAACATTTGACAGTTGCGTGGCGATGATGGGCGGGGTATGACGAGGTGAAAGCCACGATGCCAACTGCAAAGCGAAAAAGCATATCCAAGCGACAAGAGTAATCATGCTTTTGAGAGACACCAAAGTAAAGTACGACCACATTGTAGACCAGGCCTTCCAGCCTGCTTCTCACTCTGGCACATGGCCCTTATTGTGGAACTAGCAAAAAACATTCCCTCTAGTCCTCGAGCATCTCCTCGAAGGCGG